GCCGCCTGTTGCCGCTGAGTGGCGCCGCCTGTTGCCGCCGGCGGCCCACTCAATATCGATTGAAAGCCATATATGACATATTGTTCACAGGCTGAAGTGGATTCTGATGCGTGAATCTGGTAAATTATATCACAAGTACCCATATGCTGAGCCATATTTGGAATACTGTGTTGCGTACACTCTCGTTATATACTTAAGTTATAACTCTCGGGTGGTAACCGTCCCCATATATGTTATATGTCATCACATATAACATGGAGAGAAAGGTTGCCTACGGGCAGATATATTCCCCTTAACGGCAGCTAATGTCATATTTGATATTCCTTACTGTCTATTGCTGGACTAAACAATCTCAAAATGAGTATTACATATTGCTTTGGCTGTATATTACTTCTTACGGTTTGACATTCACGACCGGGTTCAGGTCAGCATCATATATTGAGTTGTCCGATGTGTCAGGCAGTCCAGGGAATCCCCTTGCCGGCGGTAAGTAGCAGGCCAGGGGTACCCAGAACCGACTCTTCTGCTTGCAACTCTTCCACGTCGTGCGTAGGTCGCCAGCGTAAACGGGACCGTCCGGGAAGAACGCAACGGGTATCCTTGGTCAGAATGCTGCACATGCTTCAGGGTCTCGTCACTCGGGCTGCACTGGCAAGCCGAAAGTCGATGCCCCTTCGTCGAAGTATACACACAGCGGGTTCCTCGTCAAGATACTCGCTGAGCCCGCTATTATGGGGTTCTGCGGTCACACTTACCTCGCTATGGGCATTGCGCGGTCAAATGGTGCATTTGGACGCCGACGATACGCCAGCTCCGGAGGAGACCCAGGGTCAGTTCCCTCAAGAGCACGGAAGTCATTCACCCGACAGTCTGATGCGCAGCTGCTATTAGTTGACCCTGCAACTTCCATCCAGTTTCCGAAGAATCTCCAAATCCCTTCCAAAGTTCCCCTGCCAACGTTCACGCTAGTTGGTGTCGGTGTACGAACCGTGTCCTTCCTGGGGGTCAAAGTGTATTCCGTCGGCTTCTATGCTGATTTGAGCAATTCTGCATTAAATGTGAGTGTAATGGTCAATAATATGACAGTTTCGAGTCCGAGCGTTTCACAGATTCCCAAGACTGCCTCCCCACAGGAGAAAATCGAACATATTGTCGAAAACGCTGCGTGCGTAATCCGAATAGGTGACTACCCTATCATCTTATCAAATTATCACGCTTTCTGAATGTCTGTCTCCATAGTCCCTACGCGGTCTACATCGTACAACCACTTGAGAGATGGATTCATGCGTGCGCTCCAGGGCCGCATGCGTCTTTTGCAGCAGAAAGGTTTGCTCTCGTCTGAAGAAGAGGCTTCTGCACAGTCGCCTATGCGGAAACTCAAGTCACTTTTCCCCAACACTCCGCTGGCCAAACATACACCCCTGGATATTCTTTTGACCCCGCCGGAACCATCTCACCCGCGTTCCCTGATTTTCCGCGATCTTGGGGCTGTCCAAAGTGACTGGGTCGCGAAACACTTCGTCCTGGCTTATTTCGAAGGCGACGGTATCAGTCCACCGGTGCGTGTGTAGCCGTTCCAGGGTTTTGCTGCTTCCTCACTGACGTATCCCACAGCTCAAACAGTCTGTCGTTGCGAATCTGGAGAATTTTGGGAAGTGAAGGTATAAAGTTTTTCCCTCCTTATCCTCAAGCAAAGGGTATGGACCATTGAGATCTACTGTATAAGGTTGCCAAGTAATACCACCCGTCAATGGGTGTTACGTAAATATAATCCAAATATACAAAAAATTCCTTTAATCCCGCATAGCTCAGTTGGTAGAGCGCGACACTAGTAATGTCGAGGTCAGTCGTTCGAGTCGGCTTGTGGGAAGTCATTTTGGTAAATTTAAGCCGTCTGGTTGTGATTTCATTCGTGTCGATCGCATCGTCAACGTTTGCCTTAGGATGCTATGCCTTCTGCTTTGAAATGTCATCTCGATTAGTTCTACTGTCGTCAAGACTGACAAGGTCTCATAATCTCGCTAAATGTTTCAAATCTCCACCTCGGAACGCATGCCGCCGAGCTTTTGCTACGCACCGGGACCCTGTTGTCCCTAGTTCACTACTGTCCCAGGCACTCGATCAGAGGCAGAGAGCTGCACGAAGGGAGGACAGTGTTGGTCCGTTTCAACTGGGGATCGTGCCCCCCACTCCCGACGAAGTAGACAATGTCAAGAAATGGTCGGAGCTCAGTGCAGGAGGCAAAGGTGCGCAATTCAACGGCTGCAAGTCAGTACAAGCTGACCACGATGTACATGGGCGTGGTCCGTGCTATAGTCGCCCGTGCAACTGCTCGGACTACCAGTTTGACAGTTATTTTATTCGGGGCTGGTTTATCGGCCATGCTCATTTATGCTCTGACTTCGGAGCTGTTCTCGAGAAACTCCCCTACGGTGCTATACAGCGAGGCATGCGACAAGATTAAGGAGTCGCCACGCGTACGTGTGCTTCATTGAATATCGTGCTACCTCATTTCAGATCGTCTTTGCTGTAGGTCGCAAGATACCTGCCTGGACCGCTTGTATTCCATAACAACCCACCTTCTTCCTTCCGTCCCCGTCACCGCAACCACCAAGTGTCTTCGCAAGTCGTCACAGACGCGTCAGGAAAGGAGCACCTGCTCCTCAATTTCTACGTCCATAGCCGTGCTTCTGAGTCTACGTTCTCTGCCTCCGCCGACTCGTCCTTCGCTTCCATCGGGAACTGGATCAAGGATAGCACTGCACACGTCTCCGAGCTGTCGTGGGACGAGTATGTCGCAGAGATGAAGGTGAAGGCAAATGCGGTGGCGGAGAGCACACAGCGGCTCGTGAGATATCTAGCAGGGAAGCCAGAGCCTCCGCGTCCGCGCGACACTTCGACAGCGGTAGAGCCCGTCGAAGAAAAGAAGGAGGAGAAGGGCAGGTGGTGGAACTTGGCTGGCGTTTTTGGGAGCCTTCGGGGAGCCGTTGGTCGCGGATCGCATGAGAATGCTTCGCCTACGGGAGACGGGAAAGTGTGGACGGATGGCGAGGTTCACGCAGATTTGGTCAAGGTGAGTACAGGACTCATCATTGCGTGGCATGCGTAACCGTCTGGCCCTTGCATAGGACACCGATGGGTACTTCCGGTTCAGATACATTTTGGTGGACATACCCAGTGAGTGGATTAATCCCTACGATGGGAGGGCAGTAGCTGATGTTCTTCATCTAGACTCGAGGACAAGAACACCCATAAGGGTCTTCGTCGAGCGTGCCAGCGATGTGAGGGAAAACGAGCCCGTGTGGCGATTCCAGCCTTCATAGCTTACACGGACTACCGCGGCCATATGATACTGCTATGCTTTGTACATTGCTTTTGACTGTCCGCCATGTATCATTAGCCATTAATCTACATTGCTACAGGCAATGGAAACAACCAAGCTCATCCATAACGGACACGACTCATGGTGCCCAGGTATATAAAGCGATGCATTCGAACACCATGGACTCGTTAGTCGCCAAACAGCTTCTGCACCCGTTTCAGCACAGAGTCTTTGGAAGGATCTGGGCGACAGTTAGTGGAAGCGTGCGTGCATTTATGGACAGACCCGTACCATAGGGGTGGTCCTTCGAGGGTATCTCGAGCAGGGCTGGGAATGCCTGGTTATACTTGTCGACTAGCGGGCGAATCTTCTCAGCAACCTAATAATCCGGGTTTAATGACGACAAGAAATGCCTGTGCATAAGCTGGAACTTGCATGCTGGTTGATCAGGAGGATGGCAATGTCTTTGCGTTCTGTGTATTCTTCGAAAGCAGCTTCAATGGTAGAGACACTCGTCTCTGCATTATACCGTTAGATCGATAATGTACACGGTATATTCACCCTCACTTGAATCCACTACCAGGAAGTTCCGCTTCTGTTTGTCCACATTTCCTATACCCGCCAGCAAGAGACCCGTCACAGTATCCTGCCCGCGGTCAGTCGGAGTCGGGTTATATAGCATAGGCCACACACACTTCATCGCCAATGACCGCGAGGAGGTTGCGATCCTTGAAAGACGTACTTGCCATTGGGCGGGATGATGCCTAGCACTAGTAGCAGTGGTGGCACTGGCACTGGCAGGCAACGCATACGCTCACGTGATACTCATTATGCAATGTGCGCGTCAAGCTGAACGCGGCTCACAAAGTCTTGGTCTAAGTTTCATCTTGTACACGACGGACACCCCCTCATTCTGCACTGCGTCGTTGCGGAAGTTCGTCTCGGCGAGCAAGTATGGTCACTACTGCTGATATATTCAACCGGCCTCCTGCAATATCCGAAGATACCCTGCAATATGTCCTCTACCCTCTTCCAGGCATGACCGACCGGGCTTCCGTGACCACTCTGGCTACCGTCATGCAGTCGTACGCGGAGAGCCTTCTGCCCGACTTCTTATGGCACCGTGACCCTTTTGAGCTCAAGGTGGTCGCCGATCCGGAGGGCGATGGCTGGCTATTGGAAGGGAGGATGAGAGTCGGGGATTCGGTCGATGATGAATGGTGTGTCGTATGGCTTCTCAGAGAGATAAGCAAGAAATGGGATGCAGTTATAAGGTGAGCGACGTCCTGGACTCGGTCGTATGACACGACTCAATTGGCTATAAGCGTCTTCGACTCGGACGGAGAATTCCTGTTGATAGAGGCAGCCGAGGTGCTCCCTTCCTGGGTCACCCCGACCAACTCAGAAAACAGGGTGCGCATGACATAGTCTTAGATTCGAGTAAGTCAATCTATTCACGCCCTGAGCTTCCAGGTCTGGATCTACAACTCCCACCTCCATCTGATTCCTCTCTCACACATCTCTGCACCGTCTAGCAAACGACATCGCCGCGACTACCCGCGTGTCAGGGACGATGATGACCAAGTCGACGAGGCCGAGGATGATTTTATTAATCCTTCCGATGCAGTAAAGTTGGTGCGCGACCCGTCGGTACCTACTACAGCAAGCCCCGAGGTAGAAGAGACTGTCTGGAAGAGAATATCTGGGTAAATGGGCTTCCTTGCATATGTCAGTGTTGAGATTGAGTCTTTTCAGTTATCCCGCCGCTGCTCGGCAACATGTCCACGTAGCCAATGCCTGGCTACCCGTGGATATCGCGAAGGCCCTCGCTGTAAGTCCAGCGCTCGTACAGAAACCCATAGAGACATTCTATACGCGCGATGCTATCCAACTCCGGGTACGTCTGATCGTCATAGCCGACGCAAGGACATCGAGTGACAGTAGTATAGGCTGCGCAGAGGATGTCGCGTTTCCCCCCTGAATCATCTGTACTGCGTCCGGTCAAAATGACCCGAACAGCATACGCTCAGCTGATAGGTCAGAAGTTCCATCCGCCGAAAGTATTCGGTCGGTGGCGGGAACAGGAAGGTACCAAAGAATGGCGGTGGAGAGATATTGGCATGAAGATCGTAAGCTTCTTGCGCATAGTCTGAAGAACCTTGTCCAACGTCCTTTCCTTCTTTAGGCCTGTGGCTTTGAGATGTTATATCAAGAAAGCAAAAGGAAGACAGACACGATGACTTCCGCTGAGGCACTGAATGCATCCGTAAGCCATTGAGCCTGGTGTGCGGTCGCAGAACTTACTTGCTTTTCAGGCTGAAGCGAGGAAAGAAGCTCTTCGGCGCAACCCTGAATATGTCAAGTACATGGAGAATCTTGCTTCGTCGGGATATTTCAAGGGAGAGCAGCAGGGATCTCAATTGTGGAACGAACTCGAGACCAAGGCGGCCGATGCTTTCATTGCGGCAAGACGGGAAGAGTACGTGAATTCTCCAGACGCCTGCTGACTCGATGACTGATAATCCAAACAGCGATGCAACGCGACCTTCCTTCGCTGAAATCGTCTCGAGCGCGATATCGCAGGCTCGCGAGGATGATGTACAGTCTGCAGCCGGGTCAGAGGATTCGGATGACTGGCTGAACATCGATGCCGCGAGTTTCGACGACATGCTCCAGAACGTGGCGGGTGGTGATTCAAAGCCTGATCAGTCGCAAGGAGATGCCATGCAAATTGACCAAACGGAAAGTGGCGAGTTGGAGGAAGAACGTATCGCTCGGAAGCAGGCCGAGAAACTTGAGCAATTGGCAAAGAAAGTGGGTGAATTCGTCGAAGGGCAGGGGGATCTCTCGGGAGCACGTTTCGCCGAGTACGTTCACGCCCTTATCTCTCTCCGAGGTTAATGTGAACATATATGATAGTGAGGCGTCATCTGATGATGAGGACCAGGAGCTTAGCGACGAGCACTTCTCTATCTCGGATGATGAAAGCGACAACGAGCGTGATGAGACCTCTGAAGAAGCCAAAGCAGCTCGTCAAGCCGCGATGGATAAGCTCGTACCCGGGATTGATCCGTCAGAGTACGGGCAGATGCCGGCATCGTATCATAGCAACTCACAGAGAGTGGCGAAGACTACCATCGAGACCGACGCGGTGGAGGAGAGGCCCGCCAACGCGCCGGACAGTGTGAGGAAGCCTATCAGGCCTCCAATATTACCCCGAAATGAATATGAAGGGGTCGTCGATTCCGATGATGAGTCGGACGAAGGTGAGGATCAAGAGGAGGAGGAGGAGGACCGACCTCAGCTTGTCGGAGATGTGGAAATCAATATGGATGAAGAGGAAGAGGAGTTCATTGAATTCGCTCGGCAAGCCCTAGGTCTATCGGATGAACAGTGGCGGGACATTATACAAGACCGTAAAGACAGAGGAGGTGAGTCCTTGTCATTGTCCGAGGTTGTGACTATACTGATTATGGTGCGATACAGCTTTCATACCTGCTTCCGCACGGAACGGTAACAAGTCCGTACCGAAGACATCCACCACTGGCCTCAGCTCGTCTTTGCCTGTGGGTGAAGACCATTCGCGACAGGCTCGGTCAACCAAGCCGGGAGGTAATCCCAATCTGGACTCTTTCGAAGCCGTGATGCAGGCTATGGATGCTGAGCTCGCCTCAAAGAAGTCCGGCGGGGTGCCGAAGCCCGCGAAACCAGACAAGGGGAAGGGGAAAGCCAAGGGCCAGGATACAGCGTTGGAAGACGGCATGGACATCGAGGAAGCGATGGACGCCGAGCTTAGGGCGGCGATGGAAAGGGGCGAAGAAGAGGGCGAAGAGGGCGCAGAAGGCGAAGAGTCGATCGATTATAATCTCATAAAGAATTTCCTGGAGAGCTTCAAGAGTCAGGGTGGTTTGTCCGGGCCTGTGAGCAATCTGGCAGGCCGACTACAGCAGGGTTGGACTATGCCTCGGGATGAGCAATGATGCTTACCCGTTTGACAATGAAAGATATGTATGAGTATAGTCTGTTATGTATCTCTAGTCATGGTATGCTCCCTTATGCCCCTGCCTCGAGCTATGCAATCAGCGTGCCGGCGGCACCACAATCTGAGCTGTACGGTGTCGGACCGTCCGACTGTCTGCGGAACTATAGACTGGGTTGCTGAAAGTAGGAGGTTGATGCAAGTTCGACGTTCAGCAATAAAGGCAAGCTGCTGAGAAGACATGATCCATGCAGTCCTGATATGTTAGGCTTGTTCTTGTACAATGTCAGATCGTGCACGCTGACATATCATTCCCTAGTCAATACGTCTGGTGTACCTCGACTGACCAAGTTCTACAGCCCCATACACCATTCATCCCAGACACTCGTACAGAGGATATTCTCCTTGATATGCACGCGTCCGGCCGGACTCTGCAATTTTCTGGACGCGCCAGAACTAGAAGAGTTCTTGGGCAAGAAGAGTCACGAAGATGAGAGACTGAGAGTGGTCTACCGCAGTTACGCTACTCTGCACTTCGTCTTCCTGGTGGATGCGTCGGAGAGCGAACTAGGTATCTTGGACTTGATACAAGTTAGTCTCTGTGACGCTTCGCCTGAACAAGGTCCATTGATGCGGGCACGTAGGTTTTTGTAGAGTCACTAGACCGTGCCTTCGAGAACGTATGCGAGCTGGATCTCGTGTTTCACTTTGACGAGGTATGTTTGGGTGTTACGCCGGCTAGGCATACCGCCTTACACGCTTTAAAGGTTCACCATATTCTGGCGGAAGTGATTCAGGGAGGACTCGTACTGGAGACCAACCTCGACGAGATAGACAGATCGAGTTCGTACTCTTTGTTTCTCTACTTATTTGTCTCTGACCTCCAATACCCGCCTACCAGTAAAGCAAGCGGCGCAAGCGAGGAAGACATCCTTTGCGTCCTCCAACCCTCTCTCACTTGGTGGCGGTGGCGGTCTGGGCCAGCGCTCCGCTGGATTGCAGACACCTCTGGGTTGGCTCACGGGCAAGCTTTCGGGAGTCGGCGCCATATGACTAGATGTTCTCATCCTACAGGCTCTTGCACAATTATCACGAAGAGAGACCTCGGCAGGAACTGTATAATGGTAGTGCTGCTTCCCTGTAGCTATAGTTGTAAATCTATCCGGCTGTGACAAGCAGTGCATGACGGCGGGAGAGCGTACTTCAAAGACCGTCGAGCGCTGGAATTTTGGTACCGTGAACACAACACGAACGGATGGGGAACACGCGTACGCAGCTAAAATACACATGGACTGCGCGTGACGGGTTTGGTACAAACGCAGAATTCAAGGATGACGAACTCCAAAATCCCGTACTATGCTACTGGTGACATCCGTCAAGTCGCGGCCGAAGCCGCCAGGGAGGTCCCTTCATACGACGTGGCCATTGAGTGTCGACACACGAAGACCAAAATATAGGACTTCCACATACGTTTTTTCTTCTTCTTACCAGCTCCCGGGACACCTTTCACAGAAGCAACCTCCTGGGGAGCAGGCACGCTGGCTAGCGTTCTCCCTTGGGGCTCTCGATCCGCTACAGGAGCAGGTGTGGCAGACGAACGTGTCACGGGCGTTTCCGGCACACTAGCACTCTCAGTAATCGGTGGAGGAGCCTGCTCGCGCGCGGCCGTGTGTGCTGCTGTGGTGCGCATGGCGTTGTACATGAGCATGTTGTTCTGCAGTTTATTTGCAGCTCTCCGTTTCACAGAAGCAGAGGGAGTGCCTTGACCAGCGGCAAGTTCATTGGCGTTCTCATCCGGGGCTAGTGGATCTTCCTCCCCTCCACGTTTTCCGCTAGCGTCCTCGGACACGGATGGGTCGACGATCGGCCATATGAACCCTGTCCGAGGGGTATAATCCGGCCTATGCTTTCGCAACGTGTCCAGAGAAGACTGTAATGCATTTACTGTTGCGAGCTAGTAATTTTCACGTCAAATAGAGCCCGACCGACATTGTACGAGCACCTACCAGACGGTTGGAGAGCACCGTGTAAACGTCGGGAGATTGATATATACGATTGTTCATAATGAAGTATGCGGCCAGTGGTCTGACTGCACTTTCTCAGCTATCACTTTCAGAGACATGGATGAAGTCCAGAATTGGTCTACCATATTCGGGAGATAAACGCTCCCTCTTGTGTATGATGAATAACGAGGGTGGTTGGGCATGGACAACCGCGAACTCAATGCCAGTGAAGCGTCTACGGAGCTGCGTGAGAGACGATCAAGGCCATAGGTGGGAAGACGCTTGCTTGAGTTCTTCTGCTTCGTTAAGCAGAGGCTGGCCGGTATGCATCGTTTGCATGCGGAGCACTTGATTGTTGCTCTGCTTGTCATAGAACATGGACGTCGCGAAGTAATCGAAGACGTTTTCCGCCGTCAGAGGACCATTAGCCTACGATATGCTCGTCTTATCAATGGAGGATATCAGTGCGGTCGGTTGTGGCTCTTGCCTGTATCCACTCATGCCAGATGAAGAATCTGTGGCTGTAGTCATCAGGAGGGTGCAAATCGGTCATGTCCATCTTCGGAAGTCTCGAGATTCTCCCCGCCACTGAAGATATTGTATGCTACGGGTCAGTATGTGTCTGCCAGTTAGTATCAGCGCCAGTGTTTTGTTGAACTCGACAAGTGTGGCAGAGTCACTTCGTGCGCGTGACAGCCGTCGGCAAGACGCGTCGGTGGCTGAAAGTATCTGTACATACCCCTCCTGCAACCCTCCTGAGCGTGGTTTCAGATTTCTCACACTCTCTGTGTACTCTTGGACGACCTCGTACTCTGAGGACTGCTTATCGAAGCGTTAAGGCGCTTTGAAGTCCCCAAATGGTGACGGTCGTAATTTGCCTTGAGTATTCCAGTGTCAAATACGCCTGATGAAGGTTCCTACGCTGGCTTGACGTTCGACAACTTTCTCCCTCAGTTGTTGTCTTGGTAGCGGTGTGACTTGGTGCATCGCTCAACCCTTTCTTTGCATACGCCCAGGGTCATCCATTCCGAATAACTTGACCTGGGCTTCGAACCCTATCTGTTGCCATTCCACCACCGATACAAGCAATCGAGCGTCCTCTGAGAAAATCCGGCTGCTACTTGCTTTGTTCGTCTTATTCCGTTTATATCCGCCTGTTTGACAGTGTCCGCTTTCGTCGCAAGTAAGGGATACGAACTATCAATGCGGCCTTCCAGACTTCGGGCGCAACCTCTGACATTTGACAGCCTGTGTGCTCCCAGAGCCTCCCTTAAGTGGTCATATAATCCATTAACTGATATCATGAACCAATGTTATTTCTGGATCGTCAGGGTCCTGGGGAGTCGGATGCCCGTGGATCCAACCATTCGCCGATACCCATGCGTCCGCCCACACCATGGTTGTCTACTCAATCAACATGCAGTATACTGAACGTTTCTCTCAGGTACCCTGACTCCTCTGTCGGAGACGACGTTCCGCCGTCACGCCTGGTATTGGGACAGAAAGAGGTCAGGGAAGGGAGATCAAGTTCGATTAACCCCAAGAAACTTTCGAGGACGCCGTCAGGCTAAAGCTCTTCCTCTCAATCAACTTGCAATCAACGCTAGTAAGTTTGCATGTTGGTTTCGTTCTCTGCTCTACGTCGCTGCTTACGTCCATAGTAGCAGAGCCAATCAGTGAACAGCCTGGCTTTGTTTCAGGTATGATCCCGGCTATCATGTATCTAATCACATTCCGCCCTGCACGGGCGTTATTATAACATTTACAATAGCGCCTTACGCTGTATGCCGCGAACTGCCGGCTGCTCCAGTTCAAGTTCAGAGGGAGCAACAATCGAAGCCTAAGAGTGCAACGCTCAATTTTATTTCGTGACTAAGATTACATTCACATTCGTAGGCGCTACTACATCGTATAAGTCGTACAACATTGACTAAAATTAAGCAGTCCGTGTAAATTCTTGCGTCAGGCATCGCCACATTGGTTTAGAAAGCCACTCTCTCAACCAAGCCATCCAACTCCCGCTCGTAGCAACGGTGCTTGCTGAGCTCGTACGCGAAATTGGCAAGGAATCCCTTGTCTCCCTTCGCAATCTTGAACGGCTCAGCAGCAGCATTCGTCACACCGTAGGTACCGGTAGTCACAACTCCGTACGACGAGACAACAGAGTCGCTACCAGGGGCACTCTGGAACTCGACACCCGGTAGGCTGACCGACTCCCTCAGGAAAGCGACGGCCTCGCCAACTGCTCCAATAACCTTGCAGTGGCCGAAGGCCTCCCGCACCCAATGCACGGCACGGCCGTTCTTGGCGAGCCTCTGGACGTGCTCAGCACCCGAAGGAATGATCAAGGCGTCGAACATGGTAGAGCGCTGACCCTCGTAGTGATGGTCGGCTACCATACCTTCGCCTTCACCGACGACCTGGCCGGCAGGGTATACCTTGCCGCGGCGAGGCCCGATGAGCCAGGTCGTGGCCAAGCCAGCCTTGAGAGCAGCGCGAATCGCAAGGACCTCGGAGCCGCTGAAGCCATCAGCAACGAGGATGGCGATGCGGCGGGACTTGATGGTCGGCTCCGCGGGCACATAGTGAGTCTGCGACAGCCTATCACTCTTCTTGCCGTGGTTGGACCGGGCAGGGGCTTCAGGGATGACACCGCCGACATTGATAGCGACTTGCTTAGCAAGGTCGAAATCAATATTGTTCAGGATCTTCGTGTACGATTCGTAGACCACTGGGTCATCGCAGTGCGACAGCTCAAAGGAAATAGCTCCAATCAGATGAGCCTTCTCGTGCGGAGCCAGCGAGTTGTAAAACAGCTGCGCCTGATTGTAGTGCTCCTGGAACTTGGAGCCACGGACGCGGTGCTTGATACCCTCCACCTTCTGAGTGAACCTATTTGGTACAAAACTCGAGTCAGTATCGCGGGAAATGGCTACAATGCTGCGAACTGCGGGCGTACTCTGCATAGCCGCCCTCCTTCGTGGGGACAGGAGGGAGCGTTCCTTTGCGGTTCGGCCAATAGTTGATCTGTCCCTTAGTAATCTTGTGTCTCATTTGTCCATCACGGTGGTTGTTGAGGACAGGACAGACAGGACGGTTGATGGGGAGCTAAGTGCGTGCAGAATCACGACATGAGTAAGCTGAACTAGACCTGACAAAGCATACAGAGACGCTCACCTCTTGCCAGTTAACGCCAAGGCGGCTAATCTGAGTATCGAAATAGGAGAAGTTACGGCCTTGCAGCAGCGGGTCGTCCGAAAACCCAATACCGGGGACAACGTGTGAAGTACAGAACGCAACCTGCTCGACTTCGGGGAAATACTCATCGACCATGCGGTTGAGGGTCATTTCTCCAATGTATTCGATCGGGATTAGCTCCTCGGGCCAGAGCTTAGTTGCGTCGAGGATATCGAACTCAAAGTCGTGCTCATTGGCCTCGGGAATGACTTGGATGCCAAACTTCCACTTCGGATAGGCCCCGTGGGCGATGGCCTCCTCGAGATCCTTGCGGTGGAAGTCAGGATCTTGCCCGGCGATCTTCAAGGCCTCATCCCACACTAGACTGTGAACACCCAATTCGGGAGTCCAGTGGAACTTGACGAAGAAACGTTCGCCCTTGGCGTTCAGCAGGGTGTAGGTGTTTACACCAAAGCCTTGCATGGTGCGGTACGACCGCGGGATGGCTCGGTCAGACATCACCCACATCACCATGTGGGCAGCTACAAGTCGACAAATGCCTTCAGAAGAGCGCATATATGAATGAATCAATGCACTTACATTCAGGCTGCAATCCGACGAAATCCCAGAAGTTGTTATGAGCACTCTGGCCCTGGGGGACCTCGTTGTGAGGCTCAGGCTTGACCGCATGGACGAAGTCGGGGAACTTGATGGCATCCTGGATGAAGAATACCGGGATGTTATTGCCGACAATGTCCCAGTTGCCCTCCTGCGTGTAGAACTTGGTGGCAAATCCACGGACGTCTCGAACAGTATCCTGTCAATTGACGCCGCAGTCAGGAAGGGCTCGATGACGTATGAGTGGATTGAATGAATCTTACAGCGCTGCCGCGCGAGCCCTGCACAGTACTGAAACGGACAAAGGTTGGGGTCTCCCTCGACGGGTCCGTCAAAACAGGGGCATAGGTATACTTGGATGCGCGATCGTCGTAGACACGGAATACCCCGTGGGCCCCGGCCCCGCGAGCGTGTACGACACGTTCCGGGATCCGCTCGTGGTCGAACCGCATAATCTTCTCGCGGGCGACCTGGTCCTCGAGCAGCGAAGGGCCGGCATGTGTTCCGTTGGTAACCTTGAGCCTGCAATAGCATGTCAGCTACCATTGATGGCTTCGGATATTAAATGTGAACGGACGGACCAGTTATCGGTGTCGGAGATGTATGGACCGTAGTCCAGGTTCTGACCCTTCCTATCATTGTCACCCGGGTCGATGATGTTGCGCCGCATATCGTTAACTTTGGCGTCGCTCATGACGCTGGAGACAGCGGATTTGACGGTGTTGGCGACGCCCGACATAGCTGGGAAAGAGGAAATTGACGGCCCATGGTTGGCGCAGCAGTTTATATATGTTGGGAGGGGTAATCAGTTCTTTGGGAGCGGGTCATGGAGGAGCAGCAGGGCCCGCTGCAGAGCTCGCAAACGTCACTGACGTCGTCGACGCGATGCTGCTCGAGTCCAGCTGAGTGAGGATGACGAACAGCGATCCAATCCGTCCGCCTGCACGTGACGCCAGGTGACGCAACAGACGCGCGCTCATTGGCTGCGCACGCAGAAGCAGGACTAAGACGCACCAAGTCACGGCTTCTCGTTCAGGCCTGCGATCTCCAGTGGAGCAGCTCAGCATCCAGACACTCGTATAAGGCTTTATGTATTCGTAAACAACAAAAGCGTACATAGGCTCAAATTTACTACGAGATCTGGCGGGCTGCATTATTAGAGCAGGCGTCCGTCCTTAGCTTACATTACATTCGAGGGGGGCACCCGGAGTAGAAATGACGAACAAGTGACGCAAACTAAGCAGAAGATAAATATGACAGAACCAGACGGATGGTCCAGGGACGTGGCATAGCATAATAGACAAAGAACTGGATAAGAAAAGGTACTTAACCCTTCAGAAGGAGACTTGCACTCTGCCTCGTCCAGTCAGCGCCGAGGGCGCACTGCACGGAGAGATGGAGCACTACACGACAACGTTGGTCACCGGGCCCAGCTCGTGCGTCCTGGGCAGGACCATACATAAGGAATGCGGGAACACTTCGAGCAGCAACGGCGCTCCGCATAACGCGGTGGGATGGCCGTCAAATGTTTGCATATACCAGAAGGTGATCGCGAAGGAGTGGTCTACCGGGGAACTGTGAGACATGGCGCCTACGGAATATAGATGGAAGAAACATACGCATAGATAGGATAGTCTAATTCGCCATCGACGTCGTTGCAGCCTACTTGACGTCGTTGCAGTCGCAGCTGCGGTCTCTGCCAATGTAACCCCGGCCGCAATTGTCGCACCAACCCCTGGACGCTTTCTCAACGCCAATGGGCTTCCTCGTCTGCGTCGGGCACGCCGACTCGTCGCGGTGGATGCTGACGAGATGCCTGCCCAAGTCATGCTTCCGACTGAAGGATCTTCCACAAGACCGGTGGGGGCAAATATGAGGCTTCGGCCGGTTGGGGTCGTGCGTCGCGATGTGCGTCTTGAGATTGTACGCGCGAGCGAATGCTACATAAAGGATGGTCAGCGACATGTATCAACGGTGGAATATATATAAAGCTTACATCTATGACAGGTGGGACAAGGGTACTTCTTGCGCGGGTCTTCGTACTCCTCCTTCTGGGCTCGGCCAAGAGGGGGGATGACGGGCACAGACGGCATAGCGGGCATCTTGGGTGACACGTTCGTGGACGAGGCGCTGGTAGAATCAGCCCTCGGGCGCGGGCTATACTTGTACTGCGGATAGTAGTCCGACGAGGACGAGCTGAAACCGCTGTTGTGGACACCGCCGGATGGTTCGTAGTCGGACAGGCTTGCACGGCGGTCATATGACACGGCCCGCTCAAAGGCGCTTGGCGGCGCAGCACCCGAGGAATTGTTGGGCGCCGGGGCAAGTTGCATGGAGCCGTAAGAGGTGGGGTCAGCGGCGTAGCCGGAGGATTGCTGCTGCGCGACATTGGCGACAGCGGCGTAGTCATCGATTTGGTTGTGTCCGACACTGATGCGGCGGAAGTCCATGTCGAGGTCGAGGGGGAAGGAAAGGTTGGAAGGAGCGTAATTAGGGGAGCTCGGGTAGTTGTAGAATGACTCCGAGCGGGAGGACAACGACTCATAAGCCGATTCTGAGGAAACGGTGATTGTGGACGGAGGTCCGTTATAGATGGGCGTGTCCGACCTGAGGAATGAGAAGGCGTCGTTTGAATCAACAGTTAGGAGCTGCAACTGGAACTGATCCGAGCAGGCCTCGAGGCTGCGGTCGAGCTCGGATTCAAAAAGATCCGGGTGGGGGGCGAGGAGGTCTGAAGGCGACTGAAATGAAAAGAGATCGAAGCCCGCAAAGGCCTGTTGCTGCTTGTAGTCGGCAACCGCAGGGGTGGACGACTTGTTATTCTTGCCGAACGACTCAACGTCGAGGGCAGGCGGGTAAAACGAGGCGAAGGGGTCTGACTCCATATCTTGGTAGGGGGCAGGGGGCAATATAAAGGCTGCTGGGGAAAGCTAATGAGGGTAGGAAAGAGGGAGGTGACTGGCAGAGGTGACGGTAAAAGAGAGACGGTCACGGATCTGCTGCGCATGGACACGTACCCTCTGGAGCCCGCCGGCATTCCCACCCCTCGATGCTGTGCGGGACCGCGCTAGGCCCGGTTTGGTTCGGCCTCCCACGCGGTCTCTCCGTTCCGGTCCTCTACTGTGTGGGCGCTGCCGCCCGTGCTCGTCTGCGCAGCGCAGCACGCGTCGTGGCGAGCGAACTGGCGTCTGCCAGGCCAAACGAAAACATACCATCCCAGTCTGCCTGCATTATTCTACACTCGGTCCAACGCTTGCCCGTGTTGTCAGGCTGCTGACGTTATTTTTACCTCGGCGCGTTTCCATCGGCGCCTGCAATGGTGTCTGAGAAACAATTCGCGCCCCCGTCGTCACTGTCACGTTTGCCTTTCCGGGAACCGTCGCGTTCCCTCCATCTCATCTTTGACGATGCTGAATCAGCGACCATAATATTATCATCAGCGGCGCCGACGACTTCATTCTTTTCCTGTTGCGTGTTTGCGACCACCGCACTAGCCTGGCTCAACGCTGACTGGATTAGGCGTTATATGATAGAGTGCGCACCGCTCGATGATGGGGTTCCATCAACCTCGGTCTCCTGCCGCAGGGTCGGCGAAAGGTGAGCGAAAGGTGATTGACATGCACCGCCATCAGAAGCGCAGGGTCTCATCATCCGGTCTTCTACCTATACGCCGGGCAGTGAGGGTCGGCGCGTTCAACGTTCGTTCTTAGATCGGCGCGTCCATGGACCTACGGAATCTGAACGTAACCAGTCCATCACGCAGTTTGAGTTGCACCCAAGGTTCGATGCCCTGAGCTGACTAGTCAGTACTTGCCCCACCTCAGTCGCCTGGGGCATCGAATAGCTTGCGCTCAAGATACCATTGACAGTTGCATCATATCACTGCTCCAGCGGCCATTACTGGCACCTTGACAAGGCGCTGCCGGTTTCGTTTTCGACCGCCAAATCCCTCTCCGGCCCCGGCGGGGCAGACCTAGTCATTCTCCAGGTACATTTGCGATTCGGCATGCAAGTAGCCACTAAAGGCCGTATCTGGTTCCGAGTCATCGATATGTCACTTGATGCGGAACATTGCGTACCACCCACAAATAAGCTCAATACACTCTCGTAACAGTTGTCCACCTCTGTCTTTCCCGCTGATATTGAGTAATGAATGTCCATAAAGGACCATTCAGGGCACCCTGGTTACCGTCCGGTCACGCTCCGACAAAGTGGTGAAGGGGTCCTTATTGGCACCGGCTTCCACCAACATGATTTGATTTCAAGGATCAAGTCGCTGATTGATACCACATCGACACTTCTATGTACTGTGTGCGAACTAAAAGCGACGACGGCGTATATCAGCAGAAGCGGCGTTCAGGTAGAGCACGTACTTCAAAGGCAGTGGACAACCTGCAGGCTGGTATGTCTTCCGCCGGATACAGATGTCTATGCCTGTAGTGCGTGAGCTAGGTTTACCGTCTTGACTATAAATGCAGTGATCCTGACCATACGCTGACGAGCGTCAAACGGCGGGCGGGCTAGCGCTGACTCACGAGCAGCAGGGTTCCTATTTAGTTCCCCGAGACAATGAGAACAAACGTTTTGCGAAAATGACCTATGGCGTCGGGCGCTCGACGCTCTGTCACTGTCGCAAGAAGTCATCAGTTACCGGCAGCTGCCAGACTTTGTTCTTGAGTACCCTAATCATGGTAGCTCGTAGAATGATGTACACGTCCCCCCTTGTAACACATCTTCCGCCGGCTAGAAGGACTCACTCACGGCTCACGCTAAATATGCACCTTGAACACGTAGCGTCAGGTGACTCACCAAAAGTTGGGAAATGCAGCATGGATTTCTCCGGTACTGTCAAGTCACTGCTCCCAAAAATGTACCGATAATAGCCATGAACAAGTTGGAACTTTTCGGAATTCCGCAGTCCCGGAGTGACGGGTATGCCACACCATGAAGACATCCGGTGGAGGAGGCTGTCTTCGTGTTCGCTGTCTTCGTGTTCACCAGCGTGTCGGGGATCGACAGGGAACAGCCCAGAAGTCCCACTGCCGGAACTTCGGTATCAACCCGCCACTGCAAAGCCTAGGATCTTGCATCAGGTCCCACCTACAAGCATAATTCGTGGAGGCTCTGGAGTTACATAGGGCTACGGGACTAGTGAGGAGACCTGAGAGCAGCCAGAAGTACCCTTGTGTTTCTTGCGGACTCGTCTTAGCGTATCTCAGAGTGATTATCCGCACCGGCGAGACTAGACGTTGCGGTTGTGTTGCATTCGCACCTAACGCCCATGTCATCCGAGTCCGGTTATCCGTAACGCGCGAAGCTTCACGAAGGGAAGTACGTACTCCACCATTTCAATCCGCTTCAAATCGTGTGCGCGAGGGCAGCGCTGATGTCTATGAACTCTTCTATCATCGCCATCGTCACTTGCGAACGGCAGAATGTTTAATGATGGCATGAGATAACATTCGTGCAGAGTTCGTGTTACCCTGCACGATCGCACGCTAGGCACAGTCTTCTCGGCGGCTATCCGTAGTTGCGGGGGTGATCGATCATAGTAAGTAGCGCACCAACAGCAAACCAACAGTGGCAGTGAACTAGGATGGACGTCGACTCCGAAGCAGGAATTGCAGCGTGAGCTCGAATCGGGAGGTTGCCCTACATATTGCTGGTGCATTAGGCGCCCTCGACGCCCGCCTAGCTCAATCGGATAGAGCGTCAGACTCTTATGACTAGGCGATCTGAAGGCTGCGAGTTCGACCCTCGCGGTGGGCTAGTGTTTTTTACTCCTTGCCTGAACTGTCTGAAATGACTATTTTCATCCCTTCTATCTCCTTGCAGCTGCCCATCCGGGCCATCCCTTGTCCCTCCCCTCTCAGCTTCTTGCCACTACCCACAATACTGTAGTGGCTTCTCTTATGCACCTTTGTACAAACACTTTGTATTGGGTTGAGGAAGAACTTGGGTATTGGTATCCGGCCTCTGTCGACGGTCATGGAACCATTAGCATTGAAACATGACAGGGTAACTTCATAATGTTATTCCTATGTTCACATGTACGCCAGGCTCGGTTGACAGGCTGCTTGAAAAGGATCTTGGAAATTTCCATGTCTACAGTGACTCGGAAAAGTATCTGGACACCCTACTATGTCTGAATTCTAAAATCCATGTACTTCGGCAGACTGACACCCCCTATGTAACATTGGTGCCATTTTCTATAGGGTGCCAAGGACTACCTGACACACCTACCAAAAGTTGTAGATACTGCTGCTTATAGGAGATATGGTCAATGGAAGTTGTGTCTTATTTGGCACTTGAGAGAATCCACCACTCTACCCTGAGGGCACCTGCTTCGGGCTTCACTATACCTCTTTCATGTAGCTCAGGTGCCATAGAATAGGATCCCATATGCATGGCTACTGAGGTCTGCTCAAGGGCTTGCTGAAAATTGCACAAGAAATATTGACTGTGCATAATGTATTATATACAGATACATGAAAATGGAGAGGTATTAAGTCTTTGAGTTTGTAAATTGGATAATTGAGGCTAATAAATTATGGGGATTAGGGAAGTGAAGCTGCCCTAGTAATAGAGGGATCCCCAGCTGGTGACTATCTCGGGTATAGCACAGTATCTAATTTTTTCAATCTTTTATTCCTTGGGCTATGCAGTGCCTGGCAAGATAACCAGGTGCTGGTCAGAGAGCTTGGACCTTGCATCTGTCATTATCATAAAAGATTACCAAGAGACTGTGTGGTCCATGGGCAGCTCATATTTCAACCAAGCTTGCCCAGGTGACCTACTGCAGCCATTGGTATAGCCTCAGTATCTCGAGCTACAGACAAATGAGCATGCACATTGTATACATCTACAAGTGCCATTTAGTATGCAACTTCTGTTTCTCAGGGAGCCTGAGCCTACAAAGGATATACTTTTTTTGAAACCTGCAGTGTCCAGATACTTTTGTGAGTCACTGTACATGGAAGAGCTTGTTGCAGTCCCCGACTCCCACGGTAGTTGGGAGGAGGGTTCTGTCGGGAAGAAATGGTCGCTCCACCATACAACTCGCTCTCGCCGTGAGAACCTCATGTAAGCAACGTCCCGACCGGACCGACGCCACTTTCGTTTCGACTTGAAGACAACTGCCCACACACACCTGACGTGAAAGGTCAAAGTGATGCAGTGCATAGCATTCGATAAAAGGATGCATTGACACAAGTGAGGCTGACAAATGTGACTAGTATCTCTGAGCGGGAACTGGGAGGAAGCCCCTTTAAATACTGATGTAGATATAAGACAGGACTTTATCGATACTGTGTATGTGTCCGCATGCGTCAAAACTGGCATTCCGCAACTTGACCAGACACTAGTACTGGAATACTTGATGGTTTCTGACTGGAGTCGGGGATTGGCGCTTGCGCCGCTACGATCAATACAAGATGACAAAAATAAGTGCTAGCCCACCGCGAGGGTCGAACTCGCAGCCTTCAGATCGCCTAGTCATAAGAGTCTGACGCTCTATCCGATTGAGCTAGGCGGGCATGAAACCTGTCATAGTATTGTAGTCATAACAATTTGTCACTTGGAAGCCATCCAATTGAACCTAATGATACAGCAGCTCCGAAATACGAGAAAACACAGCAATACAAAGCAATCTACGAGTAAACTCACACTCCAACCCTACCCGGAGTGTCAGCAGGGGTAAGAATCTAAGAAGGAAAGATCTCACCGATGAACAACCTTCTTCTGTTGTTTGAGGGTCAAGTTGAGTCAGTGTGGCAGCTGTCAACCACTGGACACGTACTTGTCCCGAGAACCTGATTATTTCCCTCTTCTCTAATACGAACAACGTCCGCTCAAGCGCATGGCTTGAAAATCCTTGTTGCGTGACGAATTCTTTCACCAAGCTTTGGTAACTCGTGCTCCATCCGACTGGGAGCCTCCGTCGCAGTTCTTTCTCAATCTGGTTCATCTCATCATGCAATGCTCCTCGGGACAGGCCTTCCACTGATCCAGCAGAAACAGCATCCATCGTAGAGAATTTGAACAGTCGAATTGCCTCATCGACGTGGTGATTCTTGACCACTGGTGACAAAGTCATTTTCGCGAGGGATTCCGATATCCGGATTATGGCTTCCAGTTGACTGTAATGATATCAATAAATTAGGGTTAGCACGGCGCGTAGCTGGGGCAGGAAAGACACGAACCGAACTGTTATAGGTATGGAGCTGCGCTCATCGTTATCTCTCTCGACCTGCTGTACTTGTTTGCGTAGATCCACGAAGTGACTGCTCAATTTCTCTTGTGCTTCCGCGGACAGCCGAGGGGCACATTTACTAGTGAACATTGGTTAATAAATAAAGGCCGATAACTTGATTTAGCAGCAGACTCACGCCTTGCAGTACGCGATGTATCTTTTCATCTTGTCGATATCAATCTCACCCACTGCCTCCCCATTTTCGTCAGCCGCCTGGTTCGGCCTATTCATATGAATGTTCATGACATGTTTTGCGATCATCTACACAAGTCACGTCGGATTCAATAACATGAGGCTAGCTACTTGTAGTACTCACTCTGTCTCTTTGTTCGTTATGTTCATCCTTGACGATGAAAATCATGTCGAAACGTGAAAGGATGGTGGTTTGAAAGTCTATGTTCTGGACCAGCACGGGTGAAAACGAGGCTTCCCTACCCTAACAGACGGTCCACGTACCTCACCCGGACTTCGACCCTCATCATACCGGCCCCAGACAGGGTTTGCAGCTGCCAGAACACTGGTACGTGAATTCAGTACAGTTGTGATACCTGCCTTGGCGATGGAGATGGTTTGTTGTTCCATCGCCTCATGTATGGCCACTCGATCTTCATCACGCATCTTGTCAAATTCATCAATGCATACTACACCGGCATCGGCAAGGACCATCGCGCCACCCTCAAGATAGAACTCCCTCTGCAGCCACATACCTTAATCGGGTAATACTGACAGTGAGAATAGTTACTCACCGAGACGGAATCCCTCTGTACGGATGCTGTCAAGCCGGCTGCACTGGATCCTTTGCCCGAAGTATACACTGCAATCGGTGCAACCTATCCTTACCAATCAATATACAAATAAGATGCAAGACGGACGGAATGCACCTTTTCCACGAATTTCAGCAACTGACTTTTCGCAGTCCCCGGGTCTCCGAGCAGTAGAACATTTATGTCTCCTCGTAATCGCATGCCGTCTGGTAGGACTTTCTTCGAGCCTCCGAATAGTAGGCACGTGATAGCCTTCTTGATGTCTGCACAAATGAATAGAACCCCCGCCACAGAGGCGAAATGCATACCCAGACTGCCATAAATACTGGGGCCGACACTTCTCGCAAACCGCTCATAAAATCCTTCACTTCGTGCCATCTCTCCGAATTCTTCCTCTTCTTCAGGCGAGAATTGAACCCCGAAAGGGTTCGATCCGCCCGCCGCGCCTGTAGCGGAAGAGAGTTCAAGGTGAACTAGCCGTAGATATGGAGTCCTGAGAGCGGAGCTACTTGACCCTTTCTGAACAATGATAAGGCACTGGCAAAAGTATCAAGCACAATCTAGGACTCACGTTCTTAGCTGACTGGAATGTTGAATAGATACCAGTGGCTACTATCCTGGACCCCGGCACGGCCTTCCCTGTCAAGTACCTATCCGCCGATAGGAGCATGTGCCTCGGCAATTCGCCAACGGGAACCATGTCCGGAGCCTCTTGAAGTTTTAGAATTTGATGATCGGAGAATGTTGATTTCGAGTGGACGATAATGTAAGGGTCGAGAGGACAATCCTTCTTCTGATTCGGGAGTTCTGGCGCATCGCAGACCCGAGGTAGCCCCTTGTCAGAACCACCACCCAAACCACCCAAACCGCTTGGAGGGTAGATGATTTTGGTCGAACGGCAGGCACGACATTGAAGATGGAGCTTCGTCGCGCGGGAAGAGAGGACTGAGGCAGATATGACAATACCAGGAACACGAACCAGTTTGCTCATGGTGTTCGCGGTCAGTTCCCGGAACTGTTGCAAGTTGAGCCCAGACTTGATTGCGACCTGGATTTTAGGTATTGACTGCGCCAGCTCGGCCACATCGTCGGAACCACTGGCAAGCGGAAAGAGAATGGTTCGGGCCGCGGTGGTAGCAGCGGTCTCAAACTTGGATATCCCAGACCGTGTCAATCTTGACAGAGCGATGAACATACTGCACTCACCAGGGGCAATACATCTGAAGGTCTGTCTTGTATTGCGTGTGCAAGTTCATCATTGTACAACCCAACATGTCGGAGGTCGACTTCTAACTGATAATGTTTGAGAAGAAGATTTCCCCGAAGCTTGTCCCTAAATTCTCGAAGTCAGCTACCAGAGAGACCACTGCGACTCGTCGGCGACTACTCGCCTGTAGATGAACTCTCCGCCAACACGATATTGTAGTAAGAAGTCGAGCAAGAGTTTCTCTGTCTCAGCGGGAGAATCCGGAGAGGTAACAGGGGGCTGATCGTGTACAGAGACTGAATAGACCCGGTTCGCGTCGAAGCCAGACATGGTGGTGTTGTGGAGGAAGTCGCGTCGCGAGCGACGCGCTGTGACCGTGGTAATACTTAATTCAATAATTAGGGAGAGAATTCAGGTTTAGGGCCGGCGCAAACGCGTCATATTGTGAAAGGATTGATAATATATAGTACTTAGGCACATAATGCTTATCCCGCATAGCTCAGTTGGTAGAGCGCGACACTAGTAATGTCGAGGTCAGTCGTTCGAGTCGGCTTGTGGGAATTATTGTTGAGGTAAGCTTTTCGATGTCATTCTTTGTGAAATCCTGTTATTCTCACTGGTGCCAGTGGACGGAGACAGCGCCTTTTTTCTGGCTTTCGTTTGTGCTTGTGTGACCCAGTCGCTCCGAGCCGTGTGGCAGTGCTTAGTGTGAACGCCACACTTGCTACTACTCTATACAACGCGCTACGGGAGTTGAGTCTTTCGTACTCTCATACTCCCATTACCTCGTCGACCTTTGCTAGCTTTGTGGAATCCTAAAAGCCTACCATGAGCGCCATGGACACTGACGATGCATCCGTGGTACTCCCGCCCAGCACTACGACGTCGGGTCTGTCACTGTCATTGTGCGTGTGAGAGCAAGACTAGAAGTCTCGGGTTGAACAGTGATTGATACAGACATCCGCTCCCTATTCTGAACATATCAGAACACCTCACGCGACTGAAGCTACAGACAAATTCGACTCTACCCTTTGGTGCGTGGATCGCCGGTATGGAGTTCATATCAGTCACGCTTACGCGTGGGCCTCAGTCCTGGGTGCCCTGCTGGGCACTCAAAATGGCCGGGAGATCGAGATCGTCAATACTTTTGAACTTGCCGTAGATGAAGGGGAGAAAGTGGATCATGGATTCCTCGTGTCCAGAAGAGATCAATGTATGCTGCATAATCCAAGGTGCATCTGAGTTACCCTGACTATCAAGACTGTCACCCTGTTCAGACAAACAGGTGTTCCCATCCTTAGAGTTCATAGGCTGGTATTCCGTTGCCCCAGAACCAACAGCGCGTCATATAGCTCTTCACGAGCAAGTCTGTGGCCTTCTACCATACTGCATATCGTATCTCCTGACATCCCATTCTCCTAGTTCACGAGCTACGCCTCCACGCCACTCCTTCTCCTCCTTCAGCCAACCGCCACAAGACCGGTGGGGTCATCTACAGACGTCACAGCACAGACACTTCCGTTCAAAGCATACGAGCCGACGATCGAGATTCGCGATAGGAAGACCAGATGGATGTTCATCGAGGCATCCTACAACGTCGAGACTGGCGAAGCCGAGCGGATAGCTGTGGATTGGACAGCTAGAGGAGGCGAGGGCGGCACTAGCGGTAAGCCCTTGGGCGGACCTTGCGCGTATCAGCTGCTTACTTATTCCTCAAGTGGAATCTCATCTGCAGACTCAGAGAGCTGCAGTCCAAATGCTACACGATCGAATATTGGTACTGGTGCAATATGTTACCAGTGTCCTTGCAGGTGAGTCAAAATTTGGCTTCCTTGCGCGACGCTCTCCGACTGGATGGTAGGCCAAGCGCCAAAGGATTACATCGCTCTGCGCTCGCTATCGGCTTTGATTGCTTCCCTCCCAGCCAGTGAAAGTCCAGCGTTCAGAGAAGAATTCGACACTGTATGGAAGCTACGTTCGATTTGCTATTTGTTGCTGATTGCTCCCATTACAGGAATATGCAGATGTGCAACTTACCGCATATCTATCGACTCTCACGAAATCTGCAAATATCCTAAACGAGGTGAGTGGTACCATACACTTCCCTTATGCGGTTTCTGAGTATCGCTACTACTAAATCACTAGCTCGTCGACAAGCACCTCCTGGTCGCGTCCGGCGGAAGAGACGACGCGCGTGGTCAAGGCGGGCCCAGAAGACGAGGAATGGGTAGACAGGGAGGGATACCTGGGGACTGGGACCGAATGCATTGAGGTTATGTTCATCGCTCTCGCCAGCCTTCTTAGCTTGCTACCAGCGCGTTGTACAATACTGTTGTTGTGATTGTATGCATGCCTCGACAAATGACGCGTTGACTCGAGGTGGTTTCATCGAGGAGGGTCCATTTGATGAATGGTCCAATTGAGGAATACTTGGCCTGCTGTCAGTGTCACAGTGTGACATCGAGCGTCACTGAGATGCGGATCATGTGATGCAACTTCGCGTACGCACGCGTGTCGTCATTGACTGTGGCGGGAAGAAGGCTGTGGAAATTATCTCATTCGATCTGCGAGGCCAAGCCATTTCGCGGAGTGAGCGGCGTATATAATGAGTATGCCCAAGGAAGACCTGCACTTGATATTCCCCCAGAATACTCTTCGAGAACCGAGCTAAACTTCGCACAAAAATGCAGCGCGTCCACAACCTCTTATGCATGCTCGAGCGGCTGTCGCTTCCTGCCGTTACAGCCGAATCCTGCACTTCAGGCCTCCTGGCGTCAGCTCTTACATCACGGCCCAAGTCACCTACCATGCTCCTCGGTGGAATAGTGGCGTACTCTAACCCAGTGAAGCAAAAGCTCCTGAACGTCGATCCGGCAATACTGGACGAGCAGAGAGGGCCGGGCGAGGTTAGCAAGGAATGTGCGTTAGCGATGGCTAGGGGTGCATTGCACAACGTAGGGGTTCTGGATGTGGAAGGGCAGGGGGTCGGCATCAGCACCACAGGCTTCCTCAACGGTGGACCTCCGGGACGAGAAGGAGAAGTATGGATTGGATGTTGTTGGAAATTCAAAGACAGCACAGGCAGCCGAGCTAAACAGTACTGGGTCAAGAACGGGAAAGGAAGTATCGATGGGCAGGAGCATGAGGAAGCGGCTGACCAGCGGGATCAAGAGAAGCTGTGGGTAGTGGACAAAGCACTGGATCTGTTAACGGAGGTCGTAGAGGAATTGGAAAGCAAGGCGAAGGCAGGGAAGTTATAGTACTGTTACAGTAGAGTTCATGCCAAAGCGTGTACGGCTATCCAGAATATATTCGGTATTTGAAACGGGCCACCGTACCACTCGCCTGCATGCGTGGAAAGTTGAACATTGCAACGTCGTATTCCTGGGCGATCGCTGCAAGTTGGCTTGACTGTGAGTAACCCAAGAGTAACCTCCAGTTTCCAGAGGACCGGGGCTGAATGTGCATTATCGGCACCAGTCGGGATGGTTCAAGGATCGTCCGGATGGGTTCGGACTGTGAACTTGCTTGACCCTTAGTTCGAAGCAGTCGGAGAAACCACATTTTACGGCATGAAGCTATACGTGATTCAAAGCTGCAGCCTCCAGAAGGCTGTAAACCTTTTGTTCCACGGACTAGTGACCATATTGACTTTCAGAAATCAGATAAAAGAAACACCTTTTCAGCACCCGTGATGAGGCTTGAGGACAACTTTCCACCTAGACATCACATCTCTTCGCCGAGCCGACACCCCGACCCCGCATAAGGGTGCCCCGCGACTTGCCCTTGTAAGTCGTGCACTACATCTTCATCCACATGGGTACATCTTGATGCGTATGATCAATGCCGCCGTCTCAGACAGACCATGTTCCGTACAGTCCCGTAACACTGTTTTATCCAGCACATGCCCACCAGACGCATGGCTCGAATTGGAGCACCGGACCGCATATCTGTTGTTATCTAACGATGGTCTGACGTCCGACTCACTCTTTTGCGCCAGGCCCGAGGAAGGACTCGGACTGTTGGCCATCTTACTATACATCATGCATCCTGCGCGATAGGCACCCCTTTTGCGTTGTACCTGGCTCTTGTCGGCGCATGAACTCCCACGGGTTCTCTTTCTTGAAATCAGCTGGCACTGGATACCCCGGTCCAGTATCTGTTCTGCTAGATCGTTGGTGGTGGCGGCAACATTGGCAGCGCCGTCGCCGACCGTAGCTTCTCTCACTGACCATCTCGATATAGGCTATCCATGGAGCTATCTTACTCGAGTACCATGTTGTGCAACCTTGTGAGGATTTGTATCCCAGATACTATTCCGTCGCGCTCTCCGGCGAGCTTAGGGCCCCCAGTTGTCAATTCCCTCGGAGCCTGCTCTAGAAGCCAGTATCACGTCCGGACCAGTAGAAACAAGCCGATGTATCACCATGTCCTCTAGGATATTCCCCAGGTGAGGTTGTATTTCTACGCATCAAATCATAATCAACGAGGGTACGCTCGTTACTGAAGGAATGATGCAATACCTCGGGTTCCCAGACGTTCCGCTTGCTACCGATACGGCGTGTTGGACAGAGTAGGATATATAATGACAAGGGATCAGGTCCTTGGGCGCGTTTTCTCATCTTTGGCGGGTCATGTGTGACTGGCATCGTTCGCACCGTTGCCAGTATCAGTCACTGACAGGATTGCTTCCGACACTGCAGGAAGATATGAGGTGGGCAGCATTGACTCCTCTTTTGTGTCAGGTATACAGGAATCCCAATGTAGACCTTGTCATAACGAATAGCCGCCCCTTCCCAGGTACTCACAAATATGAGTATTTCGCCGAATGTGCGGGGCAGCGGGGCACCCGGTAGCTTGCCTAATAGTGCGCGCCAGTTACGGGTCAGTAGCAGCTACGTTCTATCCTATGATTTCAAAGAATCTGATGTCTAGATTGGCGGAAGTCCGTTTATCCTAGTAGAGCGTGCTTGTTATACAGAATGAAAACTAGGGAGTGACAGACAGTTGCCAAGTTGCAAATGTCAGCCAGCCACTCGCGGATTCGTCCCAGCGTCAATGATTGATAGTATCGGAAAGCAGAAAATGGTACATCGCTAGGAGATGATCAATCAGTTAGTTCCTGATCCTCTGCATCAATTTATATTCTCGTTTGACTGTTTATCAGATCCCGTCCCACAGCATATATTTTCATTGCTCCGAAGGATGGGCGATGATGGCATTCTTTCAAGGGGCCGCCCATACCACCGTTATCATGGAAGACCCTAGGAACTTATGCTGGTAATTAAATCCTCTGTGCTACCAGAGGGAACATGCACAACTGAAGTGCCCACTCCATTCGCTTTCCACCGGGGATTTCTTTGGGGTGATTGTTCAATCGATCTGTCTCGTTTGATGCGCCCATTCATAGTGCATCTTGTAGATGCTCTTTCGACAGGTCCAGATGGTACTGGCTCTGCCGAATGCAGGTTCAGGATTACATCAGCCTCTCAGGCTGCCCTCAAGATGAAACCGTTACCGCTCGGCACGTGATATGCGCGTTATATGCGCGTTATATGCTACCCTCGTGTCATGCTTTCTGGACTGTGCAGTCGGATTGGCTACACCTTGTTCTCGTGTGAATGAGGGAAGAAATCCTTGGTAGCCATCAGGAAGTTCGCCGTGAAGCGCACTTCTCGCACTCCCGCTGGGCGCCGATTCTTCTTCCACCGGATTCTAAATCAACATGGGGACCACCCTTTTTCTGGGCACAGGCCGTTCTGCTGACTTCTGATAGACGCGGTCAGAAGTCTGCCTCCCGTGGTTCGTACAAGATATCCGCACGTACGGGTGATGGACCACTTTGACCCTCGGCCTGGACATAGCAGGGAGAACAACTTAGGGACGACGGATACGCCGCGCTTGAGGCGACAGCGGTCGGTATCGTCATGCACAAGTCGACTGCAGGGCGCGGCTAGGCTGTCGATGGTCATTTCCACGCCGTAGAATTATTTCAAGCCGCTGGGCAGAGCAATGGTCCGCCTCTCCCCCCTCCAAGTTCCAGCGCTCGTTCTGGGATATCAACTCACATTACTTGAGTGCACTTCTCCGCAGGTGGGTGGATGGCTGTCCAACCGTGCTTGATGGTACACAGCGGATTGTACTCTATGCAGCCTTAACAAATAATATTTCTGGCGAAAGTCTACAGGAACGTGTAATGTGATATATGCTACATTGAGTGAGTGAGTACCTGCTTGACTTGCTTGATAATGGAGTCCATCATGAGAGACGAGTACGCAGCCTGGCTGACCTGAATTACGTGAATCATAAAGCCCAGATCTTCACCATGGCATCCCGACCGCCAGACACAAGATAGCGGTCCATGTATCTTAGTTTCTCCACTGGGCGAGTGTGGCCGTTCGTCAGCAATGTGGAATGTTGCATACTGGTACGGTTATAAATCTATCAGAGCAAATGAGCAACGGGCTCGAGGAAGACACGATGATCAAACCGACTTTTATGCCGTTTTCGCCCGTGGCGGCGACGACCTTCCTGCTGTCGAATTGCAGGGAGGTGACAGCATGATCGTACTTGAGTGTTTCGAAGATACCGCCTGTTCGCAGGTCCCATATCTCAACCATCCTATCAGACCATCATGTCTCCACATCAAGCATGTCGCACTCACTCGAATGCTCTTATCGAGACTACCGCTTGCAATATGAAGCTCGTCGAATTGCAAGCAAGTTACTGGCCCCGTATGCCCCAGCAATGTTCTATGTGTCTGGCCAGTACGCACTAGTCTCTGATTCAGCATAGCGTAAGACGAGATGATGCTTTACTCACTATCCCACATCCGGACGGCCCCGTCGCCGCTTCCGCTCACTAGAGCATACCCCCAGAATTGCACCGCTCCTACGAAGTCCTGGTACATTTCCCAACTACCATCGGCATATGGAGGTGTAGGTACAGCAAAAGAACCAGCTGCGGCCGCGGCCCCAGGGATGAGATGCGCAGGCAACGTCGACCCGGGGGTCGACGACGTAGGATGCGAGATCGCCCAAAGGATGTCCATGGTCATCACACATTGACCTGTACTCAGATCCCATTGCCGAAGCGTCTTGTCCGAAGCTCCCGTGACCTGCGAATTGTACCTCAATGTTAGGCCTAAGTCGAATGGCTCATGGCAGAACCCACCAGACAATCATCTTCGAAGTACAAGGTCGACACCGCTTTGCTGTGTCCCTCCAGGACGCGCACACAGGGACCTGGTTTATCCCCTTCATTCCCATGGGTACCATTTCGTATTGACTTGACGCCGTTCGGCTTCTCGACCAGTTCGCCGTCATCCTCGTGGCTCTCGTCCCCTTCAGCCACAACACTCAGATTCCCAACCTCACCCACGCCTTCCCAGTCATCCTCCTCGTCCACTCTTCTGAGATCCCATAATCTCACGTTACCGTCCTCTCCACCAGTTAGGCACACATTATCCTCCACTTGTATGCATTTAACAGCACCATTGTGTCCGCGTAGCCGCCCTATCTCCTCACCAGTGAGCAGGTCCCATACTCGAGGCTGACTATCCTCTTGGGAGGCTGTCACTAGTGTTCCATACGGCTCCGAGAAGTCAAGAGCTGTGATGGGTGTCTGGTGGCTATCGAGAGTCTACAGACGTAAACATGCCGTCAGCGAACATATTGTATGTGACGGGTGATGAGATCGTACCATGAATGCTACCCCAGGAGGTAGTTCATCATGCTCAGACGGCAAGAATAAGGGCCCTACGACCAAACTCACTAGAGTGTACGTAGGGTACAATGCTCCTCACTCACCTTTGCGTCGCCGCGAGCTATGAGGGACCTGCGAAGGGGGTCTTGGCGCTCCGCGTGCACTCAGCTCCAAGTCGAGCTGTTCACGGACACCTTCGACTATGATCCGGTAAATAATAGCGACACCTCGTGCACCTGTAAGACTTACGTTCATCATCGAGCTCCAGATCATCTTCCTGAAGTTTCAGGAGATCCTGCTCGAGTTTCTCCCTTATTTTGTCTAACGCCTCAATCTTATGGGTGATCTCCGTAATTTCATTATTTATGAGCGTCTTGACACAGTAGGACATTTTAACTCGAATTGTGATGAGACTGAAGTCATAGGCACTCACTCGCTTCACGTGGAGGTTCTCCTTGTCGCGCTTAATCTCTTCGGACTGACGCTTGAGCTCCTCCACACCGAGTTTCTTACCCGCAGCTAAGCTCTCCCGACCTCTTCTCCTCCCTCGGCCCCTTTCCTTCCGTCCTCGCCCACCCACCATTACGATATCATCCTCGCTCGCCACGCTCTGAGACTCGTGATTGCTCTCGTGCTCCTCCTCATCCATCAGCATACCCCTCGCACTCATGCCCAGCCTCCGCAAACCCAACTTCTCGCCGACCTCCACATTCCTCGTCTGTCTCCTGCGCGACCGACTCTTCTCTGCACTGGGGATGGTCGCGTTGAACCCGCGCAAGAGACTGACGTCGTTGGCGACGCCCTCCGGATCCGGGACCTCCGCGTCCAGCAGCTCCTCGGTCGCCTCCACAATCTGGAGGTCACGCGACGTCACCCTGCGCCCATTCAGGCTCATGCGCAGTGGGGCGCGCCCTAGGGTCGCGAAGTCGAGTGCACGGGAGTCTGAGGACGACTTGCCTCTCAAGGTCGCTTTCGGGCGCGAAGACACGGTTGCGGCAGTGTTCATCATCTTCGGGGTCATAATAACGGGTGCCACTACGAGATTGCGTTGAGGAACATGCTAAGTTGCATTGCGCTCGACAAACACGCAAACCAAAAACGTACAGTCGGATAGGATCCTATTCGAGTCGCCCCGCCGGTGAAACGGAGCCATGATAGCCTTGGATACCACCTCCAACTTACTAGGGCCGGAGGACAAGGAAGAAGCAGAGGCCGCTGCAGCGTCAGTGACGACTGGCTCGGGTACGGCGCGACCATTGCGCCTCTTGTCTCTGCTGGGCGTGCCGCCCGAGTTCGCCATGGCGGCAGCGAGGGTGGGTCGGTCGGTAGTAGGGGAGAACTTGGAGGTTGGTCGGAGTAAAACGCGTCCAGAGGCTCGTTACGGCAAGCTGTAGATGCCGTGGGACCCCGTGGACCTGACCGCATACTTTCCACGCCTCAGCGTCGTTACCCGCGAATATGCAAGATCGAGTATTATAATGCTGCGAATAAGGATACAAAGTGCTAAGAAGTACAGTGCAAGAGAGGCGTAGCTGTCTCAGGGAGTCCAACCCAGATCAAAGATAACATCAAACCCATAGGGACGAAGGTCGTATTCCCTCCTCAGCCAAGGCAAACTCGGCCGTAAGGTTGGAAGCTCTGGCGGGGCGGAAGTGGTATCGGTGGTTGAGGGTGCCTCTTCAGAGGCGGCCTCGCCAGCAGGTAACGGCACACCCAAAGGAGAGCTTGCGTCTGCACTTGTTGACCGCCTCCATATCGAAGCACTGAACATGTCGCGCAACCGCGTCCCAAATGGTGAGGGAGAGCCAGAATCGGACCCGGCAGCGTCATTTTGTTTGGTCGCATCGGTGGAAGAGCTGTGAAGGTCTGCGTGTCCAGATGAACTATCCAGAGCGTCGGATGTATTCCTTGATGTCAAGGTCTTCTCCAGCCTTTCCTTCTCCTCTTTCACCATCTCCAGCTGCACCTTGAGGATGCTGACCCTCTCCCACTCTGTGACATTGAACGGCTTGAACATCCCGCCGAAAGACCAGTCAACCCAACACCGATCTGTCAGGCGCATGACAGTGGGCTTGGGAATGGAGAGGTCGAAGTTTTGCACAGTGGCATCCCATGCATCAGAGAAAGTGGTGATGTTCTCTGACCATGGCCTGGCGAGAGGACTGGTTATAGAGATTGGCTGCCAGTAGCAGGATGACATGAACAGCGCCGTAAGAAGGCTGATGCAGTAGAAGCTATGCGAGTTTCAGCAACTAAATTTCAGGCGGTGAATGATGATACGCACCAAGGGCGCGCATGAAGAATCAAGGAAAGCAGGAAAAGCACGAGGAAATACGGCTGCGCGGTCGGTACAGGGATTATCAGCAGAGGCAAAAACCACCGCGTACAACTATAGCAAGCCCCGTTAGTCTCTGCATCAACATACAGCGTCGATATACGTACAGCATCACCACGATGGACGTCGACAGAGGACGAAGAACTTCACTGTACTGCTGGAGATGCGCGAATTGCCACAGCGATCGCGCACGTGGAAGTGACATGCGACGTGCTGTGACGACACCGTGACATGTCAAGCGATTTCATTCCTGATCTTTCTGGGTCTTTCCAACGTTTTTATAAAAGTGCTGTACAATAGACGCCCATAGCACTATATCAGTCGTTGTATCCAGACCTACAATCATCCTGCTGCCTTTTTGCAACGATGCCGAACCATCCTGAAGTGCTGTGGGCTCAGCGTAGTTCGGAAACCGACGAGGCAAAGGTGAGAGGACTGTTCAGTCGCGGATGGAATGCGGGGTACGCGTCTTTGAACAACGAAGGCTGATCTCGCGTCTTCATTGCGATGCTACAGAATGTCATCTACTTCACCGTGAACCTGCCCGATATCATCGAGTCAACACTCGAGTACAACCTCACCCCTACGCACATTTCATTCAAGGCGAAAGCTGGAAAGTCCGTTCTGCTTTCTACGATCGAGATGGGAGTTGTCGGTACTCATGCCATTCTTGTCGCAGCGCGTCCAAGGGGATCGAGGAGAAAGAATACGCCTTCGAATTTGACCTCTTCGCTGAGGTTGATCCAGAGGTACGTTTTCATAGATTATTGATTACCCCGAGCAACCCACTGATAATCTTATCGCGTGGCACACAGCATTCATCCCGCCGCCTGAACTCCCGCGACTTCTTCATCGTTCTGCGAAAGAAGGAGAAGAAAGCCGAGTACTGGCCGCGTCTAACAAAGGAGAAGATCAAGACGCCCTTCCTGAAGACGGACTTCAGCAAGTGGGTCGATGAAGACGAGCAGGAGGGTGATGACTTGAAGGTGGACGACGACTTCGACATGGGCGGCATGGGCGGTATGGGTGGTATGCCAGGAATGGGTGGTATGGGTGGTATGCCAGGAATGGGTGGCATGGGAGACATGGACTTCGAGAAGGTACGTTCTTTTTGTCCGTTGCTGGTGCACCATGGCTCATCCTGCGTATCTCCACTAGATGATGGCTGAGATGGGCAGTGGTGCTGGACCGTCTGGATCAGGTGCAGAGGAGGAGGGTGGCGAGTCAGACTCCGATGACGACGGCCCTCCTCCCCTGGAGGAGCCTGCCAAGGCTTCATGAAAAAAATGGATACTATTCCAGTGCATCAACTGTAGAAGAGGCTTTGCTAATGTAGCTATTATTTGCTATCTTGCTTCTTTGATTCGTTCAACATTCTGCTGTGGTTATTCGCCAGTTTATTGTGTTAGTGCGCCCTCTGGTTTCTCCCTATGCTACCCCGCGTTATTCTGCAGTTGTCAGATCGATTGCTGCGTGTACAGCTCGGTGCTATTGAGGAAACGAGTTCAGGTAAGTCCAATTGACGGTTGTCTTCTCATCTGAATATGCATATTATTCCAGTATCCTGTCTCCACTCGGCTGGCCTCACGGCTGAGCGCATACAATAACGCTTCCTTTCTGTTTTTGACCGCCTACGTATACCCTCGGCATTCTCGAATATATAGTTATCCTTTCGCAGAACCGAAGGTCCCGCGGGGTCAGATAAGGGCCGTCCTAGCTGCCGCCTACTGGGTAAGTGAGTCGGGATGACTGGAACTGAGTCTTGTGGTTGCATTTGGAGATCGGCGGAGTTCTCAAATATGTTTTGCTCACGTCTGACAAATCTGTCGAGAAGCAAAGTATATTATATCTGTCGTTGAGCAGAACGGGAATCGCCTTCCCCCCCCCCCCTTCCCCCCTCTCCCACCTATCACTAAAGATGTCCGAGCCCCAGGTCTGGTTCGTCACAGGATGCTCCTCCGGGATTGGACGAGAGGTCGTACTCGGTCAGTACTTTGCAGGCATCACGGAGACCCAGTCTAAAGATGTTTTAGCTGCCCTCAATGCTGGGCATAGGGTCATTGCGACCGCACGTAAGCCAGAGGCTTTGGCAGACCTAGTGGATAAGGGTGCACATGGTCTGGGACTCGATGTCTCTGGGTCATCCGCCGAGCTTGCGAAGGGTGTAGAGCCGGCACTCGCTGTCTATGGGCGCATTGACGTGCTAGTCAATAATGCGGCTCAGATCATGTTGGGCGCCATCGAAGAGACAAGGTAGCAGTTTGTCCTGTACCGTGAACGGTATGGGTAAGGGGGGGGGGGCTGACATCGTGGAACCTATGTAGTGAAGAAGAGGTCCAGAAGATATTCCAAGTCAATCTATTCGGACCTCGTATGTGCTTCCCTACATCCTACGAGCTGTGATGATTCGAAGCCCTCCTTAGTTAATCTTATTCGCCTCATTCTTCCGCATATGCGTGAGCGGAAGTCCGGTACCATCGTAAATGTAGGATCTCAAGGAGGTAAGACCAGTGGATCTATTTCGTGTCCGACTTTGCTTGCTCAACCTTCCTCTGTCCGAGTCTACAGGAACCTTGGGCTTCACTGGAATGTCCTCCTATTGCGGAACCAAGTTCGCTCTGACTGGTAAGTCTAGTGGCCATGGGATTACCTCTCAAGTGTTTGACAGCGGCTGTCCGACAATGCTCCAGGCTACACGGAGATATTGGATGCCGAAGTGAAGCATCTCGGTATCAGAGCCGTCTATCTCGAACTTGGCAACTTCAGGACAGACATCCTTGACCCGGTACGGCTTCTTCATTTCCATTCCAGGCTGGACACTCACATCTCCCTCGCCTGAAGAAAGTGAAGATGCTTCGCGCGTCTCGCTCGATCCCTGACTATCACACTCCTGACTCCGCTCTGACCGCTGGCGAAGCTTATATTCAGGCAACCAGTGGAAACCAGCCTGGCGACGCGAAGAAGGCTGGCGAAGTCATCGTGCGGATATGCTCCGGGAAGGATGAGAGGGGGATCCCAGAGCGCCTGCCTCTGGGCACCGATGCGGTTGCGAATGGGAAGGCGAAATTTCGCAGTCTCCTGGAAAATATCGAGAAATGGGAAGATATATCGAGGAGCACAGATTTCTGATGATGTTGATAGGATAAAATGCAACTCAAAGAAGATTTTCCTGGGGAGGCCCAAGAATGTGGACTCACACTATGAGGAGCTATGTGAACTGACGGTCTAGCTAGGTCACTCCTGCGAGAGGGCTGTCGCCTCATTCCGCGCTGTGAAAAATCACCCGCCGCTCCCTTACTAGGGGTTGCCGATCAAGCCAGATACCTGCATCAATCTTTATTCAAGCAGTGTTACATCCGCGAAAGCACAATCAAATAACGAATAGAATAATAATACAAGCTGTATGTATTATGATAGCAATACAGAATGATGATGGCAGCGCGTCAAGACGACCAACTATGCCTCGGCCCACCTCCATGTTCTCACCTCTATCATGAAGCCCTTCTTCGTTCCATCAACGTCCGTGGTGGTCAACACAGTAATGCCATTATCCTGGAACAAGACATTCTCTTCACTAACGTCCCGATGCAATATTTGCAGCGCAGTGCTTGACGAAGGCTCGCCCGAGGCCCCATCACCCTCATCGGTAACGGGTTTCGGCTCATCTGCCGGAGCACAGTTGGGAACGGTATGGGGGCCGCCACTGGGCCCACTGCCAGAGCCCTCACTCCGCCTGAGGGCTATGACATATCTCCGGCGTCGGCGCGTTTCAGCATTGATATTAACGTTCTCCTTTTCCTCTCCATGAGCAGCAGTGTTGGATGAATCCGACCCTGCGTCCTTTGACGTTCTTAGGAGGAAGCTCTCTTTCAGCGTGTCCAAGATGATAGCCCGATTCCCGTGACTGCCTGACGGGACGCCGTCCGACGTAGTAGTAGCTTCCTCCTCGTCGATGTCCATCCGGGGGTCGTCCACAGTATCGAGCAGGCATCCCTTGGCTTTAGGTTCAGGTGGGAACAAGATAGACTTCAACGTCGACGGGTCATACTTAAATCTAGGGCAGTGAACGGGGGTCAGAAAATAATAGGGAATCGAATACATCATTGGAAACTTACCCAGGTTCGTTATGAGTGGCTCCCATGCCGAAGACCACGGTCGGGGCAAGCAAGGCACTCTCCTTCGGTTCAAGACTCAGCAGCTTCCTCCGCTTCCGTGAGCGACTCTTCCTCTCAGCCCACGGATCGCATTCGAAATCGGCGGTGGACACAGCAGAGGAGCCGCCAAAGATAGCCTGGCGACGTTCTGTGTATTCCCGCAATCGCTGGGGGCGGTTAAAATAACTCCTAGCGTGGGCGGTACCCTTCTGGCGAGATCAAGGACTGTGAGCAATAACCGCAGAAAACAAAAAGAGGACACACATACCGCCAAAAACTCAACACTTAGAATCTCAATCGCAGCGCCGTCGTGCCCATTCCCCCACCCGGCGCTCACGAGACTCCTCCCATCATCCTCAACACCATCCACCTCCTCTTCCTCCTCTTCCTCAGTAGTCACCTCCCCATCAGCCTGCTCCAAACCGGCCCCACCACCACTAACCGTGCACTCGGCCCCATACCCGCCCAAAAACCTGCCAAGCGAAACACCCCCGCCACCCTTGCTCACCATACTTTGCATAACCCTCACCACAACCCTCATATCCCGCCCCTCCCTCCTCGCCCTGCGCGCCCCACTCCACGTGACGAACCCCGCGTGTAGCGCGCACAAGAACAAATCCGAATCGTCCGTGTACACCCTCGCCGCATGCTCCTCCGATATGCCGCCGCCCCATATGCGCCGCTTCCCATTGCCCTTCAGGCCCGGCGCGGCCTCGGAGTTGGTGTGCATGTCCGGGAGGTACAGCGCCGGGATCAGGATCTCCGCGCGCACCTCCTTGGGCTTCGCCTCGAAGCTCGAGGGGATCCCCACGCCGCGGAGCGAGTCGAGCAGGGGGTGGCCGCGGTACGGGAACGGCGTGCGCGGGTAGACGAACGTCCCGAGGTTGACGATCTCCCTTTGTACGGGCGGCGGCTTCACCGCCTGCCTTGACGTCTCAGCCCCGAGCGAGGCGGAGGGTACCTGCAGCGGCATCACACCTGGAGGGGCGGAGGCGATAGGCGGCGGCGTGCGTGGTTGTAGCTGGGTGGGCGGGAGGATCAGAGGGATAGGGACTAGACCGGTGGATTGCGACGGCTGTGGGTGCGCTACATGGGGATGCGGGATCGCGGAGTGAGCTTGTGAGGGCGAGGGGCCTGCGCTGAACGAATGCGAGTGCGTTAACGAGTGCTGCGGTGGCGGCGCGTTCGGGTCGGTCGGGATGGACAGGTCCAAGATGTGCGTATGTGGGCGAGGGTGGGGATGTAGTGGCTGCGATGTATGTGATATATTGTGACTTGCAGGCGGGGGTTGGCTATGGGCATGGTGAGGGATATGCGGACGCGCCAAACTTGGTTCGGGCGGTGGCAGGCGATCCTAGGTAGGTTGATAGATTGAGCATGACGATGACTCCCAAGGAAAAGTAACACGTACTATCTGAGGTTGCGGGACGCTCGAAGGCAGTAGCCCACTTTCAACCGGTCGTCCCGCACCGGTCATACGCGGGCTAAGCTGGTGATGATGGAGCAGATGGTGGTGGTGAGGATGGTGCTGGGCGTGGATGATGCGCTCCCTATCGCGTTCTCTTGGGTCGCCGCGCAGGATCTCCCGCTCCGTCCTCTCGCGTTCCCTCTCTCGCTCCCTCTCCATCTCCCGGTCTCGCTTTCTTCCATTTCGTTCCGGACTGGAGGTAAGGCTGTGAGAATGCGCCAGTGGCCCGTCGTCCCTGAAATCCCTCTCCTTCTTCATTTCCATCTCTCTCCTCTCCCTGTCTCTCTCTCTTTCACGCTCCCTCTCTCTTTCCGCGGCCAAACCAGGTATGCCATACTTGACCCTCTCGCGGTCTCTCGGCTCGCGATCCCTCTCCCGCAGTTCACGCTCCCTCTCATACTCCCTCCTCTGTTCCCGCTCCCTGATCAGCGCCTCCTCCGGCATACCACCATAGTGACGTCCATGGCCTCCCTCCATATGCGGCGTAGCAGTTCTACCGCCATGAGTATTAGCGCTCTTACTTCCGGTCACAGAGGGCGTCACAGTCACGGGCTGCACGTGCGCCCTAGGAGGAGGGGCAGGCGGGGGGCCCTGGGGACGGGGGAGCGACAGGCTGCCCATGGCCGGCGAGGACGTTTTGGTGGAGACCCCCGAGTGCCCGGGGGGTCCTCCGGTGTACATAGGGGAGGGGTCGGACAAAGCAACTGGCATGGAGACTGGGACGGGCGTGCTGAGAGGATAGGCGGAGGACGACGGGGGCGGGGGAGAGCGGGGCCGGGAAGGGCCGCCGCGCTGGATCGGGTAGAGCTGGAAGGACTGGACCGAGGCGGCGTTGGACCGGGGCGGGCGCATGTCGCGGTCGTGTGGGGGCGGCGGCGGGCCGGCATGGTGCGAGTACTCGACGGGGCCTGCGCCGGCCCCAGACGGCGGCGGGGGATACATGGACGAGGGCGGTCTATGGTCGTATGGGCTCGAGTGCGAGTGATGCGACGGCGGGCGCTGGGAGGGCGGCGCTGACGGGACCGGCCTGACATCAACGGCATTGTACGAGTCGTTGCGCTGGCCGTGGCTCGAGTGCTTGTGTCCGCCATGGGACACGAGCTCCGGGTTCAGCGGGCGTGGGCCGCCACTGACGCCGCCGCGATGAAGGCCCGGATCGTACGCATCTTGCATGATCGACGACGGCGGGGGGAGATGCGGCGTGTGGCCCGAGTGCTGGTGGCCGTACTCGCCGCCGTACGAGCTCTGCGACATGTGCCGCGGATACGAGGCCTGCGGCGGCGGGTGCTGGATTCTGTCGCGGTCGACGGGCGAGACATGCGGCTGGTCTAGTGGGCGTTGCTGGTGCTGTTGCTGCTGATGGTGCTGCGGCGGCGGCGGGGAGCGCGGGGCGGGCGGCGGCGGGTGCCTGCGCCTGTCCTCTGAGGGCGAGTCCTGGAGGAGGGCGGCGACGTTCATGGCAGCGAGGACGCAGGGCGCGGGGACGGCGGGGACAGCAGAGACAAGGGACGAGCGCGGAGGGAAGCCGGTGTTGACACGCACAACTGAAAAGAAATGGAAATGACGCCGATCACGTCCTGGATCGAGATCCTTATCTGGTTTACGACATCCACACGTGGCGGTGACTTCTCGCTATATTCGGAAATCCGCGCGCGGTGTATTCGCGGGACCCCGCCGCGCGGTGCTCGCGTCGACGTCCAGGCCACGGGCGACGGCGTCGAACAGCGTCTTGTCGTCGCTCGAGACAGCGACGGCGCGCGTCCCGATCACCAGATCGCCTGATCACAGGAACGGCGCTTCCGAAGAAGCGCACCGTCCGGATCGTCCCTCTGCCGCCACAGCTCATCCAGACCCGCGTCGCAGTCCATGAGCGAACTCGGGACACTCCTATCATTAGACCCTGCGCGAGTCGTGTCATGCGACCGGGGTGCTCCACGACGCGTGTAGTCAAATTAAAGAGCTTCGTTCTCCGAGCTTGTCTAGTAAGCTTTATGTCCCTATGCAGCCACCGATTATGCCCCGAACCGATCAAGGTCGTCTATACATCCCCATTATAATCGTACATCGTTCGTATCATCTGCCACCGTTTGAAGGGGCGGGCGCCTTAACGTCTGCCCATATAGCGGTCCAGGCAGCTGAACACTCGCTGCTTCGGGTAACGCGGCGCAACAGGCAAGTTCTGCTGACTGGCCCAGCGACGGACAACATCAGGATCTGCCACAGTCACATCACATCAACGTTCGTGCCCGTCAGATGAGCCCCGAGTGAACTCACAATCCGTGATGATCCCATCTACCTTCCAGTTCATCATCCGCTCAACGACGTTCAATCTATTAACCTGGTGGTTTCAATGCAGGTGGGCAAAAGGCCATATTCAAATACCAAAGACGATGACTCACAGTCCAAGGCTTAACCCTAACCCCGAGCCTCCTAGCCTCCTCCACCATCTCCCTCGTCACAAACCCTTCATAAGCCTCGCCCTCCGGGTCGACACCGCGCGAGCGGAGCGCAGTCGCTGCAGGGCTGATAATATCCGCTCGGATGGAGTGAGCGGCCTGCGCTATCTGCTCCCCGAGCGTCGGCCCAGGGAACGAGGACAGCTTGAGACCGGCGAGCCAGGGTGAGGGCTCCGTTTCCGTTTCAGCAGCAGTTTCACTGGAGAATTTGATGAGGAATGTCAGAAGACTCGAGTCGTGGTAAGGGTGCGAAGGCTTACTCGTCAATCAGCGCGGACGTCATAACCGTGGGATCCAAGCTCTTGAGAATAGGTCAATATCTAGCTATGTCGATCCAATAACACAGACAGTCCGTACCTTCATGGCAACCAGGGTCCGCCAGTCAAAGCTCTGGTACTGTACCAAATCTGTCAGTAACAGATAAGCCCTACAATACACAGCCGGCACGCACAGTAATGGCATCCATCCTCCCGCTGTCCTTGAACGCCTCGTACTGTTTCTCGACGAAGGTCAAGGGGTCCCGCGTCCGGTTATCCCAGTTGGCATCAACCTTCGACTCGATGTTGAGCAGGACCCGGTGCTGGGGATCGGCACACTCGAGGAAAGAGAACAGCTCCTTCAGGGTTGATATCGGCGTATGCGGGAACGTCAACTGATGAGCTACAATGATGCAGGGCGGCATCAGCGCATTGCAGACGACGCATGAGAACAGCAGACACCCACGATACCCAAGCTGCCTCTTTGATCCACAGTCCAGGGTCTTTAGCTGCGCCAGCGTAAGGTTGGCGACGAACTTCCCGACGTAAGGATAGTCGGGATCGTCTGGGAACTGTTGTTGAAGCGAGCATGTCCGATTGTGTTAGCATCTGCTACGCGACGAGGGAATGGGGGGCGTACAGCCGGCCCAGTATCGATGCATTTCTGCGGCGTTATGTTCTCGTCGTGCCAGACCACCACTACTCCGTCCTGCGAAGGAGGGAAGTGTCAGGACATGAAAGGATGATTGCATTTGGGATACGTACCTTCGTGATACCATTATCCAACTCTAGCGTAGTAGCACCGTTAATTAATCCCCTGTTCACGATAACCTGGTTAGCATTGCCACCCCCATAGTAATGAACATCGTGGTCCGCAGTAGAGGTAGAATTGCCCAGGTCTCGAGAGGCATGGAACATTCCACGGAACACGATGCAACCAGCAGCAGAACACATGCTACATACCAAGCGAACCCGGGGAGCGTATTTTCGACCGTGTTTCCCCTCCCTCCACGATGAGCCTACACCGCCGCGTGCGTTAGCATCTAATCGCAAACACGCTGCGGCGACCGATCGCTGCGCACCTGGATATCAAAGAACAGCGCGCGACCGTGCCCGGCGGCACCTCCCGACCCCGACGCGCCAAGGACGACCTCCTGCGCGGGCAGCGCGAACAGCGCGCGCGCGTGCGCGGCGACGAACGCGAAGACGGAAACGGCGGATGGAGGGATCATCCTGCGACGCCCTCTGGCTTCGGAGAGAGGAAGCTGGCTAGCTGAAGCGGGGGCTCGACGCGCTGAGCTGGCAACGTGGGCATTACATATTATGTACTATGGGTTCTGCTTCTGCCTGCCCAAAGCAGGGTCGACGCTCTCCCCCTGCCTTCGAGCGCGTTTCTCGGAGTTGGATCTTCTGCTCACGAACGTGAACCCGGGATATTTGCGGAAGGCAAGCGTTGCGCGATACGAGATAGGGCATATCATGCCTTGATACGAGGAACGTGTATAGGAGGTTGGAGCCGACCGACGCACGCGCCTGATCCCTCGATTCACCGCTTGAAGCATGGATTTACCTTTTGACTTTCGATAAAGGGGTTCGAGCGGGAGCGTGGTACGTGATTCGCAAATTCTGAAGGTTTGAATTCCGTATTATCTTCCTCAGCTGCCAACGATGCTGACTGTGTTATGCAGCGTCCGGGAGGTTAGCAAGACTGCAGAGATTATGGAGAGTATCTTGGAGACGAGTTGTTTCTGGACGCGAACGTGCATCGACGAGACGCCGTCCGCATGCGTGCGTGGCGGTAAAGTTGGACGCTCTCATATTCCAAACGGGCGTCTACGTCATTCTTCCTGAGCGTCTCAGTCGGCTTCAAAATATGCTACAAACGCGCCGCGCCTGGGGAGACTCCGTACTAGGCTGTACCTCTTCCGGCCGACGCAAATCGTTCAGTTGTCCGGCGGTCCTGCCACAATCACATTCGTCGATGCGTTCCGGCCACCTTTCGAACCCGGGTGACGCAGGTGCTCTCATAGCAAGAATCCGAAGCTCGCGAGATGCTAGAGTTGGGATTCTTCTAATATGCCTCCCGAAGGCAGTCGCTATTCCAGGTTCCCATTGGGTAAGCATGCCCCCAATACTCCGAGTATTATCCTGACCGCTGACGGCCACCCTGGATGGTCCGAATAGCACATTCAGACGTTCGGGCATGGAATCAGAATTGCTATGATATCCAGAACAGAGTCGTATGCAGAACTCCCGCGTTATTCACCACGAACGTGCGCCCTTCACGGAGACATTGAACTAGCTTCTCAGCAGGTTCGATAGGTTTCTGCTATCCGCGGTTGTCTTGCTTTGCCAGCGATTCTGAGTAATCATCAGCTCATTTCACTACTCTGCGCTTAAGCTGTGGATACTCCCACTGGTCAAAACCCGCCCCTCCCTAACCAGAACACGTACTACGGTGACATCCGCTATACGCGCTGCACTCAATGCTGCGCTCTTCCCGTCAGGACGTCCGTCCGCTCAGGGGTTTAGCTATGCAGATCTTGTACATAGGCGGTTTGGCCCCGCCGTGCTCAGTCCTCTGGCCTTCGCGCTATGTTGACGCCGCGTTCTAGTCCTAGTCCCTGCTTTCACGCTTTATGCTCGTCACGAAGACCCCCTGTAATCGACAATATCCCCTGCCTGCACTGACCACGTACCGCGAAAGGGCGCATCTTTTGTCGCATCGTTCTCTCTTCATCTCCATCTGCGTCTCTACTCTCGCGACCACGGGACAGGGAATGAATATATTGGGCTCGGGATCCAACGCCGTTTTGGGGTGCACTCATCTACCATGAGTCCCCAAACGCAACTTCATCGCCGGATGACCCGTCGGCCTGAATTCCGGAACTTCAGGCCACAGCTTCGACCCCGGCTTATTCAGGAAGCACTTTGCTGGTGGAAGCAATAGGTCAAGAGGCTATCCGTTGGCTCGTGTAACGGAGACCTACACTGCACCGGCAGGCGACCCTGGTAACCTCCGAGCCAGTCAGTAGCGAGCCATGCTCCTCGTGCCCAATTCCACGAGTGGGTGGAGGTCGGCACTTGATACGTCAAGGTGTATACCTGTCAATGCTCCCGCGAGATTTAGACAGCCAGGCGAGGCCTCTATCTGTACTAGGCAGATTTGTGATCGGTAAAACGTTTTCTAAAACAGCTGAATGGCCGAGCTACCTGAAGGCCCTCCGTTATCTGACCTTCACGAACATCCTGGACCACAAGACAAACCTGTCGGAGCTGGAGAAAACGTTCACACCGGTTTCGAGCGTTTCTGAGGACCAGTTGAACTGGGCAGACTCTTAGACGACCGGCGAATTCCAATCGCACTGCCTGGAATGACTGCAGTACTGATATATCTCACATTTCCGCAGTCATCCTTTGTATGTTATCACTTAGTAGGAATGCTTTCGACCAATGTGAGCATCCTTTAAGTATCCTGATGAAGTGTCATGAGGTATCGGACTGCTAGCTGTATGCATGATTTCAGAAGTAATGTGCAATACGGCGGCACTATTTATCTTTCCACGCTTCACTTCTGAGGGCGTTATTTCTACGAGGCCAGACGAGACCACTTCCTCAAGCTCAATCTGAACGATGAACACGATTCATTATTACTGTGTCCTGATTGGCTGGACGTGATTCAAGAGCGTCTCGGAGTGTTCCGGAAAGGGTAGTCCCTATTTGGTAACCGGAGGATACCGCAAAATGTCTGCTCATCGTCACTGCCAGCCTCTGTAACGTTTACCACCCGCCGTCGTCGCCATGGCCGGCCTCCAAGGAGTCGTCAAAAAAGCTGTTAACTTGCCGTGCACAGTGCGGTCACTGTCGTCCGGTGTGCCCAGCGCCCCCCTCCTGAACCTCGCTGTGCGAGCTCCCGCCGGGCATGACCACCATGGCCATGGAGCGCCTGGCCCTCGCTCGGACGTCCCCTCCAAGTGGGTTGGAGGAGTTCAGAGGTCGTCGTCTTCCCTTCTGAGCAAGACGTATGCTACCAGTGAGTGCTAACACTTCCTCGCCGACATAGAAGTGAGATGAACCGGTTCCGCCATGTCAGCCCCGTCCGTGACGTACAAGGGGTCGCGGTTAATTCATTCCTCTGCCCCTGCGAAGACTGAGATCCCCAAGGTTCCCGACTTCTCAGACTACAGGGCACAGTCCGAATCCACCAACCGTGCGCTCTCCTATATGATGATCGGTACTATGGGTGTCCTCTCCGCCTCTGTCGCGAAGTCCACCATCACCGAGTTCTTGGGCACCATGGCCGCTTCTGCCGACGTTTTGGCCCTTGCAAAAGTCGAGTTCGACCTTGCCGCCATTCCCGAGGGCAAGAACGTGATCATCAAATGGCGCGGCAAGCCCGTGTTCATCCGGCACAGGACTCAGGAGGAGATCCAGGAGGCCCGGTCGGTCGACTGGAAGAAGCTGAGAGATCCCCAGTCTGATGAGGAGCGCACGAAGAAGCCGGAGTGGTTGGTCATGTTGGGTGTCTGCACTCACTTGGGTTGTGTGCCCATTGGAGAGGCGGGTGATTACGGAGGATGGTGCGTCCAATGACTTCCTCCTTTGTTGAAGCAGTCTAATCGTAAAACTAATTCAGGTTCTGCCCTTGCCACGGTTCTCACTATGACATCTCCGGTCGTGCCCGCAAAGGTCCTGCACCCGTAAGTTTGAATACAGGTCATTATCATTGTTGCCTCACTGACACTTGTTCACAGCTGAACCTCGAAGTTCCTCCCCATGACTTCAACGAGGCGGAGGGCAAGATCATCATCGGTTAAATTGTTCCAGTGGGAGGGCATAATGTCTTGGACGCGAGTAGAGTAACATATGACTTGTGTATCGGTCTACTTCCTAGAATAATTGATATCGATACTACCCTCCGGAGCACGGGATTGTGATATCATCGCGTTCGAGCACTATCTGTTTGGTCCGTACATTCATTGATCGGCGGGGATTCCCCGACATTAGCACAGTATGTACATGCAGAGCTATTTGAGGAGTACAATAATAAACGTTATTGCAAGTAGATCTGAAAGGCATTGCCATGAAATGCTACACGGTGCAGGATAATGCTTGTGTCAATACACGGTGCAATGTGACTTAGATGCCAATATACAGATATGCGAAAACATTAGAAAAGATGGTCGTGGCGTACTGCGTGGTACAACGCATTCGGTGCGTATGCGTCATTAGTCGGGTCTTAAGATAGGAGACGAAGATGGCCACACGGTCATGGCTTGGAGAAGCCTACAGTTCATGTCAGCTGCCTGATACATAAAGAGCGGAAAGGAACAGACGCACCATTGGCCACGGCGTTGTACGTCCTGCTAGTAGTCCTAACGAGAGCATTCTTCATCATACCCGCCCCTCCCTTACCAAGACTGCCGCTGGAGCGCCGCTTCGCCAGCACGCGCGCGACGAAGCCCTTCTTCTCCTTCTTCTCCTTCTCCTTGTCGGAGTCACTCTTGCGATCCTGCTCATTTTCCTTCACGACCTCCTTCACAGGGAAGTCCTCGCTCGGACGCGCACTGATGCTCCCCGCGCCACCCTTCAGCTTCTGCCATATGCTAGGCGAGGATGCGACGATGGGGGACGGGTGGTGGGATGCGGAGGAGGAAGGTGTGATGGGTCCGAAGCTGGGCGAGCCCGAGCCCGATCCGGAAGTACTCCGCACTGACGACGCGTGCGACTTGGTGGTGATCGAGCTGGACGACGAAGGCGAGGACGACAGGGGCGGCCGGGCGGGGACTTGCAGCGCCTGCGTCGGAGGGGGGAGATCCAGAGGCGTGGGCGAGGACGTCCGCGGATGGCGGCGTTGATCAGGATCGACGAGGGTAGGAGAAGGGATGAAAGGGTCTTGACCGCGGTTTGACGTCGGGAACGCGAGCGGCGAGGGCGGATTCGACGGGTCGCTCCGCTCTTCGATGATAGGGTCGACTTCATGCTCCGAAGCTACGAACGACGCGTTCCGCGAATGCGCGCGTATATGCCCCAGGGGCTCTCTCACGCGTCCGCGCTGCACGACGGGGTTGTGTGCCTCGTCATCCACGTCGTATCCGTCGCTCGAAGCGGTGCGCACCGACACCGGCCGCTTGTACACAGATGTCGTGGGCGAGGAGGGGTGGGTGGTGGAAAAGTCCCAGGAATCGATCGAGCGGCGGGTGGTTACCGATGCCTGGCGCCGGCGTTCTTGGCGTTGGGATATCGGGGGGAGGCCGCGAAGGATCGTACCCACAAGGTAGCCTTTCTTCTTAGCTGCCTTGAAGAAGGGGGTTTGTAGGAGTTGGGCGGCGGTGGGTCTGTGGGTTCGGATTAGGTCATGTTCGAGAGGCGGAGAACGGCGGAAGTCACGGACCTTTTTGAAGGGTCTTTCACGAGACACATTGCGACAATCTCCTCAAATGCCTTCGAATACTGGTATTGCCCTCCATTTCTGTCCAACCGTGGTGGAGGGTCTTGAACACTGCCAGATGAAGGGTATCAGTACCGTCGATGAGACCGCGATAAAATATAAGGATAGTGCGTGAAATGAATGACGACGAGGAATAAAGCGCGAGAAAAGCATCCCAGAAGGCCCTCTGATCAGCAAGGAGATACAGGGAAGCCGGGCCAACATAGATAAACTACACCAGAAGAGAAGCGAATCAAAATAGAATGGGAATGTGACGTACGTATGCAGCAGCACCTGGTTAGGGGACTCTCTCGATCGCGGCGCACGCCCGGATGCGAGCTCAATGGCGGTGATGCCGAACGACCAGATGTCGGCACTCGAGTCATACCGCTTTCCATTGATCACTTCTGGCGCCATCCAGCACGGCTATCCACGGCGTCCGAGTGTGAGCGCCTCGCCCGATGAACGTGCAAGAGTAAGACTTACAGTGCCGACGAACGACCTCCGCTTCCCGAGCTGTCTCCGTTCGTGTCCTGCGGACGCCGCACCATTATGCCGTGATACGACCAGGCCGGGCTCGAAGTTGATGGTACGTTTATGTGCGCTGTCCTTCCCGTGCGTTAGAAGGAAGTCGTCTTCGTCCGAGAGGGAGGCTGCGACGCCTAGGTCCCCAACGAGGACCGTCCCGTCGTCGTCAATAAGCAGGTTAGCGGCTTTAACGTCGCGGTGGATGAATCCATTGATGTGGAGGTAACTGGAGCAGGCGGTGAGCATCCGTGCGGTGACAGAATGACGTAAATGGCTGCGCACTTCAGGCCCTCCAGTCCTTGCTTGAGAATACAGCGAATAACTTCTTCCTCCATCCCGCCGGGCCAGCCGTAGCGCATCACGTCGGCAGCGCTCCCGGCATTCATGAGCCGCATGGCAATGTACAGCTTGTGGCCGTCCATCCAGGTCCCCCGCACTCGGAGCACATTCGGATGTTTGGACAGCGACATGAGCTGGGTTTCACGTTGTAAGAGCCCGAGGGACTTTGGTGGCAGCTTGTCGAGGTCTAGGACCTTGACGGCGCATGGCAGGTCCTGCGGCGGGTTCTTGCGGTGATATGTGGCGGCGTAGACGGTGGAGGAGGCACCGTAGCCTATAGGGGGCCCGAGGGTGTAGTCTTGGGCACGGTCGCTGCGATGGGTCAACAGCCGCAGAGAAAGGAGCTGGCTGGGGGGTGCTTACCTGTAAACAGGCCACTCGTCCTCGACCGCGCCAATGAATTTCTTTGAGAGTCGTTCAGTTGCGGAGGACATGGCGAGCGGGGGGCAGTCGTCGCCGTGTGTGGCGGCGGGGGTTGACGCGTAGGAGCCGGCAAGGATGATGAGTGAGGTCCGGGTATTGTGGCTGAGAACTTATAAGGGGGCCTTGCGCTAGATGATCTGAGATCCAATTAGCCAAAAGCGGACGGGTGAGCCACGTTCATGGCGGGGACCTCCACCTTTCGCTGATGCCTGCCCCCGTCCGACTCAGGCGCGTGTCCGATGGCTTGCTCTCTCTGGCCAGCAGACCCGGCGTCGCGCCTTTCTGTCCTAGCCATGATGCGCTGATATGAATCCGAGACTCGCAAAAGAGAAACATCCTTGGCATGTCATCATGAAATCAATCATCCAGGCTCGTTCTGCAAGCTTTCTGCGCTGATCTAAACCTGGAATATTCTCGCTGCGACAGTTCTAGTACATATGACGGCCACGAACGCAAACTCTAAAGCTTCGGTCCCACAAGTGTCTCTAGGCTCCACAGTCCGTCGGTCTGTGCCAATCGAGGCAAGTGGCCCTTATCGGGCACCGCACTTGCGCGATATCTCGCGTGCCACTGCGCGCTTGTCAACCGCGTTGACCCGGGATGGTTTTGCCTCTTACTCCTTGACTGCTCCAGTCTTCGTTCTTGATTCTCTAGAGCGGCGCTGGGCCGCGATCGATGGCCTCAGCTTCCTCCAGGACGTTTGGATAGGTGAGGGGAAACTCGCAATAATTTGAATAGAAGACTGTACAGTACTGCTGGGGGCGCGTCAGGAATCAAGCTCATCCAACTGAACTCACTCCTTGTCGACAGAGCGTCTATGCTGTAGGAAAAGATAGCCGCGGTGCTCCACGAGCCCCGACGGAGCGATGGTGGCATTAAATCGAGGGTCAGATGGCAACAAGAGGGGAGGTGTTATGGTATGTTCCCTATCCAACAAAATCGGTGCTCTTGCAACTACCTTCGGCAACAATGCACGGTATAAAGAAGCCTGACACTGTCAGTTGTGATTATCTTTCATATACAGATACGCCCCTTCAGTTGACGTGATGCTTGGGAGCCAAAAATACAGAGAACGCAGTGTTCCGAGCCGCCATACCAAATTACGCTCTGCTTAAGCATAGATTGCCGGGTCATATCCCAACAAGGTCCGCATTCCTCGGTTTACCGTAAAGATGCCCGCGCTGTCAGGCTTGTTCCCTGAAGGCATCTTTGACTCGAAGCAACCTGGATGGGGGTTCTCGAATCTCTGCAAGCTCCGGGTGTATGTAGGCCTCGCCGAGATTGACCCTCGTCCCCGCATGATCAACGCCATTGACTGCAGCGGAATTCGACCGATATCTCTTCAGCCACGAGTACAAAGTTAGCAGCAAGCAGCGTCAGCTGGCCGCGCATGCCACAAGTGCAGATACCGTCGAGCAACTCAGAGGACGGTGGCGTATACCGCGGAGGCTGTAGGCGCCTCTAGATAAAGGCTGATAATCACATGCCGCGCCTGCCTTCTGTGGCAAAGAGCCGAGATAGCGAATCGCATCGCCCCGTATTGAGATAGCGTTACGCTGTGACGGTGACGGAAGACCCCGGGAAGGCCAGCGAGCCTGGAGCTCCGATAGCCTCGTAACCTGTTCGTGCAGTATATCCATCGCTTGCGATTCCCGTTCGTTCTTTATACCACCACTCGCCTTGTCTATGGCACCGCCCAAACAGCCGCAGCCCTGCGCAAAATTCCAGTACGTCGTCACCGCAGCGGGCCCCAAGATCGTCCCTGTACCCGACGTCGAGTCCAAGGACGAGGAGAGCCCCGCGGACTATAACTCGGGAGGATATTTGCAAGTCAAGATCAGGGATACTTTCAAGGAGGGCAGGTATGTAGTGGTCAGGAAGCTAGGGTACGTCTCCATTTTAGTGGCGGCTTCGGGCAAGTGATAGGAATCCGTCGGTCACGCGACAGATGGGGCCATTTTTCGACCGTCTGGCTCGTGAAGGACTTGCAGTGAGTACCTCACATAACGCCACACTCTCATTCACGCTTATCACCCGTACGTTTCTCAGAGAGAACCGGCACTCTGCTCTCAAAGTCGTCAAGTCCGCCGGGCGCTACGCTGAGACTGCCAGGGACGAGATAAAGCTCTTGCGCCAGGTGGCTTCGGCGAACCCCTCCCATCCGGGGCGCGAGCATGTTGTATCGTTCCTGGACTCGTTCCAACATTGCGGACCGGAGGACATCCACGTCTGCATTGTTTTCGAGCCGCTGGGCGAGAATTTGCTAGCGCTTATCGAGCGGCACAAGAAGAAAGGCGTTCCTCAGGGACTTGTCAAAGTCATTGCCAAGCAAGTTCTTCTCGGTCTCATGTATCTGCATGATGAATGTGACCTAGTCCATACGGATATTAAGCCAGAGAACATCAGTGAGTGCTTTGGCTTAGCCGCCGTTGCGCAGCACAGCTGAGTCACTGACTCCGCCACCCCGCAGTGCTCGCAATTCCGGACGTGGAGTCACATATTCAACAGGAGCTATCGACCTCGCAAAGTCCGACTTGCCGCAAGGTCGGCGTCCCGTTACCCAAGGCCACCCGGAGCGGGATGGCGATTCCGAAACGAGCTAGTACTGCCGAGTATTCATACCGACAACAAAGGCATGTCCAGATATTCGACTCTCAACCACTATCGAGCCCTAGCCAGAGCCCAAAGATGAGGAACGGCCTGGTGATGTCACGCATCAGCAGCGGTGCCAGTCTGAACGAGCCTCCGGCTTCTGTCAACAAGAAATTGCCAGGGATTGATGTCACCAAGACACCCGTGAAGAAGGACTCAGCGGATTCCGTCGCGGAATCGTCTTCATCAAGTGGATCCTCGGGAACCACACTGTCGAGCCCCAGTTCTGCGATGGTCTCCTCCATCAGCGGTACCAGCAGCACACCCCCGACCTCGCTCGGCAGCGCCATGTCCCGCTTGACTCTCTCAGACAGCGACTGCTTATCACGGCGCTCGACTCTTGACAGCCAAATCAGCGAGGGCAAGAATTCAGCTAGCCCTACCGAGTCTTCAGACCCCACCCCCGTTCCCAGCACGTCCACTTCCTCCTCGAACACCATCCCAGGGCCATCGCTACTCTCTCAGACGGCGCCCCGCGATCCCCATGCCCCAACCCCAGACGCGCCGTCCGTCGAACCCGCTCCGTCAAGCCCAGCTCCACCCCAACTTCCCGAAGAACCGCTAGTCGAGGAACCTGCTTCTCTGCCCCCAATCATGGTCAAGATTGCTGATCTTGGAAATGCGACACCCTCCAAGCGACATTATACCGAAGATATTCAGACGCGTCAATATCGGTGTCCGGAGGCTATTCTTGGCCGGAGTGATTGGGGGTGTACGGCGGACATTTGGAGCGTTGCGTGTGTGGTGAGTGCACCTTCCCCTGATATGCTTACAGACTACGGAAGCGGGAAGCTGATCATGAGCGTAAACTATCAGATCTTTGAGCTCCTGACGGCTGAATACCTGTTCGATCCCCAAGGTCAGGGAGAGCTGTTCACGAAGGACGACGACCATATGGCGCAGATAATCGAGTTGCTGGGGGACTTCCCCATGGACGTGAAGATGGGAGGCAAGTTCAGCCGCGAGCTGTTCGACTCTACTGGTAAGCGGCTACTTGTACCCTCCGCACTTGTCAGACAGAGTCTCATTGCGCGATATCGCGTGCTATAGGCGCCCTGCGCTATATAAAGTCCTTGAAGCTCTGGCCACTGAAGAATGTGATGATGGAGAAGTACTCGTATACCGAGCAAGACGCGCAGGCGCTGTGCGACTTTCTGCTCCCCATGCTCGTCATCGACCACCGCGAACGTGCGTCGGCGCACAAGATGGTCAACCATCCTTGGCTGGACGTCTCGGGGCTCGAGATCGATGACGACTTCTAACGACCCTCGACGCATATATGCAACCTGCCCTCATCGGTGCCGCTATATCACGCCATGCTTGGCACATCGCTATCATAGACTATATCCTATGTCTGCTCACGGTTATTCGGTACGTTATGACTAGACGATTGTGCGGGCTCTCTCTCTCGACTTGCGCATTCATCATCATTGCTATTTTACGACCCCAGCATTGTTCATTATTGCATGCACATGTTCACGCCCTCATCCCACGTACCCCCTCACGCATCCATTCATCCCGTCATGTTATATGCTTTTAGACTGCAGGACTTTTGTTGATTCTACTTGGCTCTTGGTAGTCCCCCGTTATTTTGCTTATTCTGTTTTTATGCTAATTCTTACCGTCACCCCCGGTTCATGAGCAACTTCGTATTCTTCCTTCCGCCCTTTACCCTGCCCTGTCCTGTCCTGCTGTTGTTGTATGTATACCCGTACGATATTAGAGAAATGTAGTTAGGCTTGTAATTAGACGGATCTGTCAGGACTGGTCCAACATTTCTTGTTCCTATCATGCTATGGAAATCTGCAACGTGTCTATGTGAAACGAGGCAACTGGTGGCAATCGCAGTCGCAGCCATCGTCCACATGCCACCAGGAGGCAGCCGAACTCGGTAGCATGAGGAAACATACCAGAGACACCGCTTGCCTATGGCAGATCAGTAAATCATGCAATCAAAACACCCATACGAACCACCATCGCTGCGCACAGGGCTCGAGCTCACTCGACAACAAACAAACACATCATGGATGGAAGATTCCCGATCGGCTTCCGCTCGTTCAACTCGATTGACAAGACCAGTACAACAGGCTATTACACCGGACGGACAGATTATACACAGCTATCAAAGCGTAGGGTTGTTTGCCCGAATAAATACCCAATAGATACCAAGCGTGATGATGATTCAGAGCGTGACCAAAGGAGGGGATGCCCCGGCGAGGCCGGTGCGGTCGTAGTGCCTCGTGTTTACTGGACGGTGAACTGCGGTGAGAGGGGGGTGGTCAGTTGGATGGATCGTATGCCGACGGAGGGAAGATGAACTCACGTAGACCATGTCGTCGAGCGACCCGTGCTGCGCGACGGCGACCAACACCGGCTGGTGGTTCGCCGCGGAGTTGATGGAGGCAAGGCGGTAGGCGCCCGCAGGGAGGCCGGGCGCCGGGACGTCCGCGGTGAGGATCCCGTTCTGCGCGGCGGCGTTCAGGCCCTTGAAGAACGCGAACTTGGTCGGGTCCGTCGGCTCCGTCTGGTTGAGCGACGTGAGCTGCTCGATGACGACGTGCGAGTGGCCCTGCACGTCGCCCGCGGCGTTCGTGAACTGCGGCGCGGCGAAGTAGTTCTCGTTCGCGTTCACGAAGAAGCCCGTGTCGAGGTGGCTGATCGCCATCTGGATGGTGAACGCCTTGTTCGCGGGGACGGTGCCCATGTTGGTCGGGAACACGAACTTGCTCGAGGGCATGTTCGCCGTGCTCGCGATCACGCCCATCGGGGCCGGGTTGCACGAGCCCGCCTTGATCTGCTGCCCGTTCGTAATCGGGAGGTTGGGCACCGTCGCGCAGAAGTTGATAAAGTTGTTCGAGGACGTCTTGGACGCGACCTGCCCGGCCTCGGGCTGGCTCTGCCCGTCGTTCTCGAAGCCCTTGGCGATGACCGAGTCGAGGAGCGTCAGCGACGACTGCGGGTCAGTCGAGTTGTTGTTGCCCGCGGCGGCGCCGCCGGCGTTGTTGGCGGCAGAGCTGGAAGCAGCGGCCTGTAGTGGAACGTCAGATTGAAGCACGAGACACGTAGCCACACTTTACTCACCGCTGCGCTAGAAGTAGCAGAGGCGGCTACACTGGAGGCAGCGGCAGCACTCGAGGTGGCCTTGGTGCCAGCTGCAGCGCTCGATGAGGCAGCGACGGCGCTCGACGAGGCCGTTGCACCGGTTGCAGCGCTTGAAGAGGCGGCAGCGCCGGATGCAGCAGCACCGGTGTTGGAGACCCCGGCAGCGGCGAAGCGGGCGTCAATGTCGGCCTGAGTTGTGCACATAACAAGGGTGCCGGGGCCACCAGTAATAGGGACGGCTGCGCAACTACGTGACAAGAGAGCATCAGCCATCATTTGAAATGCAAGGCAAAAGGGTGTGGGGACTGAGAACGGAGGCGTAATTTGACAGACAAGGGCGGAAGAGACAGGATCGACAGAGTTGAGCGTGGACACACTTACGTCGTGCCTGGCGCGCAGCCCAGGGAGACCATCTTGCCGTTTGCGCATTGGGCAAAGGCGCCGTTAATGCACGCGTTTTGGCCAGTTGTGCAGGCCTGGCCGACTGTCATGCTCTTGAACTGGGCGCTATAGAACAGTCAAGGAGGTGGGTAGGAAAGAGTGGCTGATTGCTTACTTGAGGGCGGCGGCGTCCTGGCCGTTCTTCGTGTCCTGGGCGGAGGCAGCGCGGCGCATGGGGCGGGCATCTGCGACAGAGGCGGAAAGGGCGAAGGCAATAGCGAGGACAGCAGAGTACTTCATGATGGAACGTCAAGGGCTAGTGGGCAATGAGAGGCGGGACACCAGGTCGTGAATGAAAGAACGGAAAGTCTGTCGAGACGCAGTGGCCGGTAGCGATTCCTGATCGTATACCAGACGGAAGCCGAGGGCCAAGCCTGAGCGGGAGACGGAAAGTGAAAAGGACCGGGAAGGGTGAAAGGAGGATTCTGGCAGGGCTGAGGCATTTATACGCGCGCTCTGATGAGTAGGTTCGAACGCCGCGATGCCGTCCACAACACCACGTGACTCGACGCCGTAAATGGACAAAGGCGGATGATGCTCGGACACCGGGCGTTGTGTTGGGCCATTGTCGTATAAATAACTGCCTGAGCCGTTATGTCCAATCCATAGCTGCCACAAGCTGCCAGTGCCACAGTCCGATCTGGATCTGTCCGACCCGCGTCGTGCTAAAAATAACACTACGCCTCGTATCGTCCCTGACTGATTCCAGTTGCGTTCCAAGTCATCGTCCAGCATGCCCACCATCACAGTCGACGCGGTGAGCAACGCCATTACCGAAGCTACCCAGCGTATCTGATAATTCCTCAGGTCTTGTTTGACATGGACGGGTCAGTCTTGCCGTGCCTTAAGGTTCATCACCAGCAGCCTGACCATCACCGATCCGTCCCTCCCTCCCAACCCAAACCGAAACCTGTGTATTCACCATCTGTTCTGTCTCTAACGGACGACTCGCCATCACAATCAAACCCGGCCATCTTGGCATCATCATCCTATGCACCAGCACGCTCATCGACTCGACGCCCGGCGTGCTCAAAGTCTGGTCCACCTTCGCCGCCGACTACGGGCTCACCAACGGCGCAGAGATTGCCCACAAATCCCACGGACGCCGCCTGTACGACACCCTCAAGGAGTGGTGTCGCATCGACGAAGAGCACAAGCTCCAGGTGCGCTCCAGCTTGTGCTAATTATATCCCACCCAGTGCCCCGGCATGCGAACAAACACACAAAAGTTAACTCCGGGTTTTCTTTTCCCCCTGTAGGCAGAGATCGTGCGCTTCGAGGACGAGGTCATCGAGGGCGGCCCTGTCGTCCTCCCGGGCGCGCTCGACCTGATCAATCAAGCAAGTACCCCAGCGCGATATATCACGTATTCATCCATCATAACAGCGCAGCGCCACCGACTCACTACTCGCCCAATCGTCCCCCCGCCTCCCCATCACGCGCGGTGAGTCAGCGTTTCGGTCTCCGGTCCATCATTCCCAACAAACGTTCTCTACTCAGGAATCCCCATGGCCAACCAACCCTCCCCTTAGATCGAGTCCGCGCGCCCACCAACCGCGCACGGCTGGACGATCGTCACATCCGGTAAATAGCCTCCCATCCACACATCCATCCGCGCGCTCCTCGCCCAACTGAGATGCTCCAAACCCCCAGCAACAAACATCTACACCCCGCGCGCCCTCGCGCGCTGCGCCGTCCCCCTCCCGCCCGCGGGCTTCGTCTCCTCCAACGACGTCGCCCGCGGCAAGCCGCACCCGGACCCCTACCTCGCCGGCGCGCGCAGGTGCGGCGTCGACCCTAGCAAATGTGCGTTCCCCCTCTTCCCTATTCTTCCCCCCTCCCCTTTCTTCCCGCTGAGAACTGAAACTACGTATCCAGGCCTGGTGGTAGAAGACGCGCCCTCGGGCATCACCGCCGGGCGCGCCGCGGGCGCGAAAACCCTCGCGGTGTGCACGTCCCACACGAAGGCGGCGCTCCTCGAGTCGGGGTGCAGCCCCGACCACATCGTCAAAGACTTGACACGGTCAGCTGCCAGCACTTCACGGTGAAGCGGATAGACTGACGCTTGCCTGGGATAGCGTCAGCGCGAGGTGGGTCGACGGGACGGTCGAGGTCACCATAGACGAGTCGGAATAAACTTCAGTGGGAGACCGTATCCCGATAGGTAGAGCTTCAGCAAGAAGATGACATTCGCATCTATTCAAGAAAGCGACCATATGTTACTCTGAGCTAAGCAAGGAACGAGCGAACGAGCGGTATAATACACAAGATTCTAGTAGTCAGACGGGTAGATAGATACAGCAGCCATTAGGCATTAAGGAGCGTTTCCCCACTTTTATGGACTTGCTCCGGTTGACCTAGCACGGGCCCTTGTGCGATATCCAACGAACGAACTGGGCACTCAAGATTCAGAATTCAAGATTGAAAGTTTCAGAACCCTCAAGAGAGAAGATCAACTTCAAGGTTTTGCTTCGGCGCGGCGAGCACGCCGCTGCGCAGCTTCCGGATCTTCAGTTTGACTACGAACAGCAAGTCCTGCGTACATGCGACGCATCAACACTCTAGCATCCACAAGCTACGCAAGGAGAAGAAAACAAGCGCACCTTCAGAAAGACAGAAATTTTCGGCCGCTTGGTACCATTCGAAGACTCCGCTGCTTCTTCGGCTATGATAACCACTCCATCCGTCTCCTCGTCCTCCTCCTCGATATCAGACATCGCAGGCTAAGTATAATGTCAATGAGACCAGTGAGCAACCATCTTTGCAGGAACGGCTCCTACCAGACACAAATCCGCGTCAAAACCAGACGCAACGAATCTATAGTCCACAGTCCTCTGCAGAGGTACAATTTTCAGTCAACCGGCTGCAGCAGAATGGAGAGGCACATAGGCTACCATCAGAGGATCGTCTCTGCTGAACGGCTCCGGCGGCGGCGGGTAGTACTTTTCATGATAGCGCGAGTGGTAGGGCGGTGGTGAATAGTTGCTGTTGCTCAGAACCAGAGTGAAGGAGGGCAGCATCGTCGCGCGCGGGGACATCATCGGGGCAGGAGTTGTATACGGAAGAGAGAATACGTTGGAGCAGAGTATATTAAACACGCCGAAGCAAAGTAAGGGTAGGATAGACAGTCAGACAGATCGACGAAGAGGAAGGAGAGAGGGAGAGGGAAGGAAAGAGCCAATAAGACGACTCTGGACCTCTCCGCCGTTATATATCGCGGGGACCCCGCGCTTGATTTCATTGACGCGAGTATAGAGGTGATAGGCTGCCTGATTCGGAGGCGCGGCGATCGCGCGCGGGGTGGTTTGGGAATGCGTCCGCTCGATGGACGCGCCTGCCTTCTGCTGAGTTTGTTCTCACTTCGGTCTGGCGGATAGCGCTGGGACGTCGTCGCCATCCATCGAAACTACAGAGTTCTGGACTAGCCTCGGAGGGTCCTCCCAAATGCGGAGGGACATCGCTGAAACGTGGAAGGGAGAGTCTGACTCTCGCGAAGGATACGGCGCCAGTCCGGAGTAACGTTCGACAAATAACTGGAGAAGAAACCCGCTGCCTCAAAGGTGCTTGTCAGGGTTGACCTAAGAAGAGAACCTGAACAATGCATCAGCTCAATTTGTCCTGCACTACTGTCAGGCATGCTGGAGTTCCTCATAATGACACAGTCCGGAGGAAAGCCCCGCAAGGGTCAATTCCCGTGGCACACAACCCAACCCGCGGACAAATAACGCTCAAACTGTATCTTCTCCCCTCCTCACGCTTTCTCCCAGTACGATTACCAGACAACGCTTCGAGTGCTCTGTATAGCGCCCTCACCAGATGGGCCGTGTGACTATGTCACGGGTCACAGAGGCCTGAAGGCATCTGATAGCAGGCGAGTTGCTCTCATTCTCATGCCACATCATCATTTAGCATGCCCCACTGAATGGAGTGCTTTCAAACAGCCAGACTTCAAGCAATGCACGCCGTGACGCGCGCAAAACACACAAGCAACGTGTGATATCCGCAACCCAGCGCTCAGCCCAACCTCAAGATGTGTGCATCAAGGATGAAGAGACCAGCCAAAGACGCACAAAGTCGCTTGAGCAAGATAATAGAGCAGTATGAGTACTCACCGTCGCTGAGCTCCACTAATAACCAGTTCGTTTGACGACTCCTTTGGAGCTGGAAATGATATTGCAGAGCCACAAGGTATCGAACGGGAAACTCGGCCAACCCTGAAGAATATGAAAAGCAAAGGCAGTTTATCGGTCGTCAGTTCAGTCGCAAGTATCCTGAACCAGTCCATGTGCCGTTGGGGGTAAAGAAAAGTCGCTTGAGTCGTTTTCCTTCGACGCGGGCGAGCAGCCAGAAGATATCCTCCAGAGCTATCGACAGGGAGTCTATCAACCAGAAGTTCACCATCGGACAGAAGAGCAGTATCTCAAGCATCCCAGAGTAATCATTATCGACTGGCCCTCCGAGGCAAAGCAGCAATCGCAACTAGGTCCCAGTCCATGGCAAGCAGTCGAATTCGAATCGCCACAAGATTGCCCAAGTTCTGTTCTAATACTAACCGCTGCCGAGGATTCCACGTTGTGGTTGGATTTTGAACCCTACCGGTGGATGACAAGCGGCATAATCGACAGCCTTGGTTTGAGACCAGACTGGAATGAAAGGGGCTGACGGCGCGGAAGGCTCAAGAGGACGGCGGACGCCGGCAAGATCGTGTGGCTCACGCGATTGGCGACCTCCAGCCGCGCTGCCAGTGTCCTCAGCCTGCTGCTCGTCTATCCTCCCAGCACGATATATCTGCCTAGGACTTGCTCGCTCTCGCTTCCTAACATTTAATCTGAACTAAATGGCTGCAAAATCGATGTCTCCAGCTCGCCGGGCTCCAGTTGCTCACGGAGGTCGCTCACTGTGGCGGCCCGCTTTCGTGGATTTCCTTGCGGCTGAATCATCTTCTAGCTACAACGTCGCCGGTCCCCGTTCAAGCAGCGTCTAGCCTTCGGATCTCGAGCGCGATTATCTACCAAAGAAAATATAGGGGACGATGGGGATATCTCATTCCGAATTACGGTGGTTCGGTGCGTTGCAATCAAATAACAAGGACCGCGCCTTGCTTTTGATTCGACAGCAATATTTCTCTTCTTGGACGGTTTCTTAGAGGCCATTTGTTCATGCTCATATCCTGCGCGTTACCTTGATATGATTTCTGTGCGCTAGGGCTTCTTTACTCTCCCTTCAGTCGTATATTCCATCTTCCCGTCCTCGATGACTGCAATATAAGCCCCTGAACTTCTTATATGCTTGATGTGCTGTCTTTTCCTGAGTTTTGGAGCCCGGCCCTTCAATCTGAAGGCGCATATATCCATCCTTATCGTGCCGAAGAAATCACGACCGTTATCTGCCCCCTCCACCCCCACCGCCGTTATACGCCGACCGTCCTCTCTCCTACCAAAAGGGAGGCAATTCGGTCTGCCTACGGGAGACTGCCCCACTGCCTCGATTGTGATGGGCCCTTTATTGAACTAATGACGACTCCTCTCCCTCCGGAAAACACGGTACATCCATCCAGGCCAACACTGTATCCAAATTTCAGCCACAACAACTCCGCACTGTCTCGTCTATTCCTGTAGAGGTGGTTATGAAATGGACGTCAGGCGTGCTCAAGCGCTCGCTGCCTTTGATCATAAAAGGAAGGCGACTAGGATCGGTTGATTGCCCCCCTCCCCTAGAATCCGCTCTATTATCATGCCTCATGCTGCGAAAGCCCAGCTGGCATCAGGCCCCACCGTCGATTTGACTTACGAGAAGATCCGTCTCTTGGGGAAGGGCGGCTGGGCTACGGTATCCGAGATACGCATCCTGGATATCGCAATGACGGATGGCGTTGCGTATAACTTGAATATACAGACCGGTACAACTCTAGCGCTTAAACGACACCACGAATCGCCTAAATTCGTCGTGGGTCCAACCAGAATCTACCTTGTGGGGGAGTGCTGACTCGGATCAGTATAGGGAACCTGAGGTCCATGCACTCGTTTCGCATCCGAATATAGTCGAATTCCTGGGTTACTGGGTCGAGCAAGAGAAATGCACCTCTGAGGACGGCGAGGTAGCGTATCCGATTTTATTCTCATACCCAATCATAACCACATAAACGTTAGGCTGCTGTCTCGACATATCACAACATCCTGCTTTCATGCTACCCATTGGTCCTGTCGGAACTGCCCCTTCCTATCGCCCTACAATCGGCCCTGAGCTACGTCAGACAGATCCTCCAAGCCCTAGCGTATCTACACTCTCCCGAGATCTCCATCTTCCATCGAGACGTCCAAATCACGAACATCCTGGTGGACCCCTCTTCAGGAATCGTGAAGCTCTGCGACATGGGAGCGGCGAAGAAATATGTCCCTGGCAAATGGGCCGCTGGTACCATCGGCATGAGCGAGAATAGACCGCTAGAGATTTCATTGCAGAGCAATCATTATGACTTCTGTGTAGGTTAGTACGAGATCACTTGGTCAATAATAAAAATTGCACTGACTCCTGGCTACTAGACATCTGGCCCGTTGGCCTCATTCTACTTCACTTACTCACAGGACATCACCCTTTCCGGAGGAAAGAGACTGATATGCAGCAGCTCATAGAGATAGCATCCCGCCTCGGTCGCCCCACCGCTGAAGAGATCTCAGAGGCCAATGGCACAATTCCGTCCAATACGTTATCATGGGAGGCACTACCACCCCCAGACGTCGATCCTGTGCAAGCCCGGACGATGAGATTAGAGGTAAATCTATTGTAGCTTTTCCTACCGTCACTGAGCTTGCAAGGCTTCGCCAGGACCTGCTCACCGTGAAACCAAGCGCGGAAGTATTTCCTCTTCTTATACAACTGCTCGACCATTTGTTGCAATACTCTCCGCGGCGAAGATGCACTTCTGAGCAGACAATACAACTGCTGGATAATTGTGCGATCACTTTCGTGACTTTGTCCTGATAAGAGGGCATGCAATACTGGAGAAATCGCTGCCATGGAAGCTCCGATTAATAACAAAAGCCTTCTATATACAGTACTATGTAGTATGTGCCTGCCACCATGCACCTGTGTAGGGAGTACGTTCAGATATCGGATATTAATCCAGCCTCTTCTTGGTACCCATCTCAATCTCTTCCAATTTGCTACCCGCACGTTTTCGCCCCTTTGCTAGCCACTGGGCGCCAGCACCCGCGCCAGACCGGAGCTTCCCAACGTCCAAGGCCGGAATGCCAATACCCCTGCCTTTGCGTGCGGATTGGAACCCAGAGCCGTGGTAGTGGATGACCTCGGTAGGTGGCAGAAGTCGTGGCCACGACACGTAGTCGATGCCGTGCGCGAATATGAATGCCATGGATAACGCGAATAGCGTGAACCAGATGAGGAAGTAATAGAATAGGGAGTATTCTGGACACCGTGTTAGCTCTTGAGCCAACGGAGGCATCAAGTATGCACATACGAGAGGTCCGAGGGAGGGTGAGTCCAGCGAGTATCATGAACACAGACAAGAAAGCGAGGTAAGGAACCTGCTTTGGCTTCATAAGCATGTGGAAGCGAGAGAAAATGAATATACGTACGGAGCGGATTATCAGTGGCCGCGAATCAATAATGAGGAATAGAGCCGACGAGGGGCCTCTTCGAGGGACCCACACTCCCGTCATCAGGTCGTATGCATCCTGATAGAACCATAAGCAATATATTCGTCGTTATCACGAATAGATGCTACCTGTCTAGGGCCATCAAAATAATTATTCTTGAGGTACCGCATTACAGACTTGTAGCCATCTTCCAGAGCTCCCGACTTAGTGCGTTGACCTGTCCGGGTGAAGTCCGTCTTAAGTGCTCCTGTCCCAGCATAGGCTATTGATATCAAGTCTGCGTGGTCTGCCCACACTAAAGAAAGGATGAAGTCAGCGCATAACAATCAGGAGACGAGTGGGTCACCGTACTTTCTCGGAAGTCTTTGCTAAGGCTCTCGTGGTAGTCAATGGAATCATCATCCTTCAGCACTCCAATCACTCTCAGCTGCCGGTTCAGCGTCCACTTAGCAATCGCTGCCTGAGTAACATTTGTGCGATCCAAGTTGTCCATGCAATTGGTCCTAACGACGCCTTTCTGGACTTGGATAGGTTCGGTTGATGTTGCATCCAGATGGAAATACCTTTGAGGGAACTTCCGTAATGAAGGGTATGGAATAAATGCGAAAGACTCACCCATTCTTAGTGAGGTCCGACTGGAGCTTCTCGATAAGCAGACTGATTCGCTCCCAGCGCATATGTCTACATTCGGTGTGGAAATCAAAATACTCATATCTGACATCGGGAAGTCCGAGCTATTCGAAGCAGCTAAGCAAGTTGTACTATAACTGCTGGTTGGAACTCTCACCTGAGCAACATAGCGTTCATACTGTTCCTTGACAGGTTGCTCGTGACCCTTGTGATTAACCAGGTTCACCAAGTCCTGAGCGCCATAATGCGATATCATCTCCTCGAAATGTTTTCGCATAGCATTAGCCTGACATAATGTGTCAGCGCTTAAGTTCGACTCGAAGATGTCACCATACCGTGTCAGGATAGTCCATGACTTGTAGATCAGGCTTGTATCGTAGGTTATTCACTTCAGCCCAGAACACCGGAATGCTTCCCCTTATCTGCACAAAGCTCAGCTTCGTGCTAGCTTCGTCTGAAGTGCTCCGGCCTTCATTGAGCTTGGGGTCAACGAGGACGAGCTGCTCAGTCTCGTTGAAGTTGGCAACATGACCATCATGATCAATGCCTCGACGGAAATAGCGAGTGCCTGCTCTGTACCTAGACCTCCGACTGATAAGGCATAGGCGAAGGTGGTAGCCATTGACGTATGCCGAGCGAATGTCAAAGGCTTGAGCGGATAAGGATTATTACTGGCTTAGCGTCTAGCGAGCCGCAGCTCGGATGGAGGGGTACTCACTGCCGTACATGATCGGCAGAATATAGGAGCTGAGCTGTAAAATAGAGGTCAGCAAGGTGCATAGGACATATGGGTACTCAACCTACGTCTTGGTTTGGATCAGCAGTCGTGGTGTCAATGAACTTGGAATGCAGGTATCTTCACGGCAGTCAGCGATAAGTCTGCCGGACCAACAAGAACTGCCCACTTGTTCCAAAAGAATCTGTCATCCGCCTCCACAGCCCATCAGCTCAGGGACGAAGAATAGAAGTAAATGGACGTACCACCTGCCACAGAGCCTTTCCCTCGTCACTCTGCCTTGCCGCCCACTGCGCTTGCAACCTCCTTGTCAGGTCCCACCCATAGCTGAAGAAGAAGTAGCCATTGTCCAGATGCGAACGAACGAGAGCCAGTAAGTGCGCCTCCACCGGATGGGCAGGGTGCTGGACGGATGCTCGAGGGTCTACCGGGAGGATCTCGTATTCCGTCGCACGATATATGTCTTGGCCCATGAGACGACCACGCAGTTCGCGTCCAGTCAAGACAATAATGTAGTCAGCTGAAGCGAGAACATATCAAGTCGCATAACGCATGAGTGATAAGTGATACGAACTGAGTGTCAGCGAGATGATTCCCAGTATTCCATATATTGTCTTTGCTGACCGCTGGCCAGCGGGAGATGCAGATACATTGGGAGCTACAGTGTCTTCGGTCAAGCAGCCAAACCACTCGTCCTATGAGGCGTACCGTTCAGGACAATCTCTCCGGAATCCCTCTGTATAGTCAGGGATCTTGCGCCAGCGCTGGCTTCGGCTGGCGTGAATGTGTACGATGCAGGGTCTATATACCTAAACCATAGTCAGAACGTAGGTTCACCATAAAGCGCATTACTCACAAGTTCAGGCGTTTGTGTAAGACCTGCATGACGGTTCGAGTGAACTTGAGTATTGCACCGCGTCTGTGGCGCGGGTTCAATTAGGGCTTCTTTGCTGCAGTCAACTGCTTTCGCGCTACATACACGCCCAATCCTGCCATTCGTTTGGTATCTCCTCATGGTGAAGCTTACACCGGAGCTCATTGCGCAATGCCCGTCCGGCCTGAACCCTCTCAAAGAACGGCAACTGGATTTAAGAGGTGCGCCGGCTTCCAGCTTCGCTCGAGGCGCTCACAAACCGGCTCACAGGCTATAAAATCCCTGTCATCGAAAATCTGGGTGTTACCCGAGTACGTGGCAGTTTCTACTGGGCTGTGGATATGGTCGCTCATTAATACTTCTCGCGGGGCGCGTAGGACCAGCACGATGCTATAGATTTTACAGATAACTCCATTATTGCGCTTGGAAATCTACCATTGATGCGACGGCTACGCACCCTCCTCCTCGCCAACAACCGTATAGCATCGATATCCCCCTCCCTCCATGTCTCAGCCCCTAACCTTACCTCCATCGTCCTCACAAACAACAACATCCAAGAGCTCGGTGACCTCGAGCCACTAAAGGAGCTAAAACATCTACAGTACCTGAGTTTGCTCGGGAACCCAGTGCGGGAAAAGAAATGGTATCGCGAATGGCTTGCGTGGCGGTTACCTGCGCTGAGAGTTTTGGATTTCCAGAGAATTCGTGACAAGGTGTGCCTTCATCCCCCTTGATCGCCTCGCATGCCAGTTGGAACCGACTTATTTCGAACGCGATTCCGTTGACAGGAGCGTAAGGCAGCACGAGCGCTATTCCTGACGGCAGATGGTCTCCCGACCAAGCTAGCCACAACACTGGCCGAGACGGTGTCCACTCACTCGACGAAGCCACCTGTGACGACAGATGAGCCCAAGGCGCTCATGGAACCTGGTAAAGCAGGGCGTCTCATGTCAAAAGAGGACCAGGAGAGGGTCAAGGAGGCCATTGCACGTGCGACTTCTATTGAGGAGATCCGGAGGTTGGAGAGAAGTCTGAAGGAGGGATTCTTGCCCACTATGGATTCAGCATGACAATGTCGACAGTACATAGTTGTATTTGCTAATAGTACAAAATTCTTGCAGTACTACGATACTGCCCGTGCGGACTAACCTAGATGTTTGAGATGATGAACAAGAACACGACAAGTTGGGGCAAGTCGTCGTTGAATGCTTCCACATAGAGGAGTTACGTATCACAGATGACTGGTGATGACGTACAAACTCAATAGCCTTGTACGCCAGCCTCAGCAATCCAAAGACCATGGAAAGCCAAAGCGATCACAGCAGTGAGGTTAGCAAGAGAGCTAATGCCATGGAGGCTAGAAAATGTGGCATTCAAAGCCTTCATTTGGGCCGACACCTGTAGAAACCGACCACTAGCATGAGAGAAATGATTATAGCAATGTCCTAAAGGAAGACCCACATCTGGTTGATCATAGCTCTTGCCCTCCTCCTTCTCAAGCTTGTGGCGCTGAAACATGGTCCTAGTTATGCGGGAATCAACTCTGAACTTAAGGCACGAGAATCGTGATACGTACTTGCTTGTCATGGGTCCAATAACAAAATAATTGATGGCCTGGGACAGGAAGACAGTTGCAAGGGCGTAAAACTGTGCAACGTCCGCCACGTTCGGACGAGCAATGTGCGTAACCACGTCAGGGTGGGAGAACACCCATCTGGCCATGAGGAACGAGGACAGGGCCATCGAAATGACAAAGTAGACGGGGAATGTACGATGCTGAAGGGTCCCGAACTGATGACGAGCTACGGACATGTTTTCAGCCGGGGTTCGTCAGGCACAGCAAAGATATGAACGAACGCAAGGCCCTCAGAGCAATTATACCTGGCAGACAGGTCAAGTTTTAGCTGCCTCATAACAAGGCATAAGTAATCTGAGAATACACACCACCGAAGAACGTCACCCACACGGCTGTCGATGATACCCAGAGTGAGCCTACTTCATTGAGACTACGTTTATAACCATAGCTCACCCATGCCAAACAGCCAGCTATAGCCCAGGACATACAGGCCGTTCAGAGAGAAAAGACGTCCCAAAGAGGACAAGGTCAATGCTTCGACTTTCGTCATGGCTGAGCGCTGAGCGTTGAAGCTTGAACGTACTCGACGAGTACCGCAAGGTGCGGACCAGTCGCGCGGCAGTGGCCACGATGGACGTCACCACAGTTGCGCACGTGGAGGCCACGAGGGGAGACCAATCTTGCTTACGTCCTTGCGTCCTCTCTTACCCAAGGCTTCCTTTGGGCTTTCTCCAAGTTTCTACGATCTGACGGCCACAGCCCGGTCATGTTTAGTTTGGCTAGATGTTCTCTTCTTCCTCCGCGATTGTCTTGGTTAGCCTGGAATGGTCGTCGCTTCTTTCAACAGCAAACGAGCTATGAAGCAAAGTACGCGGAAAAACTGGCTAGAGTAGCTCAAGAGTGAGGTGTCATGCTCGATGTGCTTGTGGTTGATCGTGACAGTTTTCTTACAGGAGTCGCGTTCGATGATATCTTCTTTTCATCTCTATTGTATATACCGGGCAGACGAGGAACTAGCATTGAAGCACTCAAGGCGAAACTCAGGGAGGAGGAGCAAGAGCGTAGGAGGAAAGCCTTGGCTTCATCTGCCCGCCCAAAACAGCCGGCTGCAGGGGCACAGACGTCTGCTACCACTGGTTCAGCCCCATCTGACGATACCCCGGCTATGCCATCCTCGCATGCCAGGAAAGATAGTTCGCCTGTAAAGGTCCGCCCTTCGTTCCCATTTTTCCAATGACATTCGCTGATGCGTCCACTCCTGAAGCCTCTTTCTTCCTTTCTCAATGTGTCTCGACTTTTCGAAACACCTCACACATCAGAGCAGGTATCGGCGCTCTGGACTGCGTACCACTTATTGCGGTCGCAAGGGACGGGTCGAGGTTACGTCTGCGCATCCATCCCGCTTGACACCTACCACCGCATGTCGGACGTAGCAAAAAGGTACCCGACGTTCATAATCCCCGTGCCGAGGGATCAGCCGGGAGAAGGCGAGAGGGCATACGAGTTCTACTTCATGCAATGGGACTTCCATGAAGCTCCGGAGGTACCCTCTCTAGAATCGGCGAAGAATCCCTTCGTGACGGGAAGGCGGGGAAATCCGCAAACTTCTACGGTTCTATTTACGCCGCTGCAGGAGTACAAGCTTCGACAAAGCTTCGCAACGCCTTACCTAGTCCTCACTCACTATACCGACCTGGCCAAGACACATGGGGTAGTGCTACTGCGCGGGGAAATTACGCCGTCCGCCGCTGCCCCCGTACCTTCTGGAAGTGGTCAGGAGGAAGGGAAGTATTTGCTGAGCCAGGGGGACGCGCAAGCTCTAGCCATGAGCTTGCAGAGGTTCTACTTGTGGGGAACGGGTAAGGGGGAAACACAGGAAAGGTCGAAGGAAAGAGAAGAATTGCTGAAGCGGTTCCACGAGGCTCCCCCTGATTTCAAGTGGGAAGACTTACTCAAGCATACCGACTTGACGGTGTAGCGTACGAAATCGATGGGGTAGTTCTCACTGTGATTATACATATACACATACTCCTGCGTCGCGACGTTAATGCCGGCCATACCCTCTCTCTCATGATCAAGAACAAGGCAGGCGGGTTCCCAAACATTGTCCTACTTGTTCAATGATGGCCGGTGGCATAAGTATACTAAGCAGATCGCACCAATTGAGTCCACTAACCTGGAAAAGAGCGTGCCAAGAGTACTTGGTGGACCCAACGGAATGTGAGTGCATCTCCAGATTTTCGGTTTGTCCACGATTTGGGACCATGAATGCCCCGGCAGCGGCAGCATGGAGAAGGCAAACATAACAATGATGCCAACATTAAACTGTATTGATGACCACCGAATACCAATTGTAACCGTTCACAATGCTGCATCCTTTTCTGCCTGCACTATGGCCGACGAGAAGGCATCATCGTAGGCTGTATTCAGTTCGACCATCTCTCTCCCGACCATCTCTCCGAATCTCCGCACCAATCCCGGAATCTCACCCTCTACCGAGACTGGCTTGCTAGCAGCCACCTCTATGCAGCCAGGCTTTACATCCACCAAGCCGCAAGCAACAATCTTGTCCAGGTATGCCAACGGTTCCTTCGTGATGTTCATCGCAAATCCGTGGGTCGTCAGGCGATGCCGGACCTGCACACCTATGCTCGCGATTTTGGTCTGTTCGTCGAGGAACACACCGGTGTGCTGCGAGGGGATGTAGGATATGTTATGTCCTTCCTTCAGTTGTCTCTCGAGCGTCTTCTGTATCTTGCACACGTAGTCGCGTGCTCCCAATGGCGGCTTCCATCTCCCCAGGTCTATCAACGGATAGCCTACGATTTGCCCAGGTCCGTGGTACGTGAGTTGACCCCCTCTTTGAGTTAGGATGAATTCTGCATCATCTACATTCAGACGACGTAAGCGCGCCTGCTCGGCATCGATTTCAGCCTGAGTTTGTCGGCGTCCGAACGTGTACACAGGTGTATGTTGCAGGAGAAGGAGAATATCCTTGTAGGACGACGACAAACGACGTTGTTCCAGCTGAAGTGCATGTATCTGCTCCTGGAGGGCAAACGCTCGCTTGTAGGGCAGAGGAGAGTGAAAATAATGATAGAAGATTGGTGGTAGAGAGGAGGCCATTCTACTCGTCAACGACTGGAGGGCTTAGGGTTAGGTGTGGTCTCCGGCAAGACCAGCGAGACCTCGGGTACCAATCCAACAATTCTTGCGGATAGTAGTGCTCAGACCCTCTGGCGGTGCCATGTCTCATATAGCCGAGGGCAACCTGCTGAGAGGTGCGCCGTGAATGTTATTGCAGCTCCGCAATGTGGCAGCTTAAGGCGCTGGTCCCGTCCGCCGAAGACTGTCACGGTCTCCCCGAATCACCCAAAGTCAATGCTTTCAAATCGTCTAGTGGAGGCCACCCCAGCTTTTTATCTCACTAACGATACTAGATCACATTCAATTCGCAAGAAGTGCAAGTTTCTCCGCACGCTCCCAATGGGGTTACGCGTACGCCAATCACCGCTCATCTGCACCCGCTCCCTCCGAATTCAGCGGGTCAGCCTGAGCAGCCTGAGGATTCCATCGCAGCTATCTTCTTCGGTACTGACGCCAAATGCACTGGAATATTCTAAATTTTGAATAAACCTGAAGCTAACCGCCGATAGCCGCTACGCCAGCCTGGATCAAGCATCGTCCGTTGGTGTCTTGTTCGTGTTGCCCACCTCCTTACTAATTTCCTTGGGTCTCCCTGATAGATTTCCGTCGAGTGGTCTCAATAAGACATCCGCCCTTCCACAATCTGGTTCACTAATTAGGAGGTTGCGTGATCGCTCTATCAATGATTTCGGTGATTTCACGACCTATATGGCGAAGTGCACGCGCCACAATGAACAATGGTAGTTGATGCGCAACTTCTAATTTACTGTACAGGTATGTGCTTAGCAATGTCCATAATGCTAATTAATGAAGTAGTCCGTTAATGCAGAATAGTGATGATGATCTAGGGTACTTGGTTAATATTGCGTCACTTGCTTCCTTGCAGATTTCCGTGAGGGGGCGCCCCACGCAAAGTTGTCTTCTTCAAGCATCTCAGCTTGGTACTGTGAAAGCCAACGCACTTAGTGAGTGCCCATTTTGAACGATATGCATGTACAGACCTTGACATCCTCTTGGTCCGCTAGGGTGTCCGACGATTCGTTCCAAGTCTTAAGGGAGTTCTATAGCTATAGCGAGATTTGTCGACGTTTGTTTTTTCTGTGACTCACTTTAGTGCTTGATCTGTTACTGTTCTTACCGACTCCGATGAATCGCAGGGCCCGTACGATAGGTGACGAGGGCTTTGAAGAGCACTTCGTTCTTAGGCCGAGGTTCTATCACACATAGGAAGGCGTCAGGACCATGGCCTAGGGACTTCGTTATAAAACCTACGTTGGACGACGATATCACGGTGTATGACTCGGAAGACTCGAATGACTGTAGCATGGGCATAGTGAATCGTGATGGAACGTCAAGAGTCGTAATAAAGAGGGCGTTGGTATTCCGGGTTAGTGAGGTCGGATGCCCGGGAACCACTCAAATTTATACGACACGGGAAAGAATATTAAATGCCTCGATGCTGGCATGGCGTTACTTCTCTGTCATAGACGCAGCATCTCCGGTCGTATTCATAGCGCAGTCGGACAAGTATAGCAGTGCCCGCCAGTTGATCCCGGTCAGCAGACACTGCGGAGTGCGTGATACATCCACACTCCGCTAAGACTTGTCAAAGTCAAACAGAATAGCACTGTTCACTCGCCCTGATCATCTGCTTGGAGCATCGAAGGCCGACTGTCCTTGGAGCCGGCATTCCCTCATTGACAGGCGCACACTGTTGTCCAACCTACTAAATTGTGCCGAGGACTATTTATAACGAGAGCGAATAAAAACAACCATGGGGTGGGAAGGATGTAAGTGAACGACCTGGGAAATCGGGTTGAAGAGGCCGCAATGAAAACTACCGCTCCAGGCGGAAGTAAGAAGGAGTTAATGACAGCTGGATATTGTAAGGCTTATAGTCACCATGTGGCGTATTGCACGCGAACATTTTCTCGTCGTGTCATACCGGAAGACCTTTATCACCTTGAGAGAAGATATTTCACGTGCGGCATGGAAGGCACAAGCCGAGATATCTGGACGATATCTGGATGAACAAGATAGGCAGGAATAAGCTACGAAGATGTTCAAATAAGACGTCAGTCTTTAAAGTCGACGTACTAAGCTGAGCTGAGCATTTACGCACGGCCTGTAGTAATGCTTCGGGGATCTACGTACTTGGAAGGGAAGATGCTAACGGGAGAGTGGAGCGTGAAGGTAGGTCTATCGAGACGAGAAACAATGAGCGCGCAGCGCACATACATCGTCCCAAATATAACGGTCCCACATAGCGGCCACCTAATCATGTCTCTATCTTCGAACCTGAAAGAGACTCAAAGACTTACCGAGGTGTCACAGTTCTGACCATGGCCGAGGTTATCGTACCACGGCTCTCGTGGATATATGCGGTTTTGGTGCCCGGAAGGCACTCCTCCGCATTCGAGTCTCCTCCGTAAACCTTCGACAGGGGAGCGGATCTTGCACACTAGTGAATCGGGAAACAAGAGACGTTAAGCACATTGGGCAGCATCAATAGAGGTAACCTAGACTCTACCTTCTTTAAATCTATCCTTATCTGTATGTTTCTGCCCGCCGCAGCCAACAATAGGCATAGGCAGAAAGTGCGTATGTTGCATTGGAATAGAGTGAAACTCCGTATTCCCCACAGCCCGAAAGTCTTCCTCGCTTCTGCAAAATGCTCGCTACATCGGCACGATTGTGGAGAAAGTTGTGAGGGCCTCAGTACCTCAGGGATGCAGGCAATCCCGTGTTCCGATGTTTCCCTACCCACACTAGGCAGCAGATCGTGCCTCCAGGCGAACGTTCGGCAACGTGACGTTGAGCGGTGTTGGCATTAGCGATTATTTAATCGCTGAGCTAGCCTCGGACTCCACCTTGTTTGACTATTCCTTTCCATATGTTTCCTGATGTTTAACCATAGTGCCGGCTAAACAGTGTCCCTTCAGCGGGAATAATAGAGCACCTCCCACAGTCCCTTTGGCCCTCGACAAGGCGGTCATACGTCGCAGTGGTCCCCTTGAAGTTTAACGGGACTAGTGATGCGCTACCTGCAACCCTGACGACGGACATTAAGTATTAGGATCTTCACGCGGATACACAACTGACCAGGATTGCACGGTTGCACCGGTAATTAATCGAGTGCGTTGTGTTTGTGCGTGTAAAAGACACATTGCACGCTGTTCTGGACTCAGCGCACGATTCGCACTGAGATCCACCTCCACTCGCGAGAGATCTTCGACGACCCGGTGTTGATAAAATGTAGGAACAGCGGCCATCCGCTAGGCCAGGTGGGAAAAGAATTATTGATCTGATCCCCGGGTGATGTCAAACATGTCGCAATAATGAATGGACTTAAGATAGATTGGGTTATGTGCCTGGAGAAAACGCCGCGGACATTCGAGGACAGCCCAAGTAACGGAATGTCGTACTGAAGAGACCGGTGGACGGTAGAAGACCAGCCTCAGTAAGACGATGCCAGGTTGACAGGCTGGACCGCCCTCCAATCTCCTTGCAAATCATATAGATGACTATTATTCAATAAATTATGCTGGACAAATTAGTACAAGGGCCAATGGCCCGCTAGAGTACTGGGTATCTCATGCTGCATCGAGCCAGCGCGCTGGCGCGCTCACTTCTGTTTCTTAGATGACTTCGGCGGACGGCCCCAGGACATATTGTCCTCATCGAGCATCTCGGCCTAGATGACTCGAAGGTGAGCAATCACAATAGGTCCGGAGCGGTAGCCATGGACATACGTATCCGCCACTCGGAGCCGTAGCTTGTGAGGGTACGAGTGATATCTGGGAGTACGATGGTGGCTGCATCGAGACTGGGTCAGTTGAGAGCTCAGCTATTGCATCGTGCTTGAACACACCAGCGAGATCGTGTACTCCGGAGAGGAGTCTGACACGGGAGACACAGGAGATTGTTTACTTAAGCTCTTCGAAGGCTAGTTCGCGGTCAGACGATGCCATTCGTAACGCTCTGCAAGGGGGGAGACGTACCTTTGACTTCAGTGATATGCTGGACAAGTTCAAGGATGGCATGATCAGCTCGCAAGCACGACGTTATCTGATAAGGGAGAAGCAGCTGGGAGGGTTGCGATGGATTCTGAGGAAGGAGCATCGAGGAGCCGACTTTATAGTCCGAGCGAGCAAGCGTGGTCGGCTTTTCGGGAGTCACAAAAGCCACGCAATGGAAGCAGTGTCTAAAGGGCCCACTAGTGGCATTAGAAGGTCAGCAGACCTGGGCGCCCTGACAGACAAGCCAGCAATTCGTGATGCATCCGGATCTTCTCCGTTTCAGTCCAGTAACATCAACGAGATTTGTACAGCGAAGCAACAGACCGGGACATGCTAGTGCATCTGCGCCGCAATGAGACAAATGCAGGACATGGGATGGACAAATTCTTCAAGCTAAATCTTTGACGTAGCCACAACCAACAGGTAACCGTGTCAGTCGAAGCCGGGATGTCTGCAGAGAACCGCTAGGAAGCCGTGTCCGAACCTGCTAGCTCAACGAAGGCCAAGCTTGCTCTGAGTAGTGACGCTGATGCCTGGCTGAGTAACGAACCCGCCGATGTGGACTGCACCTCCAAGAGATGCAGAATATGTGAACAAGAGATTTCCGGCAGAGCGGACTGGCACCGGCACCCGCCACAGACACTGAGACAGCTGCCTTATTCAGCGTTATCCTCTCTCATCCCGCACTTGCAGTTGTCAACGTCTCTCTATCGAACTCTACTTCTTCTGACACGGAACGACACTAGGTCACGTTCTGCTGATAATACCATCGCCATAGCTGAACATGACCTGTCCATTCTACACGCTCACTTCGGCGGCCACCCTAGACACTCGACTCTTTCCGAGAATAAGTATATTGGATTCCATCCGTGCTTTTCAAATGCACATCCTTGCACATCCCGCTTCGTACGATTCACTTGAATCTAACTGCGGCTGGGCAGAGGTTAGTCAGAGATTCAGAGTGGCATTAATGATGCATGCTAGATATAACGGACCGTTTAATCCGTGCCTTGAATGGGTACGTACTATTCACTCTGATTATAGCTCGCGTCTTTAACATCAGACATCCTGCCAGGGCATTAAATGGCCCCCGTCATGTGATGTATTCTTTTTGTACAGACTGCACCCGGACTTAGTAACATTTGCTCTTGCACAAGGCATCGGACTCCTGATGCTTACTACCGGTGGGGGCCAGCGTTATCAGCAAGCCTCCGTCTACTGTCCCAGTCAATTCTCCGTGCACGTACCACTCCCTTGTAACACGCCAGAAGTGCACAATATACCTCGGAGTATCTTCCAGTGCTCTGGACAATGTCGTAAGATACTTGCTCTTTCTATGATCGGGGACTTACGAACAAGGTGCGAAGCGTCCTACATTCGCCACGACGTGGGACTGCAGAGCGGATGTCTATCTTGGTGCCAGTGCGTGTTGAAATTTGCACTTTGACTTCTACTTCGTATGGTCGCACGTCTCGAACGGCGCGGATCGCTTAAGGCACAAGCCTATGCATATTGCATCATATGGCCGCCGTTGCGTTCCAAATCGCGATGGGGACGTGGATACCAGCCGGTATGCAGATATTGGTCACGACTCTCTATTAGAAGAAAAGCCTGCACAGTCGAGCCACTGCTACAGATAGTGATTTCTGTGATGCGGTCGTTCCCCGTGGCCAGGTCCGAGAACACTATGGCGGGACATCTCAACTCGAGACCTTGGGTCTTGAAGACTTAATGACGCTGAACTTTGCCTGCGAGGCAATTCTGTTTAAGCATTGCCAGCTGGCTGGCTAGTCTAGAGCAGGGGTAAATCTCGACATTTTGCCCGCCGTGCCCCCTCACTCCACAGTCGTTGGCGCCGATAAGCTCCCGAACCATGCGTACAACGTCTAAGACCGCACCGAGACCGTTCGCGACACGGCAAGATCAGTTAATATCTATGTTATTTTCCGCTCACTTTCCCAAGTTGTGACCATCCAATTTATGAGACTCCTACCTCAGCGACATCCCGCGAGGGAGTTGATGATGGCTGAACAGTTTGGGCGCTTCCACGTCCGATTAGATATTTCCAAGACACGATCACTTACAGATTCTCTCCGGGAATCCGTGTGCGGATTGTGCTATCGAAAGCATAGAAATGACAATATCAGGACTTCGGGGAAAATGACTATCACGAAAATCCACAAGAACTCCCACCCCCTCTTCAAGATACAAAAGAGAAATGATAATACATACGCGCAGCACAGGCGGAAAGTTTACATGTACAAGCAAACAACAAATGGTGATACATCCAGCGTAAAGACGCCATCATTCCCCCATATACAGCATCGTTCGTAGACCTGTCTTCCGAACTGTCACGTATTCCAGTCTTCATCGACCTCGATTTCATATAGTCATTCATCATCGAAGTCCATGATCTGGCTTGGATAATCGTCAGGAACCTTCCATAGCCAATAAGGTCCTGGCAGCTTTGTGAGTATCGCTGCAGTCTCTACACTGACAAATAGACGACGTTACCTGCTGGATCGCCTGTATGCAAAATAAGCCTGAGCATTGTATGTAAGTACAGCCCAGTCTGGTCACTTACCTTCCTCGTGATACGCTCCAGTCCAGTTTCCTACCACGCCTGCGGCGCTACAGACTTGACCAATTTGCACACCTTCCGCGCTAAGGTCGAGTGAATAACAGGGTTGGTACCACTTGATTCGTCCTGCTTACCTCCACTGTGTGTTGGAATCATAGATAGACACCTTGATGTCAGTCTGGTCAGTGCCCTCATTCAGACCGGCGATAAATAGGAAGGGAAAGCTCCCCGGCAACGTACACTTACCCATCTCCATCTAATTCCCCCAGCTTCCATTCGGACGCAACCTTTCACGTTGGACTCGTTGCCGTTGGACCCTCGGGATATACCGACAAAATGGATTGGTGGCGGGTCATCAGGGCGTAGGGCGCGACAACCTCTTGGATGGCCAACGAAGCTGAACTCTAGGTCCGCATCATGGTCCGGGTCGTCACTGGGTTCAATCAAATCAAACTCGGTTTCGACCAGACGGGTTGCTTCCTGGAAATTGGGATCCGTGAAGAATACAGGATCCCGAGCAGTTTGCCCCAGCATCCGTCTCCTGCCTCCAAACTATATTATTGGTTAGAGAAGATCGGAACCTAGCCAAAGGACTGGCAGACTGACATTGAATGCTAAAAGTATAATATATTAACAACAGAAGCAACCAATTATATATGAACTACTCACAGAATAAATCCCTATTACAACGCCAAGGCGGCCGGCGGTAAGAGTCGCTTCGTGAACGTACTGCTGTGTGTAGACCCACCTGTAATCCATGAAGCAGACGAATCTCCTCCAGTGGCCGGCAACACCTGCCCAATCTCTTGTGCCCCTCTTGTCTTGCGTCCCAGGGGCCGAATATGCTCTTAATGCATCCAGCCCCAGGGTGCAGACGGGAGGCCTCGTGCCCGGCCACATACGCTGAAATTCCCGTAGATTCATAAGAACGACGTTGATGTTGTATTCAGTGTGTTTCCAGTTGATCGTGTCAGCATCTTCGAATGGGCCGTATCTCGTACGCGCCGTGTAATTCCGGAGGTCGTAGACGAAGCAGCGACTGATAGTCCGGAGGGGTTCGAGTTCACTTGCCACCGTGCTGTCGTCCGAGACCTGCTTGTCCGTACCGTATCGTGCCGAGTCGGTGCAATAGTGGAAGAAATCCCGGTTTGATAGGGATAAAAGCGCAAGAAGGCGATGCATTTCAGTGATGTCAGGCGCGTCACTAGGGAACCTGACGTTGCGCAGGACCCGCGCTAGCCACCTCATGTTACGGGATTCTTCATCCTCGGCATAAGGAAGCGCTTCCTCGAGGACCGTAAGAAATGTTGCGATGGATCGGCTGAGGGCCTCAGGTTTCGCGGGACCGCTTTCGTCGAGGTGCACGGATTCTGCTCCGATGCGTCTCTGGAGCTGGTCCTTCCAGTCGTACTTACTACATCGATTATTGCCTTGTCCCTGCTTCAGAGACAGCACTCTGCGCGGGTCGTCGAACTGCGCGAGGAAGAGCTGCCTCCAAAGATATTGGTCAGGGGATCTGTAGATGAGATCCCGGGCACTTCGGCAGGTCTTGGAGAAGACAGCGACATCTCTCGGATGGCAGAAGGCAAGTGTATGCTCAGTAACTTCGGATGGTACGGCCAAGACTGACCGAGTCGAGTGCAGAGTCGCCATGCTGCAGCGCGGACGTGTCCAGGAGCCGATAGCAGTCGGCCTTCCGACGCGTCCGGACTCCGCCCACGCTGGATATGATGTGACATGCTGAGTGGATTTGTCACGCTTTGTGTCAAATCGCCACGTTTGGTTCCGTTCCGCCCTGCCAAGGGAGTTGAAGTTGAACGCCGTAAGGGCAACCGGTAGCTGTTTTCTATTGGTGTTCGGCACACACAGCAACGATGCATTTCTGGCCCAACATGATTGTTTTGATAATACGACTCATATATACGCAGACACTTATCTGGCAATGATCTACAAACAACTATACCCTCCCCCCGTCTAGGTGATCGATAATAATCCAAGCCAATAATGTCAGAAAGGAAGTGAAAACAACTCGATCGAGCGCATTTATAGCCAAGGGTACCGTGCCTTTCAGCGGTCCTTAGCCCAGTCTACGCGTCCATAACTACATATTATTACCTCGCCGTGATGCAGACATCGTGGAAAGAAAAGAGTATCGGCAATCCCACTAGCACGCAGTCACGACCTACGCCGCCGCCGAGTCAGCGTGAAACCGGACCCTGCGGAGCCATCTGTTTGGATCCCGAATCGCGGTTCGAGAGTGAAGGAAACGGCGGTTATCCAGTAACAAGAGGGTGTCCTCTTTGAAGTGCTCCGCAGGGACGGCGAATCCGGTGTCCTCCTTCCCCAAGAGGCTCTCGAGAACCCGAATAGCCCTCACTGCCTCTTTGTCGTTCTCGTCTGCAGTGGTGACGCCCTTCCTGTACCGGATGAGCGCCGGTCCGTTCGCTGGGCGTTCCAGCAGCGGTTTACGCAAAGTGTGAACGCCCTTGAAGAACTCGGGAGGAACCTTGATGTTAAATTCCTTGGTCGCCAAGATCTCGGTGACGTCAGGCGGGAGAGCGGCGACGATGTCGGCTACGGGCAAAAGACGGAAGACGCCTCCGCCCTGCTTGTCGGGATGGATGATGTGAAAACCAAAGAACCGCGTCGGCTTTTCCTCGAAAGATCCGTCAATATGCCAAGAGAATTCGTCGAGTGTGTGGGAAATTGCAACGGCTTTTTGTCCTGTCCCTTTGGATATCACGCCCTCTGGCTTGTTTTTGATGTCCCATAAGGCGCCTACGACGAATAATAAGACAAGGTCGAGTAAGAGAGCTGAAGCTGACATACCCTCGGTTGCAGAATGGGTGTCGGCCTTGCCGAGCGCCTCGACAATTTCAAGCAACAGCGCCGACTTGTCCTCGATGGTCCCTCCGAATTCGCATTGGATTTTAGCAACTCCATGCTTGTATAATGCTTCACGGTATAACGAAACCTGGGCTAAGCCCTCGTCCTTGGACCAGGCTCTAAATGTCGTGCCAGGCGGAAACGAGAAAGTCTTCTCGGGTTTCTTTCAGTAAATAGTCAGCGACACCTCTGGGAGCCCTGCATATTGGTCGAATATACCTGCTGCATCCTGCGCGGTATGTCCACGGTAGACGCTGAGCGCGACAGGGGACTGAGGGGACGAACGTCCTCAGACCGCCGATTGAAGTCAAGGGGCATGCCCTGGCGACCGTAATAGCGAACCTGAGCAATGCTGCGTGGCAGGAGAGGACGAGATGGGGGGATAAAGCAAGCGTTGCGTAGGGCGGAGCTCGATGGACGTAGTTGCTTGAACGTCATTGTGGTGAGAAGGCGAGTGTGGTGCGAAGGCGAAGCTGACTACTGGACTGCACTGGTGAACAGAGGCTGGGTGTGCAGCCTTTTTATACCAGTACCCAGCGTTATGAGGTGTATCCATCGGCCGGGCTCCACGCTCGAGGGACGCTCTGCAGTCCCCGAGCCATTGAATTGTGCGAGAGCATGGAGCAATCTCTGTGTATGGGAACACGAAATTGTCCTACATTCCAGAGGGCGGGTAATAGCACCGTCGGAGATATGAACTTCTCGGTTGACGCGCATTCCGACCCTTTGGAAGATGATAAGTAATCACTGCAGCGAATCAGCACCAAGACCTCCAGTTTTACAAATTGATGCAGCTTCACCTGGAATACCCGACAGACAGTGGGAGCAAACGTTTATGCAAGAATTGCGTTTGCTACGTCCCCGCCAAGCCTGAACATGGGAGCCCAGGTATAGCGAAAGGTGCCATAGAGTCCGGGGTCTTCTCAAACCTGCCTAAGGACTTCCTTCGGAGGCCACAGGAGTTTTGGGACAGACCAGTCTGCTCGATTCAGAGTGCCTCAGTCAAGTCAGCCTTACTGGCGTCTCAAAGGTCTATGCCACTGCAACACGGCTCAAAACCAAACACCAACCTCATCCAGTTGGTAATGAACGTTCCTCAACCATTGCAGGGAGGTCTAAGTGACGCTAGATAATGGGCGCGCATTTTCGGAGCGTAGCAGAACGTAATGCGATACGCCGGAGGACTTTCCCATGTTCCGATAAGAGTAGTCCTAACCAACATCGTAAGCCCAATATGGAGGCAGAACTGACAGATTTAGAAGAAATGACCATCTTGGGCGAGATCACCCTTCCAGTGGTAAACTGGCAATATCTAATACACACTGACTGAATTCAGACCGTGGATGGCCGTGAGTATCTGATGAACCATGCTCATCTTGGTATATCGGATACTCGCCTGCGCCTGAAATGGAATTACATTCGTACCGCCAATTAGATGGAGCCTACCTCCTTGCACAAGGGGCCCTAGTTGAGCTCCGAGTCTCCTAATTCATTTTTGCCTGTAACGACCTTGCCACCTTGGACTCACTGACATGGGGAGTTTCGCATATGATTCTGTCCTTGACAGCATCACAGATTAGATGAACGTGGCGCATATGCTGCTCGGCGGGGGAAAATCCCATGCGGGAAAGCCCGACGGTATCGAGGCCAAAGTGAGCCTGAACTTTGGACCCGAAAATTATATCAGTAGAGTCTCTGAGAGCCATTGGACAAGGTCGCTTAACGCTTATCAACATAAGACGGCAGCCATTGCGCAAGCGGGTTTGGTGGTTGCATTGTTCTGCGATTGCACGAGTTCAGAGCCTGAGTCTTCTTCGCCCTGCGACAGATGGAGTAAGCGAAAACTTCTCACATAAGTGCCTTGCGTGTTCCGTAAGTCAGGGATCTAGACATTCGAGTCGTTTCAACAGTACAGTCATCACCCATCATGTAGAAGTAGACCTGCCTCATAAGCTCGCATGACTGGGAATCGTCGAGGACGTTGATGTACGTCATGGACCGGGTATCGCTAGAATTGACGCTCATGATATGGCAGTCTGAATTGCCAAGTTGTTGGACGATCATGTACACAAGCGCGCAGAGTCGGGTATCTTCTCCGAGTCAGAGACTTATCGGAACTAATTCGGAAGTCTTGGGCGCCGATGGCATGAGAGTTGGAACCAACCCGGTCAATTCCGGTGGCAAGTTGACCCACTTCCCTACATCACCGCGGTACCATAGATTGCGTATTCTCTTGAGTCTTGTCCGCGAAGTTCGCCGATCTGAGGCCAATAGGAATGTCTCCATATTGTCGTGATGGGTTTCAGAAGGACACGATATGCATCTCCCACGACGAGCCTTTGACATGATCTCGGGTAAAGGGCATGTGCACTCTTCTGAAAGGGTATTTTGCTGTAAAATCCAGTCCTTAGCAATCAACACCGAATCTTACCGACGGCAGCCCAAATATCCCTTATTGTGCGCTCTGGGGTGCTTATGAGCGCACTCATATCTCGATAAGAGGTATCTCCAGAGTACTGAACCATCCTTGAGTTCTAGACCCGTAATGACTGTCAGACCGCCATCAGACCCAAGGAGTGGTAAATCACCAGCAGTCCACGGCGTGTCTGAGCCGTCAAGGTCATCCGAGGGCAAGGAACGCGTCAACGAGAGGCTTGCAGACGACAGAGGTCACGGTGTCGACATACACAATCCCTACAACTGGCCCTTGAGCAAGAGCGCTGCCAACGCAGTCATTGTCTGTTTCCTAGGGTTCCTCTCGTGAGTCACCATTTTCGCCACTACACATTTCCGAGCTAATTAGTCCCAGGTCCCTTGTATCCTCTGTCATAGTGCCCGCGCTCCCGAATGTGAAGCTGGAGTTCGGGGTCACCAACGACGAAGTCGGAACTCTGACAACTTCTCTATTCGTTGTGAGCTTGCATCAAACAGCGCCTTTACAGCGAAAAGCCGACATGAAGATATAGCTAGGCTTGGGTGTTGGCCCTTTCCTTTTCGCTCCACTGTCGGAGCTATACGGGAGGATGTTCGTCTACCGCCTGACCATGACGGCTTTCACCGTGCTACAGGTTGGCTGTGCCCTATCCAACTCGTAAGACTTTCCTCTAGATGCATGAAATCCTCCCTCAGACTTAACCTGTCCGTGGAAGAATAGGGACACTCATCATCCTGAGGTTCCTGTCTGGCGTTTTCGGCTCCGCGCCGCCATCGCTAGGACAAGCGACCATTTCTGACCTCTTTTCCCCGGGCGACCGAGCCCCTTGGTCTGCTTTATATTCCCTCGGACCGATGCTAGGGCCTTGCATTGGGCCCCTGATTGGTCAGTGCCATCTGCTACATTGTAATGCATCGCTGACGAATTATTACGACAGCCTCTTTCATAATCGCCGCCAAGTCCTGGCGGTGGGTCTTCTGGACCTCAGCTTGCATGTCAGTCTCGTCTCCCCTCGATTATTCTATCATCCAGACTTTTTATCTCAGTTCCGGCGGCGGCACAATATTCCTATTTGTCGTGTCCAAGGAGACGTACATGCCCGTCATCATGCAAAAGGCACAGATGGAGCAAGAGCTGAAATCAACGCTAACCGGCGGGAGTAAGCGTGTATGGTCTTTCCCGCTCAAGCCCCACAGCGAGAAAAGCCCAGCGGCAAAGGGAATCTACAGCAAAGCCTTGTCCCGACCTCTTCGTCTTCTGACGACGAATCCGATCTGCTTAGTTCTGGGCACCTTTTTAGCGGTATGTGACAATATTTGGACCGCATGAAAGCTAAGGAACACTGATATTTTTCTCCTGTCTCATGCAGTACGTGTATGGCATGCTATACCTTCTATTGACGTCTCTACCGCTCCTGTATCGAGATGGCCAAGGGCGTCTGTTTTCCTACCACCTATCCGTGGTAAGTCTGGATTTGTCAACGCTCTACCGGAAGATGTCGTTCCCAACGTCGGCTCAGACTAGGTCAGGTCTCTGTTACCTGGGCCTCGCGGTGGGTTTTGTTATAGCATCGTTCACCACGGCTTACGGCTCCAGGCGATTATACAACCACCTCGTAAAAGTCAACGGAGAGCAGCGGCCGGAGTACAGACTGCTGCCCATGACTGTACGCTGTTTTGGGCGGTATCCTTGGGTTCAGCGACTAACTAGTTGCCACGCATAGGTCGGAATGATAATCCTTCCGGTAGGACTACTGATGTACGGCTGGTCAGCCCAACAGCACGACGCGGTCATAGTCCCGCTCATCGGGAACGCTCTCGTCGCGATGGGTATATTCGTGACCTTCGTAAGTACATGCCATCTACCATGCCCTGGAGCGCTGACCGTTCGTTCCGCAGCAATCCATCCAGGTCTACCTCGTCGACGCGTTCTCGCCGTACTCGGCGTCGGCGATCGCGGCTGCCACACTCCTCCGGTGTTGCGCGGGGTGTGGACTGCCTTTGTTCGGAAAGCAAATGTTCAAAGGAATGGGGTGAGTCTGATATGACATTAACCGCTCCCAGTGCCACAATCCTCACATCATCAATATTTCGTAGGTACGGATGGGCGGCCACCGTGCTCGCACTCGCCACTGTACCGGCCATTCCGATACCGCTCATCCTGTACAAATATTCACGATCTCTCCGAGAGCGTTTCCCCTTCCATGGCTGATATATTATTGTCCGCTCACCCATGGCCACGGGAAAGACAATCCGCATTCAGGTCAAATTAGAGCACCTTGTGTTGCATATCGAATACAACTGTAATCTGCATTGTTAGCCGGCAGCTCAGATTGCCGATCTTGCACCTTCGGAATTCGCGCAGTAGCCACACAGCAACACAAACTCAATTACAGTGAAGATACACGAGCATCAAAGAAGCGGCATAGACACCGGATATAAGATAAATAGAACCAATAGCACCCTCCGACCACATCGGCCCTCACAGGCCTCACATGCGCTTCTTCTCACCATCAACAACCTTCGTCTCCGCCGCTGCCTTGGGAAGACCGTCCTGCTTGCCCTCCCCTTTCTTCTCGAGCACCTCGACCCACTTCCTCGGGAACCACCCTTCTTTGCCTTCCCTCGTCCGGCCCTTCCACCACTCGCATCCAGGGACTTCCACACGCGGATCGACTTCCTGCCCGCTAGCAGGATCCAGCTTGCCCATGATAGCAACAATCTCATTCGGCTTTAGTGCCAATTCCGATGGGGTCGAGGGGGTAAACGGGTATAGTGCCCGGGCGAACGTCAGATCGGCGGGGGTGAGAGGAGGTAGAGCGGAGTGCGGTAGGACGGCCTGCTGCTCCACGCGGGATGAGAGGAGCTGGATGAGCTTATGCATCGCGTAGGGCACACCGATCACGGCTGCTAAGAAGACGATAATCGGCTTCTTACTCGGGGCTGGCTGGGGCGGGCTCGCTGCGCCCTGCACTGGGCGCCCGTTGATAAACTCCCTGAACTCATGCCGGAACTCAGGGTTGCCCCTTTGCCCCGTAAGCACGCCCTTGAGCCAGCGTATCAGCCCGAAGAGGCCGAGAACACTCCCCAGCGCGTTCCGGAGCACGGCGAACTGCTCGACGACGCCGACCATCGCGAAGAAGCTCGAGTGTGTCGCCATGAACGTGGACTCGAGCATTTGGGCGAGGCCGGAGAACGTTTGGACAATGGAGTGGAGGAGCGCAAAGGTGTGTTGCGTGGTTGTAGATAGAGTTTGCGAGAGTGAAGGCCCGCCGGCGGGGTTATTGGGATCGTAAGGGTTCATAGGACCGTAGGGCATCCCTCCGAGTCCCCCGTAGCCTGGCATTCCTCCATACACGCTGCTCATCCCATACGAGCCATACCCTGAGCCATATCCCATACCCCCATACATACCCGTTGACCCATATGGCGAATATGAAGAGCCGAATCGAGAATAAGGTGATGAATAGCCACCATAAGGCGAAGTGTATGCGCTCTGAGTCGCCAAAGGGTTGGGTTGAGTAGCAGTCGCCGCAGAAGTGAGCGCTGCGGGGCGCGCAGGCACAGATGGGGTTGCAGATGAAGAGGAAAGAGACGATGAAGCGCCTGCCGCGGTCGCAGAGGTCGATGTCGAGGCTGCTGCCGCTGCCGGAGTCGTTGACGCCATGGGTTGGGAGGTTGTCGTCGCTGACGGGAGCGTCGCGGGAGCCGCGCTACCCGCGCGTTCCCATGGCTTTGGAGGAGACGGCATGCCCTTGGGCTATTTTGCGAGAAAGAGTGCGAAGGGAAGAAATGGAGGTGTTGAAATCAAGTGGCCCTCCGGCGCTCATGGGGCCGGACTCAGATGTGCGGGGAGCACCGCCTCCATGTCACGATGCTGAGTTGCCTATGTTGTGGCCCACTCAACGGGCATCTATATGCACTTTATGTTTTGGTTTCCTTGGAGATAGCATAAATCACGATTCAATTCCATTATAACATTTGATAATCTAAGGATTCCAAGCAGAAAGCAAGGGCAATGGGCTCACAGAAGCTCTGCTACAAGATACATGATCCATAAGTCACAGCGTCCGTGCATTGTCCAAGTCTAAGGGTGTAGTACTACGTATGCTATGTACGAATAAGCTGACGCGGGAAATGAAGAAGCTGAAAGAGATAGATGCAGCGTACCGGGAGCGGGACAGGGTCGGGTATGCAGAATAAGATAGATCGGTCAAGATCGATAAACGATATAGTACTTGCAAGTAGAGAACGCGATGTAGAAAGAACGCAACAGCACGCTGGTACTACAAGTACGCGTGCCGGTAGAGTAGGATAACGTGTCTGCGAGGCGCGAACGGAAGTCCATCGTTTACATTATGCTGCTTTCGTCCAGGACATCTCACATCAGGATCGCTGCGGCACTGCCTAGCAAGCTGACAACTGCTGTGAACAGCCCAAGCGCCACAGGGCTCGACGCTAATGGCGACGCCGCAGAGTTCTTCGAGTCGTCGCCAGACTTGCCAGTCTGCTGCGCTGAGCCAGGAGCACCAGATGACAGGGTAGCAGCGCCTCCTAGATTGAACGCGGTCAACAAGAAGTTACAGCGCACGGGGAGACAGTATAACTCACCTGAAGCGATAGGCGGGTTTGTACTGTTGTCGTTCGTCTCAATGTACGCATCCGACAGGGGCTTGTTGACGCAGTTTACGACGGGCTGGATTTTGTACTTGTTCGCAAGCGCGTCGGGCAGAATGTAGCCGGTAGCGACATCAACGGACTGCTGGAACAGGTCGTGCTCCAGCACGATGAAACCCGTGTTGATGGTGGTTGCGTTGCCGAGGATGTTCTCCCAGTTAGCGAGCACTTGGCTAACCGAGGTGACACCGCTGTGAATGTCGAAATCTGCAAGGCAACCATTTGCTCAGAACCAGGAAGCACTGATCACATCAACTCCCGCTTACCGCCTGTATCGAAGGTTGCCGTGGTGCTGATACGAGTCCACATGACGGGAGTCAGACCCATAGCCGTACAAATAGCACGTACACGGTCACTAAATGCACGTCAGCTCAAGCGGGCGGAAGACAATATTCAGGACATACTCGATATCACCGTACGGAGGCCTCATCATGTTAGGGGTCACACCCGTAACGTCCTTGATAATCTTCTTAGTCCAGCCGAGCTCAGCAATGATCTCCTCGTTGGTCAAGGTCGTCAGCTGCGGGTGACTCCAGGTGTGCACCGCAACCTGGTGGCCGCCCATGTACTCCGCCTGCAGGGTAGCAGGGTACGAGAGAGCGCGCGAGCCGACGACGAAGAACGTCGACTTGAGCGACTGCTCGTCGAGATAGTTCAGGAGCGTTGGCGTGTAAGGAGACGGTCCGTCATCGTAGGTCAGACCCCAGGTCAGCTTGTCGGGGCAAGTTGTGATGTCGGTGTCCCGGGTGCATCCGCTGCAGGTCCACCAGCAGCGGCTAGAGTCAGAAACTGCACTAGGGTTGGCTGGGCAGCCACCTGCTACGGTGGGGCTGAAACCAGGGATATTGATACCAGAGTTCTGGACCTCCTGGATCCATTGCTTGACCTCGTCCGAATCGGTGGGCGGCACCTTGTCCAGGGCAGGGTATTGAGAGATTACGATGCTCGACGCTGGGGACAGAAAAGCGGATTAGCATAAGTTCCGCCTATCAACAGCAACTGATTGCAATAATATGGTACAGCAGGCGGTAAGACTTCGACTACTCACGATTGGGCAAGGGCGGGGCACTGCTGAGCACAGTCGGAGTCGCTCCGGCAGCATAAGTAGTGTCAAGGGGAACGGTGGCTTGCGAAGGGGCAGCCGCGTTGATCGACGCAAGCGGGACTGCATTCGGGTTGCTGGACAGGAGCGAGAAAGAGGCAGTCGGGGCCTGGGACACAGCGGAGGACGCTCCCGTGGTCAGTGCGCCCGACGAGGCAGCACCGGAAGCAGCGGCGCTGGACGCAGCAGGGCTAGTTGCAGCGCTCGCTGCAGAGGACGCGGCCTGTCTGGCATGGACAGCGTGGCGAACATTGTGCTGGAAATCATGAGCGGAGACTAGGGCGGGGAGGACGACAGCAGAAATGACGGTGGACGTGGAGAACTTCATTGTGCGGTAAAGACCGTGGTCGTCGACGTCGTCGCAGACAGCGAGGAAATGATTTTACGATGGAAAATGAAGCTGCAGAGACCGGCCCTTTTGCTTATAACAAGGAAGTCCCGGCGGTTGTGTTGCAGTCTCCAGCGCTTCGACAATGCCGCCAATGCCGAGCCACCCCAGTTCTAATTTTGCTCATACCATCAAGCCTGCGGCATCGTTGATTTCTCCTCTATGCACTTCAGCAGAGCGCAATATGTTTATCGACTTGGCTAGCTCACATCTTGCTCGACCCGAGGTCGTTCAATCTCTCTCTTCTGGAGCTCTGCTCGTATTCCAGTGAAGTGTTCTGGATATCGAGACATACGGAGAAAACATTCACAGAACGTAACGCAGGACAGTCGTATTTTTATCTGCTACCTTTTCGCTGATGGACGCATGGGCGTTGTTGCATGGACCAAGTTCTGTCGTCTGGCAGAGCCTGGCAGAGCGTATCATATCACTCTACCGGTCTCACTGTTCGCATCGTGGGGACTATATATTTCATGGACTTTCCTCCTTGGTCTGGCGTGCAAGCAGGGGAATAACCGTTGTTCGGACAAACCATAGTAAGTGATATCCCTCCTACACTAACGACATGACAACTGTGGATACATGCTACGGAAAGAGAATGAGTGATAAAAAGACAAACAATATCCAAATATACATTTTGCGCGGCTCGCTGTGCGGACCTGGTATGAAGAGAAAGGGAAGGATAGAAAAAGTCTAGCCTTTACGCAGTCTTTGGCTTTTTGGGCTTGGGCTTCTCCAAGTCGATCTCGTCCTCGTCGGAGTCACCACTGTCTTCATCCTCCGAGTCATCCAGGTCGCCGCCGCTCATGTTGCCCAAGAAGTAGTCGATGGCCTCCGGGAAGACTTCGTTCGCAATCAGGACGCCCAACTGCACAGCATATTGAATGAGCCCACGAGTGTATGCGGTAGAGCTTTTTCACTTACGTCGTATGGATCCTCGGCGGACTCGAAGTAATTGAAGAAGCTGCCACCTTCGGAAGGCATGTCATCGTCGGGATCTGTCGTCTCACGCGGGTAGAGCTTCGTGAGGTTCTTCGAATCGTCTTTCCAATCGATCTTGAATGCCACAGCCTCGACATCGCGTTCCCAGGAAAAGTCGAGCACGGAGTCCGTGATGCCGTCCTCGTCCGGCACCTCATTCGCGGCAGAGGGAGGAGGAATGTACTTGTACTCCTTTTTCAGCACGGAGTTCGAGAAGTAAGGGTTCTCCTTGAAGTACTGTACGCGCGTCATGCGTAAGTTCCCGAGACGCGTCATGGACTACTCACGAATTCAACCGTGAAAACCCTCGGCTCCTTGGGATCCCTCTCGATCCACAGATCTTCCAGGTAACTCAACGCAACCTGATCCGTCTGGTGTTGCGCGTGCAGCGCGAACATCTGGTGGTTCAATAACGCGACGGGCCAGAACTTGCTGATGTTCTTGCATATCTCGCGGCGCTTTTCGTAGACAGGCCTGAGCTTCTCCTGCGCCCTTCGTTCTACACGCGCCTCAGGCGGTCAGCAGACAGTAACAGGCTGCATTGCTGGGATTCGCGTACCTAACAGCAACTCGACGCGTGACATCTCCTTCGTAACAGCCTGCAACTTCGCAGCCTGCTCATCGTTGAGCTCGACGTCGGCGAGTGGGTTCTTCTCGACGTCAGCGCCTGGCGACGCGCGTTTCGTTCCTTGAGCCATAGGCAACGTGCAAGAAGGGTCGAGGGAGAAGGGAGATGGTACCAGTGGCGTGCACTGCTCTCAAAAAGTTCCAAATTTTCGGGACGAATTGCATACTCGGCAAACGCCGAATTTCCCTCTTTGGAACAAGGGAGGCACAGCCACCTTCATCACTGCAAACATATCACGGGAAGCGGTCCGCGGTCCGGGGTGGCTCTACGCTAGTTCAGCGACATAATGACATGTTATTGCAAGGCATTCGGGTGGACGTGATACAGCTACTATAACAGGAGACATACAAGACACGAGCAGCAATAGTGCCGACTACGGATACACTAAGAAATGAGCACGACAATCGCAACAGTTAATACAGAGCATCCACTCAAACTAATTCCACCCGATTAGCAGGGAAGATGCCTTCCCTCCCATTGAGCTTCCCCTTCCACCTATAAACCATCAGAGTAAGTCGGCGTCCCCGATGTTGGATTGGAAGGCTCACCATGTATCTGTACTACCGCTTTTCTCTAGTATCGTGATGACATCTCCTTGCTTGAACGAAAGGTCTCCAGGCTGGACAGCATCGAAGTCATAAAGCGCAATACAGCGCCCAACACCTTCTTGTAAGGGCATCGAGAGCTCTGGTTTCACACGTAATGGCCGTATCGGCTTGCTCGAGGGGGTGGACACGTTCAAGTCATCCGAGAGCAACGACGAATTAGACGCGTTGGTACCACTCGCATAAGCGGATGCAAGTGCGAAGGGGTCCGAGCGAGACTGGGGCGTGTGCGACTTTCCCAGCGGACTGGACACTGACCGCGGAGTCAAAGCAGCACCTGAGCTAAACGACCGGTTATGCGTCATAAGGTTTGACGCCATTCTCGACCTTCCCGTGTCACCGAAGGATGACATAGAATCGTAAGGGGTGCGTGGACGGAAAGAATCATCGGTGGCTGTGGTGGAGGTATGGTCCGGGGACACTGTGAGGTGTGGATGCTTCTTCGGAGCCGGGTCGTTTGCTAAGAAGTCCGAGTCAAAATGGGTATCGAAGTGAGCCGTGGGGTCGGATCCTTCTCTGGGTCTCGTACTCGAGTAAGTTGGTTCTGGTGGAATACCCTCGCTCTCATCACTTCTTCTCCGTCCGAAGTCGTCGTCGTCCTGGAACTCCGAAGAGAAGTAAGACCCTTGGCTCTTCTTTCTTCCCCAGGACGCAGGAGGAAAAGGCGTGCTGCCCTTCTTCTTCTTCCCAAAAGGCGAGAACAATCCTGATGGGGCTTCGTTCTTTGGGCTCTCAAGCCCACCAAAGGCATAACCACCAGGAGACATGTGCTCGTCATTCACCCACTTTCTTGTCCCGGGTAAGCCAGTGCATATCTCCAGCGTCTTGATCAGCGGCTGTGCCCACTCCGGGGGAGGGATGGCACCACTAAGCAGCTGCTTCGCCGTCACGTCCGATCGGTATGCCTGGGCATTAGCATCTTGCCGCTCCACGATAACGGAGCCTTCTATGGAAACGCCGCCGAAGAGCCCTTTCGTCTTCGAGTACGAATACCTACATCACAATAAGAATAGGAACAGCAGGGTTGGCGAGAGGACACTAACATAGCAGCCACCTTCCCTCCTGCGCTCAGAGCGCCCGAGGCTTCGCCATTTCTGCCTAATGGTCCTACCGCTACGCTCATATTGCCGCCTATCGTTAAGGATCCCGCCGACATAAACGATCGCTACAGTTCGCCATCATTCAATCTGTTGGAATGAATGGGGTTGCGGAAGGTGTACTTACAATGGCCTGGCATACGGGAGTAAGGACCTTATGTATAGCACACGGAGATGACAACATGTAACTCACGGATTTGTTATTCAGTACAATCAAGAAATCCGTTACTTCAGCACCAGCCTGACCCCCGAATCCTACACCCGCTGTGCCGATGGCACTCGGTGCTGACCACGCTGAGCAAATTTCTGAGTGCCCGACCCTGACTTCCGGTGATAAAGCGGTGACTCACTGCCATCATCCAACTTTGCAATCACTACGCCGCTTCCAGCCCGAGCGGAGAACAGGAACCCAGCTTTGAATACAGTGAGGATTGCGAAGCCTTTGGCTCCCTCCAGAACGCTGCGTGGTATAACCTATAGATAGGTGGACTGTCGGTCAGGGACGGTGTAGCATCCAGCAGTGCATTGAATACTAACTCCATCGAGCCCATTGTTTCCGCTATCGACAAACGACTTGACTGTGTCATTGACCGACTGTCAGAATGCCGACTGGCAGCGTCCGATAGGTCACCCACATGTCTTGGCAGCCTTCTCGCATTCCTTCGGTAGAGGTTGAGGTAGAGGTGTGTTGAGCTTCATGACTACGAGGACGAGTACAGCTGGACCGCGTACGCAGCACGGCGAATATAAGGCCGATCGAGCAATCGTACGTTCCGGAGTCGGGACGGGCAGTGCGGTCGGTATTCAGGATAGCTCCCGCTGACGTCATCAGATTTGTCCTCGGCAGTATTGCCTCCGGCGGTAAGCTTCGCTTGCTTTAGGCCACATCGCAGCCACAATCCTTGCTTGTGGCAGCTGCTTTGTCTAAATCTAAATCCATTTCCCCTCCTTGCAGTTACTTGTCGTGTGCAGTCACAACCCAGATGTTTATGCGCGTCCCATTGGAGTCATTGGCGTCGGGGCTGGAGTTTCATTTCCTGCCTTCTCTTACGTTCCCATGAGCGGTCTGGATTGCCATATTTACGAGTGATAAGTACCATGGTGCGTGCACAAGTATAAACGGCCATGGGAGATCCTCCACAAGCTCATGGGTCTATATTTGACTAGTGCAAGGATGTTATACCTGGCTTCTCCAGGCTCTGCCTGGGATCAAATGACCTCCGAGCTGTCTATCAAGTAGTGCGCTAGCTATAACTAACAACTGGCGATTGATACTTTAGCTGCCGAATTCTCTTGATCTCTTCAGCCATATGCTCTGGCCGTTGATTCAGACCATTACTGCCCCTCCCCATGATGTCTGATCGTAATACGTAACCTCGTGACAATGATCTACGAGGCATCATATCGACCTACGCTTCGAAATCCTAGGTAATCCTGGTGGATCCTTGTAGCCTCTTCATTGCATTGCAAATATGCGGGCGAAATAAACTATTTTCTGCTATCTGGCCTCGGTTGGGCAGTGATCAAGGTGCTTTTAGACACCTGCACTGTGATCATCACAACAGATATATCCTCCACCTTTCTTCGCCCCTCTGAACCCTTCCCCATGTTCTCTCCCTTGTCGACGACGCGCTGCACAACCGCCTGCTTCGCGGGGCTCAAGGAAAGCAGTGTTCCCAATGGACTCCAAATCCCACGTGAGGCGCCCCCGTCGTCGGCTAATGAGGCTGTACGTAAAGTCGCTCTGGACTTCAGAGCGACTGGATTTTGTGGGCGCGGCTCTCGGCGTTGCTGGACACGCGAGGCAGCGATAGACGCTTTCCTTTCCACCACACACTCGTTCGACTCGCGTCTCCTGGCGTCGGCGGCATGAAGTGCTACGCGCACTTCATCGCGCGGTCTGCATTTGCCTTCCTGTGGGCCGCGGCAACCGTTCCTACCGAGGCGCTCGCGGAGGTTTATCCATGGATGGACCAGGTATGCGTGGTGCGCCTTTGATACCCGCGGATATAATCATATGGGTTTATTTTCTAGAGTTTCTTCTTCGATTGGGCACCCAGCACTCAGCCTGTACCCATTCCCACCGTAGGTGCGTTTAGGGGAGGTTAGCGCGCGTCGGGTGTTCTAACGGACGCTGGCGGGGTGATCAGAACAGTGCAGTAGTATTTCTATCTCATGGACTCGCACATCAGCCTCTACAGGGTGCGTGCTTGTTCTATACTAATCCAAGGTCTAAGCCCAATGCAAGACCCGCAGGCCGAACCCGGTCGCGCCATACTATTTGCAAGTGTACACAGAGTGCGCATTTTCAATGATTTTGGTTTCGAGTCTATTGAGAAAGCTCGCAGCACGTTCGTGGTACCGCTGGTTATCGAGGCAGGAAGCGGCACATCACTTGTGAGAAAGACTGTGAAATGGCCAGCGAGTTAACGTGACGATTCCTGTAGGATTGGGTTGTTCCGTTTATACCGGGAACGCAAGTGAGTTGCCTGTGCTTACAGATAATTATGCGTAACTGACCACTCTAACCAGTTTCAAATATGCATGGTAGGAGGTCTATCCTCACGAGGGGATTGTCTTAATCAGTGGCGGTAGTTTGCGTCGAACGGAGCGACAGGAGGGTGCCAAAGGATGTATACCGTCATTCCTACGACGGATTCCTCCCTTGGCAACCCCCCTGTGTGCAGGAACCTGACTTACCCACAAGAGTCGCAAAACCTTGGGATCCAGGGGATCGTGTCCACCGGGCCTTTGTCGCAGTCTGGGTGGGTAAACCAGGTATGTACAACCTGAATTCTCGTGTTCTGCTAGGGCGTTGAATATTGTTGCTTAGTGCAGCGACATACAAATCTCTGCCACGAATGGCACGCCTCCTTATATACTCACAGTAAGTCCCGCGGGCACATCCTAGACAAACAGAGTACATGTCTTGCAATCAGGTTGCCCCGACATTACATCCTCCAGTAAACATCACCTTCAATCAATCGGCTCCGATAAACTGGACAGTAGCGCTTGTATGTGATGACGTGAATTGTTAGTGTTAGCGTGTGCTCAAAGAACGCTCTAGTCGTGGGGCTCACCCTTCTTCCTATCGGTGGTGGACTCTGCGGGCAATTTCTGGGCGAATGGGCCCTTGCACAGTGGCGGACCGGCACCTAGCGGATGTCTTGCTGCGCTTGACAGCTCGAGGTACGTCTAATGGTCAATGAGTGTCTCAATCACCGTGGAGATTACTCATTGACAACTCTCCACCATTGCAGCAATGGCACTGACCACTCTGGATCCAGCGGGGTGGCACCGGGTGTGGCAATAGGTTCAGGGATCGGAGGCCTCGCATTTGGTCTTCTCCTAGGCGGCTTAGGCGCCTTCCTCTTTTTACGCCGCAGGGGATCCTCCTATTCTGACCGCATTCTCGGACATCGCAAGAACAGCTCCGACCTGGACGATGGCCTCCCACACATGCCCGCCGATCACTACAGCGCGATCCCCTCTTCCGAGCCGTTACAAGCGTCCACGAGCACGCGCGGGGCGCCTCGAACAATGTCGAGCAGCAGGACCCTCGGCCATACTAGCCTCGGCAGCCTGCCGTCGAACCAGTACCACATCGAGCCGTTCATCATGCCCAATGAGGTGCTACAGCCACCCGCCGCCCCGCCGCTCGAATCTCGTCCATCGACTGCATCTGGGTCCAGGGTGCCGTCGGATAGCCAGAACTCGCGGGGTGTGCCGAATGTGTATGTCGTGCACCATGATGGCGGGCGGCCACCTGTGACGGTCTTCACGGACGACGGGACGCAAGTGATCGAGTTGCCGCCGCAGTATATTGATGAGCGTTCGGACGGGCGGTCGGAAGGGAGGTCGGACAGACGCTCCGGGGGAGGGTCGGAGGGAAGGCCCGGGTCTGAGGGGATCACCCTCGAGCAGCGGAGAACACCAGGTCAAGTCCCGGCAAAACGAAATCGGAATCGGAATCAGCCAGGTGGTACCTCCAACTCCCGATGATGCTCACTTGTTCATTTATCTTCCTGTGGATTCGCCTGTGTAGTTTGCTTTTCATATTATCTATATCCGCTCGCTGCATTTGTTACCCTGCATATCTTTCATGATTTAACACGTTCTATGGACAATTCCTGCCGCCATGTTTAGTGTACCCTGTCACAAGCGTATATCCGTAGCTTTCTATCTGACGTAGTGAATCGAGTAGATCGCACCAGTCAGTAATGGTACTATATCAACCAGGACGACCATCTCTTTACATGCCTCTGCGTGTCTCAATGCCTATCCAAAAGGTGTAGAGAATACTCCGATCGGACATGGCTTCCAACTCTGTTCGACTTCTCGCCAGCCACGGGGCAGAGGCGTAACCTGGTCTCCCATAGCCTGATCGGCCGATTCAGTGTGGTCGAGCGGAGATGGTGATACGCTCCGTGCACTGCCAAGCAATTGGCCGAGACGCTCGTTCATAACATCGATGTCCTTCTCCTGCCAGTGAGTCTACCTGAAGTCAGGAGGAGTCGGGCCGTGAGACGAGCTACGAACATACCCCCATCGGTGCCATCTCGACATTGCGTAAGAACAGAGCTCTGATTTCTTCTAGTCGAGCATCGCCCTGACACAGGGCTTCGAGCAGCGCCTGTGCGCTGAGGAAACTATGAGCGAGTCATGCAACGCGACGAGCTATTCACCTACGCTTTCTTAGATCCAGTCTGGTCTTCGGCACCCAGGCCCAAGTTCGTGATCAGGGTTGCGACAAAGTCTTCCTTACCTGCTCCAGATGCCTGATCCCTATCCTCGCCAGCCTGATTGTTTATAAACCACATGGCCCATCGTGCGAGGCATATATAGTAGGTAATGTCGGAACTGGCGGAATCCGCAGTAGTCGGCTCTTGAGACGCGGGGCATAAGAGGCTGACGATGCGTGTGGCGGCAACGCCATAGAATGCCGGGTGAAGGGCTTGGACATGATTGAGAAGCGGGGTCCAGATGTTGATCCCTGACGCCGGTGGGTCAAATGTGTTCGACGTAAACACTCGTTTCCTGGGAGCGACAGCTCAAATCCAAACATCAACGACTCGTTCTTCGAGGATACATACCTTTTTCCGAGCGGTACCAGGCCCCCAGGTGCCAAGAGGTCGTCGCAGAACCTGTCCAGGGCCCATCTCTCTTTGGGTTCCTCGTTATCGTTAGAAAGATCTGACGAAGGCTGCTCGGCACCCCATGCTACTGCATCTATGTTCTCGGAGACCTTCGCTTCAGCTATCCACCGCTCTAGGTCTCTGAGCACTTTAGTAACATCCGCTTTGTGCCTTGAAGCAAGGGACGCGTCACGAGTGATGAGCTTCAGAAGTCTTTTGTACTGCTTTAGAATGGGTGCAACTGGGGTAAGAGGTTGGGCTTGGAGGGGAGGTGTCGAGGAGGGATTGAGCGTAGGCAGAAAGTAGTTTTGTAACAGCCATGACATAGACTTAGCGAGAGTTTCCGACTCATTCAGGCAAGAATGAGTAGGAAGGAGAGTGAGAGACACACCTCTCTCGCTGCTTCTCTCAGCAGCTCAAGACTCGGCAATTCTTCGTGTGTCGCTGCATGTCTCAGTTCCACCAGCCAAGCAGGTAGACCTAGTTGCTGAGCTATGGATGCAATGGATCTAGCGTATGCTCCTGATTGCAGAGGATCCACCAATCCATTGACAAGACGGATAACGGCGGCGGCGTACATTTGGCGCAAGGCCATTCCGTGAACCGCATGCTGGCCGTTAGCATCATGCTGTAAAGCAGTCAACAACGCCAGAGTAGACTCCAAGGCATGCGGGAGTGAAGTCATCGATTTCCATGCTGACAACTGCTAGTGTAAGAAACGTTTCTGCGAGACACAATGCGAGCATACCCTTTGGACTGCAAGTTGTTTAGAGTCTGCATCGTTTTCGTCATCATATATCCACGAGCACACTTGGTCAAGTTCGCCAATATTCGCCCAGGGCACGCGACGCGGTAGTCTCATAACGTGCGTCTGTCAGAGCAGCCGGGGTCGAACGACTTGAATGTTTTCGAGTAAGTAAACGCCCAAGGCCTTATCCGGATTAGGAAGGATCAGATTTTTCCACGTGAACTTGTTTACCACACGCCATTCGCCTTCCACTTAGCGATGCATCGCACTCTCGCGGCTCCCGATATTCTCTATGAGACTGTTATGGATAATGGCACACATTGCAGTCACGATCCTTCTATTCACTTCACCATCCAATCACGTCCCCCTGGATGGTTTTGAGGAACAATTCGCTTGCCCGGAGGACCGGGTAGTGACTAGGCTCGTGACCATTCTCTCGTAGCTTGGTTGAGGGCAGAATCAAGCTGGAGATTCTGCCCTCAATCACGCTACGAGAAGCGGTCGCGATCCCAGGTAGTGACAGGTCCCTTTCCTGCGTCCACCTCGAATTCAAAACACAGCGGGTCACTACTGTTTAACTCGGAAATGTATCTGCAAGCAGGTAGGCCCGGATGAGTTCTCCCTCCCGGGCATGGCGTACGTGCGAGACTTGGACACAAGGCGGACCGAAGATTGACTCGACTGTCCTCGTTAATTTGGTTACCTAGTCTACAGCCGTTTGCAGATCGATAGGCCGTCACGTCAGAAAGTCACATATCATCGGAGTGTGTCGGACATGGTGCCACGGATGTCCCAGAAATTAAACGAAGTCCAAGTGGTCTGATATTGGGGTCTTGGGGACTTGAATTTCCTTCTCCAACATGGTCCGACTGTAAATGATTTTCGAGAAATGGGCCCATCGAACTGCAAACGGCTGTAATCGCGGAACATGTTCGAATGTTGCGTGAACGCTGATCAGAGTTCCGCTATCGGCGGGCAGCCCTGAAGGCCTGACGGCCGACTGATACGTACTACGTAGATACGGAATGTACCTTCCCATAGCAATAAGAGCATAAGAGCATGCAAGTACTTTGAGGTCGTCGTGGAGTTTTTGCGTCTCAAAAGGGTTCTGCGTACAGCACGGCATTACCGAGCAGGCACCAGACGAAGCTAGTACGGTGAAACGCAGTGCAGCTCGGATCCGGTGGGCAATGGCACCATATGTTCAAGCGCGAGCGGTAGCTATGGCGGTCCGTATCCCATCTGTGAGCAATCTCATACTAAGCAAGATAATGATATAACTCTGCACAAGGGGATGAGATAAACATACGCAATCTCCGAAGGTACACAGAAATAGAATACAATACACAGCTGTCACAATGCCGCTTCCTTTCATCAAATCATCTCAATCACAGACTTCACACCAGCGTTTTCTTGAAGTAATTAACCAGAGTGGAATATAGATCCTCGAACCTTCGAAGCGTGATGAGATGATCGCAGAGGATGATCGAGGACTAATAATACTTACTGCTTTCTGTTGTCAGCGTTATTCAAGTCAGCACGAGCAGCGGCGAAACCGTGGAACATCGTCGTGTAGTGCTTGTGGTCGTTCTTGGCGGCAAAAGGTTTCTTAGCAATAATTTCCAGGATCTTGTTGTACTGCCGTTGTTCCGTACGTCAGCGTGACAGGCACAGAACGTGGGGAATATTCTCTCACCTCCTCCGTGGGTTCGTCCTTGGACGGATAGAGACCCAAGGGTATCGACAAGTTCTCGACGTCCGCTGAGGACAGCATGCTACGAAGCGCAACCTGTCAGCTTGGGAGAATCCGGTGAATCAAACGGACACTTACGCCGGGTGGACAGCGGCGACCGCATCCAGGGGAGTGTTGGGGGCAGAGCCGGCCAAAATGTTGACCTTACCACCTTAAAGGCCAATGAGTGCAATGCCAGAGCAAAGTGGGCATACCGAAACATACCCCAGCAGAACCCGAACGCGCCAACATGTTTAGCTCCGTCCGCCTTCAATTGGTTTACCACATCAATCAGTCGGTTGACAGACTTTTGCGGGTTGGCAGTTCCTCCGAAGAACTCCTGCAGCTTGGCCTTCTCTTCGCCCGTCTGGGGCGGGAATTTGTCCGAAGGCCAGGGCGCGTCGGGCTCGAAGAAGTCGGGCATTACGAGGGTCGCCTTGAGCTGCTTAGCAAGGATATCAGCGCCCTGCTGGGTCTGCGGTGCGAATCTGCACGAATTCAATGTCAGCCTTGGCGCCCAGCTGCAAGAAGTACACGACTTACCCAAAGATGTCATATACAGCGACAAGAGCAATGTCGCTCTTCTCGTCGCCGGTAAAGTAGACCTTCTGGAAGCCGGCGTACGGCTTGTATGTCCCCTGGGGCTTGTAGTCGGACTGCACGGGCGGGATGCTGCAGCAGGCGGGGTTGTCGTTGTGGACCTGGGTAGACATTCTGCGACGGGTGTGGGGGACGAGTGCACGGAGACGCTTGAGCATTATATAGCAGGCGATATGATATCGATCGCTCGGCTCCAACTGTCAGCGCGCACCTCTTTTATGTGAATCCAAACCGGGACGAGAATAGCTTGGAAGGCGCTATGCGGCCTATGCCTGGTAACATGTTCTCTTGCGAATTCATCGTTGAGAAAGAACAGACGTCATCGAGAACATGAGCAGTCCGGCCCGGGATCAGCTGAATGCCCGGTCACGGTCACACCACGGTCACGCGTATAAGAACCCATGCTGACGCTGAACGTATTTTCTTCCAACTCCCGCCGCAGCTCTCGCCTCTGTGCAGAGCAACTCTTGGTCTCCGTCTAGTTGGTCGAGGGTAGCGCGTCGGTGGCAGGAGAGCAGATATCGGGTTCAATTAAGCCGGAGCGCCTTCCAGCGGGTACGCGTTCGTCTTCAGTCGAAGTCGAGTCGGGAGGATGCTTGACTATGTAACTCGTACATTCCCCACCGATCCTGCTTGAAATGCTATTTCTGATTTATTGATTGTGTCGCCGGTGTCTTTGACGCGCCGTCGCTCTGTCCATCATCCCGACCTGATGGCCAGTTACTGGCCAATTAGCACCCGTGCGTCATATCGCCTTTGATGCAGCTAGCGAAGTGCGAGTAGTTCCTTTGCAATTATACCTTTTGAAGAGTTGTGGATCCCGGGTTCTGCGAGTGGCGATGGCAACGGCGCCGGCACAGGAAGGGGGAACAAGCTTAGAGAGCAGCGCCTCATACCGCTAGAGCAACATGCTATTAGTTGGAGATTGCTAAAAACCAAAGCTGCTCACGCGAACTGTCATCCAGGCACAGGAATCGATTCGGCCACACCCGCATGCCCCGTCTTCATTTTCTATTTGACCGTGAGTCGGCCTTCCTGGTACCTCTGACGCAGGTGTTATATAAACTCCGGGTCGACAATCCCAATCATATCACCCCCTTCGAACACATTTGATTTGCTCTTCGTTTGGTACTTCCATCTCCTATAGCGATGGACACTGGGACGCGTCTTTTCCTTTAAATGCTGGGTGACCTTGCTCTTTCTTGGACCCGCTTGTATATACGACGCATCCCGAGAAACCTCCGACAGCCTGAGGATGGTTGAAGTCCCCAGGCTGACCGAAGCAGAAATGCTTGCTGGTCTGCAGGCCTGCAACTATAGTGCTAGTACGCTAGCCTCCTGTTATACGTTTACGAGGAATCTAACGCGTCGGCTGGAAAGTGAGCGCCATATGCTTCACGTTCTGGGATATCCTGATCACGATGGAGGACGAGGTGAGTGGGATCACTCCTGCGGGGTAGTATATGCCAGGAACTGACCAGGTTGATGCATGAAGGTCCGGGAAGTGTGGCGGTACGCGTGTTCCGACTCTATCGTATGCTGCGCTCCACATTCATTGCCTCCCCTAGCGGTCCTTGGACTCCCTTAAAGATATTATGCCTATTCTTACGATACTACTCATTATTCGCCCAACTGTAAGTACGCATCCCCCGTATTCCCAAGGATGTACTCGTATGTTGCTCTAGATTAGCAGCCGCCGTAACGATGAAAGTATCCTCAGGACTCAACCTCTCACAACACGGTTGCGAGATCTGGGTCCTATTCCAGGGCGCCTCGAGCTCAACCCTCATGGTGCTATGCCAGTTCGTGCTCACGATACGAGGTACGCGCTCTCAACATATGGGACTGTATGCGCTATAACAATATGTCCGTCGCGTCCCAGTTTGCGCTCTCTACCGTAGCAACCGCCCACTCGTCATAATCTTACGACTATTCTACGTCGCCGAAGCGCTCACGATAATTCTCCTCCTCTCCCTGTCCCAACCCGACATCAAGTATGGCACGCATTGCGTCGTCATCGAATTCCCCTTATCCGCCATTGGTTTTGGGTACGCAGGCCCCCGTACCCTCGACTGCAGGTGACCCCAGGCTGACCTGGGAATATGCGCAGCGCGGTCCCCCTCATCTTCGACACGACCCTCTTCGCTCTGACAATGGCCAAATTCTACAAATCTATCAAAGAAGGCTGGGGCCGCGAATCCGTGATTGCGCGCTTCATGCAAGACGGCATATGGGCTTATGCACTTCCATTCCGTAGGTCCTTCTTTGATCAGCAGGATGTGTCATAACTCAGCATCTAACACTCTTCGGGCACTGCTTTATGCTCGACACCGTCCTCCGACAGTCGTAATCTGCATAAACACCGGATGCATGGCGTTCCTGAACAGCGCGCTGTCCTCGGTGGCGTTCGCGTGCGTACCTCGTCACCACGCCCAAGTCTTTCTCAGAATTTCATGGGGATACACTCTGATTCGACGCTTCTTTCTAGATGGCTGATCGCCATCCCACCATTTGCTGTGAGTTCCAGGCGTAATCGCGGTGATTCCGAAACGCCGATCGCTGACCGACCAATCACGATTTAGGGCTACCGGCTGATACTGAACATGAGCCACCTCCTGCGCGCTCCGCGGCACTACGACCCTGAGCTGGACTACACAGACGCCGGCATCCTCACTACGGTAGCCATCCCGCGTCCTCTGGATACTGACGCCAGTAAGTGCATATACCAGTGTACCAACGATTTCGTCGTTCCCTTGCTGACGGGCGCCTTTAGCCATGGACTCGGGCTCGTACCCGATGACCCCGACCAGCGGGAGCGCTGGGCGGACGTGGTCCGTGGAATCGGCATCTGATAACTGGGGGGATCGCCGCTGGGTATCGTGATATATGTCATGATTTGCTACGGTGCTGTTCCTGAGTTATGTTTATGTATAAAACTAATGCCTGCTAGATGTAATTTGATACCTTGTATTGTACTAGCAACAGAAAATACCCAGGAGGAATTATGTTCTTTGACGCTTCACTTCGGCGCTGGGAATGCGCGAGGGCTCGCAGGATCTGCATAACGGTAGAATGTGGGCGCCGTTCGCACTGCTATTCCAGGCGTGCCTGCTACTGTTCGGACTTTCGATAGGGTGCCGAAGAGCCCGAACTAATATCTGTTCACTACTCACAGACGCTAGCAGAGATAACCCCTAGCGCCCAGTGTTGACCCTACCAAAAGGTATGGAAGACGGTTTTGCTGTCGGACATCTGGTTTCGGCCACTGGTACGTGCTCTCAGCGATGCACACAAAGTACAAAGCCCTGACACCAAACCTTGCCAGGACGACCAGATAGAGTACATAGTGATCTAGCAGACTATGCTTATGGACACAGTAAATGGCCTCATTTCTCGCGTTGAGTGCCCAATTCATAACTCCTTCCTCCCAATAGACCATCCGTCCCAAAACGCGATGGTGGGCGGGGACTGGAGCTTGTATCCCATTACTAAATATCTGAGTTTAGCATTTTCTGGAAGGCCAGACGACCGCCAAGGCCCCAACGGGGAATTTCCCCGTCATATGCCTTACCAAAGGGCTTTAGACTAATCTTCATAACACGTTCCGCCATAGCACTCGATATATCACTGCGCAATTGTAGCAGCGACGCAGAGGGCACGACTCACAGCATACAATCGTCATTCCTCGGAATTGGGGTATCGATACAGGAGCCCCGGGGCCGTTGCAAGGGGTAATTAGATACGGTGCCACGCATATTAGTACAGTTTGTGTGATACATAGTCATCCAAGGCCTATCGAATGGAGGTATCCTACTACTGTTCGTCGACGGTAATCCACCCCTTTCGACACTCGTTAATAGTTAAAAGACTGTCCGATGTCCAGACATCATGCAGCATACACAGCATACGATTCATCGTCCTCGTCATGTTTATCTCGCACGGAGTCCGACAAGTCGTACTCGTCGTAGACCTGCTCGATAGAGATCATAGGCGGTAGATTCTGGAAGCAGACACTGGTGGGAGTCAAAGGCTCCGGTGTCATAGGCGGAGTGGAGGTGGGAGACACGGATAAGGCGGGTGGACGGCGAGATTTGGGAGATCGCGCAGCTGGAGGGGACTGCAAGGTGAAGGCACCGGTTTGTGCTTCGGAGTGGCTAGAAGCAGAGCGGATACACTGGAATAGGCACTCGGTCTCGCGTTGTCTCCTGGCTTCGTTCGCCTGGATCTGCTTTAAGATCCTGATCTGGATTGCAAGCTGAGGACGATTATGAGCCTGGAATAAGCTGTGGAAGAAATAAAGGCGGACTTACAGAGAACATCTCGAGCGCGTCGCCCAGGACGGAATCGCAGCCCCCTATTTCCCGGACGATCTCCTCGCGCTTCAGATATCTCGCGAAGAGATGGCGTTGGACCTGTCGCTGGAGCAATTCTTGCACCTTGACGAAAGCTCTGCAGTAGTCACGTCAGACACAGTTGGTGGACATCATCAAACCATTATACTGACTCGGTAAGTTTGTCGATAGGCTCATGGAGCTCATCAGTTACGGCCTGCCCAGCCGAGTCGATCTCCCCTTTCACCCTGAGCAGGATATCGGCGCATCGCTGAGTTAGGCGTAGGCAAGAGGTTCTATTTCTCTACCGAAGCAAAGGATAGCCGATTTAGAATTCGAATGATGGAGAGAAATCTCTGGACTTACCTCGACCTGCTGACAGTTGTCCCAGATAGTAAGAAGGGTCTTGACGACTTCTTGCAGCCCGGCGACAGGTGCTAGGGACAGCAAGTCCGAGCCTGTATACAGGGCTTCTCGAAAGACATCCAAGGAAACGTCAAGAGCCGCCGCGGCCGCTTTCTCCACCCGCTAGAGAAATGTTCATCGTCAGACTGAGGACCTTGTTTGTGGACAGACGATACTCACCGCTTTGGTGCACTCGAATGTTTTGGCTTCTTCGGAGGTGCCACGATCCTTCGTGGCCTCGCCCTTCGCCGTTGGAGAAGGCGGAAGTGCGTCGGATACCGCCCGGCGGCGCCCCCGGAAACGAGAGTGATCGGTGTTGTATGACGGAGGCGTCAAGCAGGGCATGCAGGATGAGAGCGAGATGGCGCCGGCGGTGTTGCACGTAATGCAGTCGAGCGCGAGCATGAGGGAGGGCTGGGAGGCTCGACGTGCACGTCTCGGGACGGGTGCTGCCAGAGAAGATTCGCTGTCGCTTGGTAGAGGACTGGGAGAAGAACACCCAGAAGGTGGGATGGCAGCCGCGGTTGGCTTGGGGCTGGCGGGCGTGGGCTCGCAGAGAGTGCTCGCGCTACCGATGGACCCTACGGACGAGCGCCGCTTAGGGAATATGAACTTGCAAAAATGAGAGTAGTCGTTGAGACGCGGGGACGCGTCGATGGATAACCAAGAGGAAAGTTGAGGGGTTGACATCATGCTGATCCCGGAGAGAGTGATCGCGAGCGGTGCAGCTGCAGATAGGATCTAAGTGCGATTTGACCGGCCTCGGTACGCAGAAACACTTGAAGCGCCTGTGGGTTTTATAGGTGCGAGCGCAGCGGCGTCTGCACTGTCTGGAAAGACAACATGAGATCTCAGAAATCTGATGAGGACAGGCGGATGTATCCAAAGGCGGTATTTCCGATCCAGTGATCGACATTTCTGTATGTCCTTTCCTAGGAAGTTGTGGCAGAGGGCCGTTTCGTGCAGAGGTTACGATCTTGAACGCGCCACGACTCCGTTGACGGGGAATCGCAACAGACCGTCAATGTTGAGCTTATTGTCGACGAGCACATGCTTGGCGGTTTTACAGCTGCAAGTACAACACACGATGCGTGGCCATCGGACTTGCTCGTACACCCACCCAAGATGGTGCGAAATACCGAGGACAGGACCGCCACTAGTCAAAGTACAAGGGTTGGAGAGAGAAGCCACAGATATCTGAGATCCAGCCAGATCCGAAGAACGACTCTGAATCTCTTGGACATTCCGAGGTTAATCTACTACTCGATCAATCGCTCTTGCCTTATTGGAGATACCATCCTTGGTCCGCTGGGAGAACACTTCGATCCGCCGAGGACCATGCAGCCCGAGAGCAACGAAGTTAACAGCTGTATCTCCAGACTGGTAGATGTAATTGTCTGGTATAATCATTGCTCATGTTGCGAGAAGACGGAGTCTAGTGTCCACCACGATGTTAAATCGGCCCAGCTGCCCATCAGTCTCGCTTCTGCTGCCAGCAGTCTGTTAGCCATCGGGTGCATCCCAAATCCCCGCGGCGTAGTCCTTGGGTCGTCCAGCGTACACTAGAGCAGGCCGTAGGCAGTCCTCGACTCGTCCGGGCAGTCGATCACGATCGCCAGGTATAGCAGGTTAGCGGAAGCAACTGCGATGCGCCAGATCCGGGAGATCCGACGACCATCGTCAAATCTCTCCTTGGCTAACTCCGGCATTTGTGAAACTACCGTCCGGTAACCTATCGAGTCCACAGACAAACATCCTAGCATTGAAGTCTCAGCGAGAACCGTAACTTTCGTTCGCCAGAGCACATAGCGGCTGGTAGCACTAAACTGTGGCGGAGTCCATTTTTCCAAGTGCCCGTTAAAATCGCGATATGTAGCAGGTCCGAGGCGGCGATGGCCATTGTCTCAAGCATGTTGAGTCTAGAATACAATACCCGCATTGCCATAGCATAATATTCTGGATAGGTAGGTAGACAAGGAGGAGTTGAAGCGCCTGGCTTTCCTCGAGCTTCTCGTCGCCGACTCGGCTTTCAAACCACCCCGGTGAACATCTGTCTTCCCGAGCTCCAGATGCGGAAGCAAAGCAGTGCATGATCGCTGCATCTCCAGCTTGCATCTCCTGCAATCGCAGGCAATTGCCTGCCACTGGCATCCATAATTATCACAGCTAGACTGCTCTGACCGAGGCATTTAATGTGCGGTATATCCGATAGGCTGACCCCTAGTTGACTCTCGTTAAAAACGCAAACCAACTTGAAATGCTCGAACGCTCCCGCTGCCACACGTGCGGTCGCCTCGACCGAAGACCGAAGTGGAGTGAATAGTGAATACGATAGTGGCTCCGTGGCATGTGCAAGTAACCAGCTCTACATGCAAATGACATCGTGTCGCGCATTCTGTGCTCATCGTCATGAAAGAACCAGTGAAGGCAGGACCAATCATGATGACCTGCACTCTACCAGCAGTCTTTCACGACTTAGTGCCGAAACCGTCGCTGCGTAGACAGAATGATACATAATATTACATCAAGTCATTAGTGAGTGATTACAGAGTGTCCAAAATTTCGCTATGCTACAAAGATTGATGGGTCCATTAGTGCTTGAATGCCTCGTTGGTGTCGTCTTTGCCTTCACGAGCCTTCGCAGCGGTCTAAGACGAGACGAGTGAGCACGAGCACAAGATAGCGCGTGTAGGAGAGATAACCCACCTCGTTGGCCTTCTGGCCGGCTACTGTCGAAGCCTCGCTCGTCTTCTGCTTTGCCTGCTCGGCGGTTGTGCCTACAGGGAGAGATAAGCACGACGCAAGGAACTAAGATGAGCATACAGCTTACCGAGGGTCTCTTTCGTCGCCTCAGTGGCCTTCTCGCCCTTCTCAATGGCTCCTGCTAGACCTTTACCGAGGCTCTTGTTGACCTGTTCGACCAGACGCGTGAACAGCCGTCACACTGCGTCCCGCAGTATCCATGACTCACCTTATCTCCGACCTCCTTGACCTTCTCCGTCACCGACTTGTACGCAACAGGAGAGGAATGCAGCTGACGCGAGCCAGCGAGAGTAGCCCGAGAAGTCTGAGAGATAGCGTTGCGGAACATATTCAGTTGTCAAGGTGGATGTGTATATTAACTTGTTCGGTGGTGTTCAGAACGTTTTATAGCCCGACCAAAGGGTCGACGCGTACGTCTGAAATACATGCCTTAGGCTGCATGACGTCGAGGTAAAGGAGCTTGATGTCATCCTGCTCCGCTATTGAAGGGTGTGCCACAGGTCCCGCTGGTCCACCAGAATAGACCGTGAGAACAAGCGACTGGTAGGGTATAACCCTAACCATACTACAGTCCGTCGGGGATGGCGGCCTAGTTCTTCCGGCGACTTCCGCAGTGTGGCAACGACACTCAGTTGGTCGAGTATGTCCGGGATTTTCGATGTATGACGCTGTCTTCGCAGATCCCCATAAAATGATTGCAAAGACAAGCCTCCTGAATACACGGGGACTAGAAGTATGGCCCGCCCTTCACGGGTAGGCCAAGGGCTAGTCGCCGCTTAACGACACGACGAGATCAGTTCATCACCTGTACGCTCGCATGCCCATTGGAGGCATGCAATAATCATGCATCCCGGAAACACCTGGTAGAAGCTGATTGCCGTCTATTTCCTATGTTCCGTGAACTGATCTAGATAGGATAACGCCTACCTTCGAAACGTTCCGCCCTCGGGAAGCTCACAACTGTCGGGTATCTCAGATCATTCTAGTTTCCGGAGGCTGATCAACGCATTTGAACAGGCCTAAGATAGCTGCAGCTGTGAAATATGGAAGCTCCTGGTACCCGGATCAGCGCAAACCTCTCATATTTATATGCCTCGGTCGTGCCAGCACGCGCAGCCCGTCTGCAATCTTGCAGCTCGACCTCCCTCAGGCAGCGGGTATTTCATTTGCTCGACCCTGGCAGGTCGCTGGTCGGTTCTTCACCTTTACATGCGACATGGTTGCTCATGGCTGGATCCTGACCAGCCTGATATTCTTTCTTCTTTTTTATCCTCGCGGTTCTCTAGCTGCGCTTGTCAACGTCACTGTCGACGATACTAATGGTGATCTTGTTACTGGAGTTCCTGTAGTGTATTCGCCACCCCAAGCGTGGAACATCGGACAAAATTGTACTGGCTGTACTGCCAAACCGGATCCGGCACAGGTCTATATGGGAACTTGGCACGACGCTACCTTCGTACCGACTACCAGCGACAGCGCAAGCGAGGGCATCATCTCGCTTACGGTGCCATTCAATGGTGAGTTATTCGCTGTCAACCTTCACATCAGGAACACTCAATTGCACGAAGGTGGCGCGGTCTACGTCTACTGCATCCTGACGTTTACGTTCGACCATCCGGCCGGGAACTCCGACATGCTATTCTGGATTGACAACGATATCGTCGGGACCTTTGAGCTTCCAGCGAACGGAAGCACCGTGTATGACTATCATTTTCCTGTATATGTCAACGAATCTATTGAGGCCGGTCCGCATACCTTTCGCCTGGAAACAGGGCACAACAATACGAAGTCGACACTGCTCTTCGATTCCCTTGTATACACGTGGGTCTCAACCGGTATAGTCGTGGAGGATTTCTGACCTTATAGCAGGCATGACGATACTAGTATGGGGAACTCAACTTCCGGAGGTGGTTCCCGACATAATTCATCCCATGTCCACGGAAGTCCGCGACCGGGACAGCAGCTCGAGAACGCTAAGCATAGCTTGTCGAAGAAATTCACAATCATCATCGCTGTCGTATCATCACTGCTCGGGACAGTCATCGTAATTGGTACGGTGATACTGTTCATCATCCTGCGCCGGCGCCGACGGCAGAGGAGCCAGCAATTGTCCAGCCCCTCTACTGAATCATCAGACTCACCCACTGCTTTGCTCGGGAAAGAGGGTCCCGGGGAGAGGTGGATTGCGAGACATTCGCAGGACAAAGCTCTACCACCGATTGTCACCGACACCCACAGCCTTCAGTCTGGGAGTGCCAGTGCACCTCATAGTACAGCTCGAGCCGAACAGCAACCCCCATGGCTAAGCCGAGATCCTTATCCCAGCTCGAACGTTGGCCACTCGACCGTAAGCCCGGTGTCTCCGGCCACGACAACCAGCTCTAGTGGCATCGTATACGCCCTTCAACCACCGACCCGGAATTCAAGTGTACGAACCAGGCGACTTCCTTCGCCTTGGGAGTCCCAAAGTGCCACTGGTCGGACGCCAATTGTTCCCTCACCGGCTGATACCTTGTACTTTCCTCCGACATTTCCGTATGCACTGGCCACCGGCGACTCGGACATACGGTCGACTGAGCTCACGCGGTCGAGCACTCAGGCCACGTACGGAACTATCGCTTCTTCGATAGCTCCCTACTCGGATCCCGTCGCTCGAGACCCTAGGGAAGATTCGGAACTCATGTCTCCCGTCACCGATCGCTCCGAGCCGACGTCTGCTGCGGCCAGGAGTATCAGAGAGCCTTTGCCACCCTCGTATCATGATAGTCAAAGACATAGTGAGAAACGTCGACGTCCCTGAGTCTGGCTGGTGTACACCGTCTTCCTCATTTAATAGCCTCGCTGGACGATAACTATCTGTATGATGTAGACATTTATTTGGCTCCTTGGTTGCAGACTACCCCGTCCGCCTCCATATCGCGTTCTCTGTGCCTGTGTACGTACTGCTGTACTATAACTTGCCTAGCTATGTTGTTTCCGTCGCTGTCGCTCCTTATAGGCGCCCAGACGTGCTTCGACTCTTGCGCGCAAACTTGTCGGTGTTTGGAATGGCGGAACAGGTATATGCTCCACCTTTTGCTCGTTCTGAGACGATGGCCTTCGAGAGGTAAGCCGTTGTACTTACTTGTACAATGTTCGGACCTTCCTCCTTTATATTCTCATTGACCGCAATATCGATTCCCAACGACAAGTACGAAGATAGAGGCAGGGATGCCGGTACATTATAAAGCACGGCGTCGGTGTACTGTACAAGTGAGGTATGGGCAGGTTTACATCGGGAATTGGAACTGACTCACTTTGCACTGCACGACTGCCAGGACCCTCTCTATCTGGGCCAGTAATGGCTTCTCCCCGGTAACCTCCTCTACTGTCTACAGGTGCGGCGCATATCACTTCCACTCTACCTGGGAGCATTTAGAAATAGAAGTGGCTTTACCTTGTCCGCCCATACTCCCACAATGACTGCGGTATCCGGGGAAATTAGTTCCTTCGCCCGTCTCAAATAATGGACATGGCCTGAGCCGAAGGAGTCCCAAGCTCCCCCAACGTATACCTTCTTCCCTCTCAGAGTCCCCATAGCTGGAGAGCCCTGATTATCACCGGCGGAGAGATCCACTACGGGGAAGCGAGCTGGAATGCACTGCAAGAATTCCTGCAACAGTGCATCAAGATGTCCAGAATCATGCTCCCATCTAGGATGATCGAGCACACGCTGGATCAAAGAAGTTGTGGATATCCCCTCGCTGTGCATAGGGATACCATTAAGACATCTGTGCATCAGACCACCGAGCTTACGTGCGCTTGAACTCCTTGTATTTGCCGCGTAGCTTTAAGGGAGCATATATATCACTGCCCGTCGCGTCCTACGCATCATGCTCAGCATGTTACTTCAGCACCCGCATTCACTGCACTAGGAAGCATGCTCACGACAACGGCATCATCTCCGTGGACCAGGAAGTCTGTAAATAACACCTCCGATCACTGAGGCCGCCGGGGTCGCGAAGGTGCTCACCGACGTGATGCTTGTCCAGAACATGAAGTTGTGTGATGTAAGGCGCCCCTTCTATTACTTCGTCAACCCACCGACATCCCGCCACTACGGCGTATCTGGGAAGGAGAATCAGATGTGGCAGGGTCTAGACGACTGGGGTATAACCAACACACCTTTCCTTTTCGTCGAATAGCGGAGGGCCTTTATGTCTGGGTATTAATATCATTTGTCAGTGCCAGGCGACGAAAGAGGCCATCCAGGAAGGGGCGATCATGCACTTCATAATCTCTTCGTCGGAGTGCACAGCAGCCATCATATGCACTGGACCGTCGACCAGCTTTCGTGCTTGTCTGAACGCATTTGCATGCGCATACTGTGCCAGTTCCAGAAGAGGGTGTGAAGTAAGCCCAAGAGTCTTATCACACTCGCAAGGTGCGTACATGGAAGCCATCGAAGCATCCATCGAGCCTTCATCATGGTTAGAGTCAATCCTGTGTAGCGATGCTGGATCACGTACCATAAAACGGTGGTCTGCATGCTATAGTAAGATGAAGGCCTAATTTGAACTTCATGAGCAGTTCCAAGACGTCCACGCCATGGACCAAGCACGGCGCCAATGTGTATCCATTGGACAAATCCACTGATTGTGGATTATAAACATAACAAGTCGTCTACACAGGTATATTCGAGACAATTAATGATAAACTACTCTATAAGCCCCCCTGGGCCGCCCTCAAACTGTCCCGATCGTACTTTTACTGCTCGGGCTCATCACTTCACGCCCTCGGACTGAACTTCAATAAGCATCCGTCCTTGGGGAAGAGGGTCGCGATCATCCTACCGAGTAAATCGCATTCAGCATTCCAACATGTGATTGCAAGGCAAGCAATGGTACTCACTGAACCTCATCACTATCCGGTGTCCGGTGATGTTCCCAGTTCAACAGCACGGCCGCGTTCGCCAGTACCAGCGCAATGTTCATCGTCGCGTACTCGACACCGATACACTTATGCGGACCGCTGCCGAAGACCATAAAGTTCTTCGGGTTCTGGTTCGCGGGACTCTGCGGATCCAACCAGCGTTCGGGCAGGAATTTTTCCGGCTCAGGGAACACAGATTCGTCATGCAGGGATGGATACATGGACGGGATGACCATCGCACCAGCCGGCACCGTGTAGTCCTCGGAAATGGGGAACGCCTTCAACGCGGTGTAGGGCACCTGTACGGGCACGTGGTCAGCACAGCACCGCCATGTAATAATAGAATTGACGCCCAAGGCTGCGGAGGAGATGCACGCACCATAGTCACCGGGGGCTTCACGCGCAAACTCTCCTTTACAACGGCCTTCAGGTACGTCATCTCGTCCATCATCTCCAACGTCATTGGCTTCTGGTAGTCGCCCCCTCTCACCCGCTCCTGTTCCTCCCGAACCTTCGCCAACACCTCAGGGTGGTCAGCCAAGTGCTGGAATCCGTAGATCAAACCACTGCTCATGGCGTCCTGGCTGGCGAACAAGAACGAGAAGAGAGTCATAGCCATCTCGTGGTCACTGAACTCGCGGCGACCCTTGTAGCTCGGGTCCGCGAGCTCCTTGACCCACTCGTCCAGCATGCATTCGGGCTCACGACCTTCAGCCATGGCGACCTTGCTGTTGCGCGCAGAGAGTGTGAGCCATTTCATGGCGGCCTTCCGCGCCTGGATGGCCTTGTAAACCTTGGTGCCAGGGATCGCAATGGGGAAGTTGACAAGCTCAAGCGCCGCAGTGATGGCCCAGTACTTGTCGCTGATCTCCTTGAAAGCATGGTCTGGGATATGGTGTCCGCAGAAGACGCGAAGGGAGGTCTCCATGTTCAGATCGCGCGCCGTCCACATGATCATCTCAGGTTTAGGGTTCTTAGCCGAGGAAGCGAGCCATTTAGCAAAGTGCTCCCGGCATACGGTGTCCTGGACCCCAACGTACAAGCTACGATCGCCGTCAGTAAAGGATGCAGGACGCCAAAGGAAATACAAACCCCAGAGCCTTGCGGGTGAACAGGCCGTTCAAGCCACGGCGGTAGTCCACGTGCGCCTTTCCGCTGAGGAAGACCCTACACGACGGACGAAGTTAGACCGGAATATACTTGGGTAGAAGCAAGTGAGCCTTGTTCGCATGACACTTACCAGTTCTCTGGGCACAGGATCTTCTTGGCCGCGTGCACGATGCACGGCTCAGCGAAGGTCGGGGAGTTCATGATTTTCCGCGCATACTCGTTCGTGGCCGCGATGACGATGAAGCTATTTACCGCGTTCAGTTTAGTTCATTCGGACGCAAGAAATCAGGGATGAATCCTTGCGGTAATTATAGTCCGTGACCCTTACATGTTAAACACGCTAACAGCGCTAAGCGCACCGGACGCCCATTGAGCCTTGTAATTCTCCAGCGTCGGGTTCAGAGAATCCGCAAACTGGCCAATGATGGGAATAGTCCATTTGGGGCCAGGTAGGTGGCGCTTCTTATATCTATACACACTCTGCTCGAGGAGGAGCAACGAGACAACGATAGTGAGGGTCGTAGTGAGCCATGAGGACGATCCGGAACTGGACGCGAAGAACGAGGGGATAGGGATGCTGGGAAAGGAGGAAGCGACGTCCGTCGGCGACGTTATGGACACGAAAGAGGAGGACGACGTGTTGAACATGGTCGTCGTCGTCGCGGTCGTCAAGCAGGCGCCCTGGCGTTCAGACTGGAAACGAAAAGACAGTCGAACGGACGGAAATTATAATAACATCAGCCTGATGTATATGTCTTCACTTCTCACAGAATTTGCCGCCTGAGCCTTCTGATTGGCTCCCACCAAAATCAGTCCACCCAATATCCTCGGCACGTGACTCAATCCCCCCGCCGGAGATGGGACTTGTCAAAGTCGCTGTCGTAATTCATCTTCTAACCGACGCTCTCGTCTCCGACGGTATGTCTGGGTTGGACCAGAGTCGGGTGGACGCCGACGGCGACAAAGGCTACTGCTGTCATGTATGAGGAGCCCTTCCTGGAGGATTTGTCTGTCTTGGAATCAGCCCATTGCAATCGTCGTCAAGCCGTCTATCCTTGGACAGGGCTATGTGTCGACCAGACGTTCGAATTTGAACGTTGCAGTCGTAGCAACGGACCAGGAAATGAATATGTACGCACAGACAAACTCACTGCGATGAAAGCGCTGGTAGAAAGGCTAGCTGTCAAGCATCAAATGAGAAAGCTAGGAAGCCATTCTCGAGTCCACGGCATGGCGAGAACAAATTGGGTCGGGACCTCCAAAAGAAATAGCGGGACGACCAGTGCTACTCTAGGGCCAGAAACATCGAATTCCATTTGCCAGTGTCTTCTGGGTATACCATCAAACGACCTTTTCAGCGAAGTCCTCGGGATGAAGATGAACGAAGGGCTCGCTAGGCGCCTGGCTACAGGCCACCGTCTTAATCCCTTGTCGAGTTCCAGATCTGGCTAGTTAATAACATCTTAGCTATAGGGTATCTCCTCGCACCAGAGCTAGCATGACCGATCTTGTCTTATCATCCTTGGCCTTCATGCTCCATTGTCCCATCTGGTATAAATATGCCGACGTCCCGCCCGAAAATCTCATCCAAATACCTGGGTGCAGACTCAAGTGCCGGCGTCTTCGCTGCCACTGCATTGCGATTTTCTGGAATCCTCATTGCCCCTCGTTGCTAGCAAGCCCCGCCCTCGCAGGTGTTATCTCATACGACGAGAATAAGGGAACCATTGCCGTCTATGTAGTGGTCGGACGTAGGGGCTCACTCGTCTTGAGATCCTTTTCCGCCATTTGCGCATCCGCAAATCATAAAGTGCGTTTCCGCGTTGCCAGTTGCTGCCCCGGGATGCCCGGCGTTCACGGACAAAGGACGGGATGCAGTCATCTGCTCGTCTACGGGCCCTGCTCGAGCCTTCGACCAGCTGATGCGCGCTTCCGCGACCCGTGGGCCGACAAGATACTCCCGCTATAGACTACACCCCTTGATCATCCTTGACGTGCCCGCGATCGCACCAACGATTTGAATTGCTCCCCGGGATCGCCTTCTTCGAGACCAGTGAAACTCTTCAATTCCGCATTGCCCGCGACGCGTCTTGAGTTTCAAGCTGTGCCCTAGACTCACAGGTATACGCGCGGTCACATCTGGATCACCTAGGAGTGCCCTCGCCTCGGGCGGCTGGACGTAATTTGTCGTCGTATCGGCAGCTTGGTGGTCCCCAACACCTGTCTGCAGGTCACTCCAGGTATAAGCAGGTGGGTGTCATCTCTCGCTGGCACTGGCTTCCGACGAGCGCTATCCTCCTTCCAGGTATCCTAGCAGGCCCGAGGGCCCGCGCTGTCTTTGAATGCCGGCAGACAGACCGGTGAGGGCGAACTCGGAACGACGTACGTCGGTGAGTACCTGCTTTCATCACCCATTACACACACGCTGAGCTTACTTCAGACAAAGCTCTTACAGGGCCGCATTTATGCCCCACAGTTGGCTTGTTGTCTTCGTCAAGCACCCATGGGATTCCTGACGACGTCACCTGTCCTTGCACGGGCAGATTTCTTCTTCAGGAATCCTGTGGGTATCAGCTACACAACGCAACCGTATCGTTTCGGGCGCCGGGCCTCCTCCGCATGCAGAGCTTCCCGCGCCGCCTGTCGACACATGCACTTCGTCGCAGACTGGATAGCGCTGGGTCAGTTCGCTAGACAGGCAGGGTGGATCCCTGGCTGATCGACGCTTTCGGATAACACCCAGCGAGTTACCCTGGATTTTGTCGCGAAGCGATAGGCGTGCGGAGGTTGACATACCTCCCGTCACGTTTTGGCCCTGTGAGGCAGATATGGGTGCTGGTTCCCGTTGGGCATCTGTGCTACTTTGTACGGTGCGCATTCTAGCCTTTGCGTACTCATGCGGCCGACGCTTTGAGAACCCATAGTACCGGCACTAAACTGCGTGTCCTACATATCCAGTGCCTTTACCTACCGTTCTCCATCTCTGTTAGCAGCACGGTCTACTACGTCTTGACCTGGTGGCCGTCTGTCTGTCTCCAAGCTATATTCATGAGGGACGATACTTAATGTTTGCATCATCACTGTTCTGGCTCGGACTTGATGGTGCTGTCTCGCAGGTATGAAACTGACCTTGGGGTGCAAGGTTTTAGCGCCGTTGGCTAGCTCAACAGATAGCTTCCCCCGTAGTGATGCTACTGTCCTCCCTGGTGTGGCCCGTGTGCCCGGTCCTGTGTACCTCATCCTAAAGGACCCAGAGGCCTGAGTGGAGGCCGCTGTGGATAGAAGCCGTGGAAATGAACAGGCTCTAGTACGCTAGAGGAAAGGTACCTGTGCAAGGAGCTTCCTGGCCTTAGGGCTACTGGACCCTGACCTTGGCGTGAAGAGTCCTGCAACATTAACTAGAACGCAGCCCCATGTGTTTAGGATACGGCTCCCAAGTACCAGGCCGAGTGGACAAAACTTGACCCCTTCCGGTCTGATCGATCGCGCCCTTCGGCCGAAGGCCATCCTGTCCAGCGAGTTCGTCGAGGCCTGGAGTGCGTCGGGGATGTGATCCTACATGCGGGGACGGTCTCTAGCCTGTGAGGGGGGGGGGGGTTTATTGAATGTCGGTAGTCAGGTGTACCACGGGAGAAGGGGTGTTGGACCGGTTCACCGAGAAAATTTTGGATTCATGTCGGCGTCCGAGAAACGGTGGAAGATAGCATCGAGCACTGGTAGAATGCAATTGTGCAGACGCTGGTTCGTTGCTGGAGGATTCGAGTGTGTGATGTCAGGAAGCGGGGTAAGGCCGGAAGCAGAGAGCGACGTAAGGCGGTCGGTGGCGCAACCTGATCTCGTTAGCCCGCGCCCAGATCAAAGCCTCTCCGCCGCAGATAGCGTCTACAATCTCCCACCACGCCCCCAGACATTGCCCAGGAGACACAGTCGCTGTGTGTTCAACGCAGCGGAAAGATCGCTGCGTGTTCAACCCAGTGGAGGGAAAAGAAATCCGTCGATGCGATCGGCGCGGTTGATCAAACTGGCCGGGAGTGAATGCGAACGCAAACCGTCGCCCAATCAGCTGGGAAGTTTATCGCGGTTAGCCACAGCGTCGTCGGAGAGCATTGAGTAGCCGCCTGGAGCGCACTCGCGTGAGCATAAATACTTTCTCTCCGTCCCGGCTCCTTCCTCGCTCACCAAACGTTCCTCTCTTCCCCGCCCAACACGATGGACGGCGCCCTGCGTCGACGGGCAGCGCCGTTGCTTTCTCGTGGGTGACATCCGCATCGAGTCTGCATGCAGTGCTGATTAGCTTTACAGGCGATGCGAATCCATCTAATCTCGGCGAGTGAGTGCGAGTCTGCGTTTACCATGCCACATCCTGACCGCGCTGCAGCTACGAGCCAGGCGATGTCGCCTTCATCGTCGTCGCCGGCGCCATGGTCTCCTTCATGATCCCCGGTCTCGGTGAGTGCCCCCATGTTGTTCCTGCGCCCCCGGCCGACCCCCGCCCCAGCCTTCCTCTACTCCGGCCTCGCGCGGCGCAAGTCCGCCCTCTCGCTCATCTGGGCCGTCTCCGCCTCCAACGCCGTCGTCATCTTCCAGTGGTTCTTCTGGGGCTACTCCCTCGCCTTCTCCTCCTCCGCCACCAACGGCTACATCGGCAACCTCCGCAACTTTGGCCTCCGCAAGGTCGGCGGCGACCCCTCCCCCGGCTCCCCGCTCATCCCCGAGCTCCTCTACGCCTTCTACCAGATGGAGTTCGCCTGCGTCACCATCGGCATCCTCATGGGCGGGCTCGCCGAGCGCGGCCGCGTCTTCCCCGCCATGCTCTTCTCCTTCGCCTGGCTCACCCTCGTCTACTGCCCCCTCGCCTGCTGGGCCTGGAGCACCAACGGCTGGGGCTTCACCTGGGGCGTCCTCGACTACGCCGGCGGCGGGCCCGTCGAGATCGGCTCCGGCGTCGCGGGGCTCGCCTACTCCTGGGTCCTCGGCCGCCGCCAGGAGAAGGAGCTCCTCAACTTCCGCCCGCATAACGTTTCCATGGTCGGGCTCGGCACCTTCATCCTCTGGTTCGGCTGGCTCGGCTTCAACGGCGGCAGCGCGTTCGGCGCGAACCTGCGCGCCATCACCGCCGTGTGGAACAGCATGATGGCCGCCGCGATGGCGGGCATGGTGTGGTGCCTCCTGGACTGGCGCATCGAGCGCAAGTGGACGATGGTCGGGTTTTGCTCGGGCACGATCGCGGGGCTCGTCGCCGCCACGCCCGCGAGCGGGTACATCCCCGTGTGGGCGGCGATGGTCATGGGCATCGTCGTCGGCGCCGTATGCAACTACGCCACCAAACGTGCGTCCCCCCCTCCCCCCCTTCATCCCCTCCTAACCTAACCGTCCTTCCTCCGCTAGTGAAATTCTTCCTCCGCATCGACGACGCGCTCGACCTCTTCGCCGAGCACGCCATCGGCGGCATCGTCGGGCTGCTCTTCAACGCCTTCTTCGCGACCGCGGACGTGATCGCGCTCGACGGCGTGAACACGTCCGCCCGCGGCGGGTGGCTCGACCGGAACTGGAAGCAGCTGTACATCCAGTTCGCGTACGTGTGCGCGACGTGCGCGTACACGTTCGTCGTCACCGCGCTCATCGCGAAGGCGATTGACTGCGTGCCCGGCCTCCGGCTGCGCGCGACGGAGACGGCGGAGGCGCTCGGCATGGACGAGGTCGAGGTGCGCGTTTTCCTCCCCGCTTTCCGTGCTACCCTGTATCTAAGCTATGACGCCATCCAGATCGGAGAATTCGCCAACGACTACATCGAGGTCCGCCGCGACTTTTCCGACTGGACGCCCCCGCCCGCCCACTCGTCCGCGCACCAGAACGGGCTCACCAAGACGTCCTCCTCGCCCGCCGACTCAGAAAAACACTTTGCCGCGGGCGACCGCCACGGGCGCCCCGAAACGTCCGTGTACGACTCGCCGCCGCCGCGGCGCCCGCCATCAATTGGGAATGGGGAGGGCAATGGAAATGGCGAGCTGGACGGGCCGCATGGCGTCAAGGGCGATCGCGGCGGGCTGGGGTCGATACCGGAGAAGCCGCTCGTGGAGGACGCCTCGTCGCGGAGGGCAGATTGAGGGTCCGCTAGGGCTATGCATCAAAAGTAGACGGGGTAAGAAGTTGCACAAGGTACACTGACATCTATCCGCATTGCTTGTATTCCTCGTAACATAGACCAACCAGTAGTGTATCCGATTCCTCACCATACCCCGATACAGGGCTGTATAATACATCACGTCACGGATTCATGGAGGGGGGGCCGCGGGTAAACACGAAGCAGAGCAAATAGTAGCATTATTATGGAATACATATATAAATCAGCGAAGCACTGTCAACAAAAGCAATAACCCAATGATCCCCTCAGCAATCCCACCCCAGCACAAAGTCATCGCCCCTGCTCGTCCTGACCTTCTCGATCTCGAGCACCTCCTGCTCCCCCTCGACTTGCTCCACTACCGGCGGCGGGCACACGCCCGCGTTGAACTCGTCCCGGAAGAGCAGGTCGACGACGTTCCTCGCCGAGATCGTCTCGGTCTCCATCGTCGAGATGAATCTACACAGCCCTAGTTAGCCGCAGCGCAACGCTCAACGAGAGAGCGATCCTTACGGCTCGAACGCGTTCACGTAGTAGAGTCCCCGCTCGAGCTTGACCGGGGGGAACTTCATAGTCGGCGGCAGCTCCGGGTACGCATCCCACTGCGCCCGTTCTCAGCACACGCGCACGCACAGGCACGAGCTCCCACGCACCTCCTTCCTGTACACCCACCCGACCCTCCCGCTGAACATGACCTGCAGCCACTCATCCGACAGCCTCTCCCTCGAGAAAATCTTCACCACCCACTCGCGCTCCCCCTCCGGCGCGCCCTCGTCCACCAGTCCGTGATACGTGAGCGAGTTGAACTCCGGCTCGCGCGCCGCGCCGCCGCGTCGCACGCCCTCGTGCGTCGTCAGGACCGTCGTCGGCACGCGCGCGTCCGCGCGCAGGCCGAAGTACGCGGGGTTCGGCGCGGGCGCGGCGGTCGCGAGGAGCGTGACGTGCAGGTGCACGTAGGGCTGCTCCGGGATGGCGGACGCGAGCGACGCGGGCGAGAGGGCGATCCCGGTGGAGTGGAAGGGCGCGGCGAGGACGACGCTGCTGTACGCCGTCGGGCGGATGGACGCGGAGGTCGTCAGGTACCACAGGCCGTCGGCGTACTCGAGGGTCTTGACCTGCGGGGCAGTCAGTTGTGTGATACGAGGCAGAGGGTGGGGACGGCGCGCACCGCGGTGTTGAGGTGCACATGCGCCCCGGACTTTTTGAGAAAGTGCTCGAACATCTGGAAATTACCGCCCGCGACCCTGGATGCCCCGTTGGCGGCCATCGAGCACGCGGCCTCGAGCGCGTGGATCCTGTCTACGTTCTATTACATGGTTATGCTCGGGCCAAGGGCTGCGCGGGGGGCATGCGCAGGTACGTACCTGGCCGTAGTTCACTCGCGTCGCGGCTTCGATGATCTCGCGCGAGAACCGCCGGGAGACGCCGTGCACGTCAAAGTACTCCGCCGCTGTGCGCATGAGGAGCTCCTGCCATTCGAGGGCGAGAGTCAGGTTCGAGATGGTGTCCCACTTGGGACTTTCCGGTGTGTAGAGGGTGAGGAAGCGGTTGAGCATGGATTGGACACTGCGCCGCTCGGTCAGGGACGGTAATCTAGTGAGACGAGGTCGCACGTACAGTTTCTGTGTTTTCTGAGGCGATGACCAGCCGTATCTCCACAACAGTTTCAGGTTGTCCAGCCAATTGCTCCAGGTGCTCTTTCCTCCTCCAATCTGGCATATAGGGCATGACCAGACGAATTTTTATTTGGTTCATTGAGTAGCTCACCGTCAAGACAAACTTCTCGCCGTCCCAGATGCCAGTCTCGTCATTGTCATCATCGAAATTATACCGCGTCAGGTTGAACTCTTGAGAAGCACGCCAGAGGTTCTTATTGGCTTGGACAAATATGGACGCCCCAAGCTCAACGGGCGGTAGCTTTGTATTGTTGTACGGATACACCACGGTGCTTCCTACGAAACGTAGGGGTGTCGCAAAGGTATTGGATTAATGCAGGGTAGTACACAGACACCAGAACCGTCATATCCCACTCACTGCCGCCTATGTACCCGGACTGCTCATAGACGTCGACGTCAATCTCGAGACCACTCCTCTTCTTCGCCTTTGCTATCCAAAAAGCCGCAGAGCTGCCAGCGGCGCCAGCGCCTATGATGGCCACCCGGTGCGTCGCGGTGTCTGACACTTGGCGGACGGCGTCCTCATGGGTTGTTTTCAGGAATGGCAGGAATGACGAGAGCTCAAAGGCATTCGAAGCTGTGGCCAGGGCGAGGCTGAGGTAGAGGAGCTGCTTGGACGCAAGCATGGCGTTGTCCCCGTCCGAGTGGAAGACGTGTCGGAAGGCAGTTCCACCGCGGTGGCTGTGTTAGATTCCTCGTTTGGCAAGGCAAAGATCCGCTGATGTTAGTCCACCCCCCTGCCATGTCTGCAGACACCCGCTCATTCACAATCCGCGTCCCCGCCACCTCTGCAAACATTGGCCCAGGCTTCGACGTCGTCGGGCTCTCGCTCTCCCTGTGGCTCTCCCTGTCCGTCTCCGTCCCGGCCACCGCGTCCTCCGCGACCTACGTCCCGCCTAGGATCACCCACACCGGCGAGGGCGCCGGCGAAGTCCCCCTCGACCCGTACAAAAATCTCACCTCCCGCGTCGCGCTGTACGTCCTCCGCTGCCACGCCATCCCGCGCTTCCCCTCCCACCTCTCCCTCCACTGCCACAACGACATCCCCTTCGGCCGCGGGCTCGGCTCCTCCGGCGCAGCCGTCGTCGCAGGCGTCCTCCTCGCCAACCACGTCGCCGCGCTCCGCCTCCCCGCCGCGCGCCTCCTCGACTTTGCGCTCATGGTCGAGCGCCACCCGGACAACGTCACCGCCGCGCTCGTCGGCGGCTTCGTCGGCAGCTACCTGCGCGAGCTCGACGACGACGCCATGGCCCGCGCCAGCGTGCCCCTCAGCGAGGTCCTCCCCGAGTACCCCCCCGATGCCGACGAGCACTGGGGGCTCGATCCCCCGCCGCCGGTCCCCCCGCAGGGCATCGGCCATTATGTCAGGTTCGGATGGTCCCAGGCCGTCAAGGCCATCGCTATCATCCCGCGATTCGAGCTGAGCACCGCCAAGGCCAGGCAGGTGCTTCCGCAAGCCTATTCGAGAAAAGACATGGTATGACCTCGTCTCCGTTCGGCATGGATGTGGTCTTCACCCTCTCACGCGTGCTTTGCAGGTGTTCAATCTGCAGCGACTAGCTGTCCTCACCACAGCACTCGGTCAAACTCCCCCAGACCCCGACCTCATCTACGAAGCAATGAAAGATCGAATACATCAGCCCTACCGAAAGTCACTCGTGCGTCCAGCACTCCTGTCCTCTAACACCTCTGACCCCCCCAAGCTAGATCCCCGGCCTTCCCCAAGTGCTCGCTCTCACGCCGGCATCCCATCCAGGCTTACTGGGGATCTGCCTATCAGGCGCAGGCCCCACCGTCCTTGCTCTCGCAACCCACAACTTTGAACAAATCGCAGAGGACGCCAAGCGCATATTCAAACAAGCTGGCGTCGACGTTGACTGGAAGTTGCTGGAGGTCGGGGGAGGGAGCGAATTTCTAGCACATTAGACATCATGGAATAATCAAATTAGACGACAGATCGAAAAAGTCTCCCTGCATAGGATAAGAGAAATCGTCTCTATTCGTAAAGCGTCGTAATCGTATCCAAGCATTACATCCATACACATTACTCTAGCCATCAGGTATCACTGCTCCAGGGGTATCGACCCGATATCCAAAAAAATCCACGTCACCCTCTAACCACCCGCAGTCAAGCACACCGCGCGCATAGCCACCAACGCGCCCGCGCTCCCGTCAAACGGCAGGTCCACCGTGAACAGCACGTCGCTCCGGTCGTTGTTCAGGTACACGGGCAGAGTAACCGTCGTCGCCTGCGCCCCGTCGCCCGACGCCTGCACCCAGCGCACCTGCGACGGGTTCAGCCGCACCGCCTCCCCGTCGTTGAGCACCAGCTTGTCCTGCGCCCACGCAGCGCCCTCCAGAACCAGCCCGTCGACGATGAACGCGCCGGGGTCGTCGATGCGCTCAATGTCCAGCCTCAGGTTCAGCGTCTCCAAGCTCCACTTTTTCCGGTGCGCGACGGCTTGTCGCGTCGCGGTGATGTACGCCTCGGGGAAGAAGAGGCCGCCCAGCCACACCTCGATGTTGGTGAGGCTGTCCAGGCCCGCGATCTTGTCCAGCTGGCCCAGCCGACGCGCCAAGTTCGGGATCCACTCCGCGACGGACATGGATTTGTGCACCTTGTACCGCCGCCAATGGTCAGGAATCGTGCCTGGTGGGCAGCTTAGCAAACGACACTATACAAGATCCGCTTGAGCTTACCCTTCGTGAGCGATGACATAAGGTTGCGCAGATGATTCGTCTGTTTGAGAGCACCTTCGCAGACTTTGGCAACGTCTTCCAAGTCCCTGCGTACTTGCTCGAGGAGTTTGCGCCCAATAGTCCCTTCACGGAAGAAGAGCCGGTACAGAGGATCTTGGTTCTCAGTCGAGGGCTTGCTAAGCGTATTGAAGGACTTGTAATACAGAGGTAAGCATAAGATAATTTATGGAAACTGCTGCCACGCACAGATGGGAGATACGACAACCACTCCTGGCATCGATCATGCAAATTCCGCATCCAAGCAGGCTGCTGGGACGCTTGTCCTTTGGCGGGTCCACCAGCGGCTGGCGAGACTTCATCTTCGTCGTCTGCCAACTGCCTCATCTTCCGCAGTTTCACGAGCAATTCATTCCCTAGAATAACCAGATAAGCAACGGGATCATAAAGCAGAAGAAATGAGCACACCTTGAGCAACAGCAATCACACGCTCAGCAGTAGGAGGCAGACTGAGCCACGAGGGGGGTTCACGATCTGGAAGGCCCTGAACCCAGGACAGGAAGTGCTCCAGCTTCGTACCGTCGGGACTAGCGAGTGACTCTGCGCCGTTAACACTCGGAATAAGGCTGAAATCGACATTGTAAGCCGCGGGGGTAAACAGCCCATCCACGAATGCGTCGAGTGTTCTCTGATCGAAGTCGCTGTCGACCCGTCCACCATATACAGACTGCTTGATGAGGGTTCTGAGAGCGTCCCAGGGTATCGCAGCGGGATCTATGTTGGCGCGACCCCTAGCAGCCGCACCCAACCAAGCATCGATTGTGTTGAAGGCTGAAATCATGTCGGAGTCATTGAAGTCATACTTCTTACTCCAACCAAGGGGTACGTAGCGTAGACGTTCCTGAATAATCGCATGGAACCAAGCCAGAAGGAAATAGAGTCGGACTTTCTCAGCGGGCCCTTGACTCAGACGAGAAGAAGAGACGCTCCGCAGTGAATCCAGGAGGTTTGCCTTGATACCCGGCGGAGGTTCATTCATGATAATGCGTGATTGACGTAGAATGTTCACTGGGATCGAAGGGTTGGCCTCCATGGTGAGGAATAAGCGGAAATTGCGGTTAGGGTTCAGCGTCTGTAGTTTCTTCTCCAGCTGACCCAGCCATGACGGGGCGAGGTGGACGTTCTTGAGAAGAACCCAGCTTCCCTGGCGCGCAGCACCGGCAATGGCTTGATCTGCGAGGCTGAATCCTTCCTGTGACCCCATCGCCACAGATGTGCATCTCGTGTTAGTGGTCTGAACAAGGTTGTCCACGCGATAGCTGGCGTCATAGCCAGGTACAGAAACGAGAGCGAGAGGGGTAGCAGGAGGAACTTCATCTGATACCATGGCTCCCAGATTGTATGCCGACACCTCTGACAGATCCGTCTGGAAAACAATCCGAACGAATGCTGCCGTCGCTTGCAGTAGACGATCGGGGCGCAGGCACTTGATGATAAGAAGGACGCGGATTGCTTCTAAGGCCGCTGTATGAGGTGTTAGTCGAGAACTGAGAAAAAATGACATCACATACGTGTGCTCGGGTCCCAAGGCTTCGGCGTGCATAGTTCGGGCGTGGGCGATTCCAAGAAAGGTATCCATTCATTTTCATGTTCCGAGATGTGGGACTGGACGGGCTTGAAAATCGAGTGTTTGGAGAAGCTTTGTAGGCGACGCCATTGATCCTCGGTCAATATAGAGTCGCTAGGTCGAGGCGTAGCGCTAGCAGCCGACTCTCCGCTCTCCAGCAGGAATTCCAGTTCATCGGTGATCTCTTCGATGCCGCGCACCTTGACCTGAGCCAGGAGCACCGCCAGCATGACATGGTCCCGATACAGCAGAGCTCGAGACGTCCGCTTGTACACCATCAAGAAGAGATCGTTCAGCAAGATATCTCGCCTTTGGCTATAGTCTGAGACATTCTTGAGGTTAGGGTTCTGGTGGAGGACGTAGTCGAAGATATCGAGGAAAAAGCGCAGAGAGAATTGGTAGAAGTGGTTGACCAGATTCATCTGCTCCAAAATGAAGAAGACAGAGCTGCACGCTTGGGCGAGAGGGAGATATTCTGCCGTTACTTGTTCCACTTCCCGCATGACAAGATCCGTTTCCTCGACTTTGCTTGTGATCTCCGCAGCTTCGCGTTTCAGGGTCTCAAGCGTATCTATGACCTTGTCGTCGTCGAGGATATTGCCAGTGGATTCGTTGAGTGCTTGGAGCAAAAGCTTCTCTAGAGTCCGTAAGCGTAATCTGAATTCGCCTTGCACCTTCATGAGGTCCGTACGCTTCCGCTCAGTATCAGGCCGCTCCACTTTGAGAACTTGGTCCAAAGATTGGCTTTGCAAACTGCTCCTCGTCATCGTGAAGTTGACGAATGTCACCCGACTGCAGATGTCTGGAGAGAATTCAACGGACGGATCCCGAGTAGTCAGGAACATAGTGAACGAAGGAGAGAAATCAATGTCTTGATTGCCCAGGCGGATCAAAACACGTCCACCAGTGCGTCGGATCTCCTTGTTGAGGACGGCATTTAATATCGGATCAAGGTGCTCTACATCTTGGATGAGCAGAGGATTACCGAACCGCAGCGCGCTCTCCAGCACCTTCAGGAATGCCTCGTCCAGGAAGCTGGTGACGGCTATCTTGCGATCCTTGTACTCGTTAAGGAGGAAGGTCGTAGCCTGGCCCGTGGGGTCAATCACAAGCGGATAACGGTTGTACCGCTTAAGCATAATGGCATTCTCTGTGCACAAGTTGTCAGAGGGAAGCGACTTCGATTGCCAGCTGAGGCGGTCGTCGGCGGTAGACAGATATTCAGGGAAAGAGAGTTCTTGCTTGAATTTAACGCCAGCTTCTCCGAGATGGCTAGCCCATTCTTGCCACATGACCTCGCGATAATGTTGGTCGAAGAATCCTCCGTATGCAAGGAAAGCAGCGGACAATAGAACGTCGCCCACGATGGTGCTCATTTCAACATCAAAGGTCCTGCTTCCTGCCTCCCATCTCCCACGTTCTGAAGAAAGACTGTCGAGAAGTTTCATGCTGCGGTCGACCTTACTTTGGACACGCTCCATCTCCCCTTTGATAGCCTGGGTCTCGCTAATGAGTAACGCGTATTCTTCCTTGTACGTCTGTATCTTGGCCTCGAGCTCCGCAATCATTTCGATGATCATCTTGGCCTGTTGCTTTGCTTGCTCTGCCTGATCTTCCAGAGACTGCACTTCATTTCGAAGAGGCTCGACCTTGTCCAGGATTTCGGAGAACTTGACTTGCGCAATAACCCATTTTACCAAAGGACCACAAGCTTTGCTAGCTCGATTGACAGTCTCGAAGTTGAACGACGGTCGGCTCAAGAAATCCTTCTTCATGAGCTCCCGGATCTGCTTGGTCATTTGATTCGTAGTATCGAAGTTGACGATCCGCTGAATGAAGTCGTCTCGACGAATGATACCTTGAACTGTACGCCAGCTGTCGATCTTGTGTCCAAGAACAGTACAGACGGATTCCATGGCTAACTTAACTGCCTCTGGTGGATTAGCCATCGAACGCACTTCTTGCAGGTGCTGCCGCTTGATGTTGCTAACAGCGGCTTGAGCCTCAAGGACAGCAGGCTCTGCATCTGCGAGATCCGCCATTACGACAGCGCGACGCTGCTCTATGTGCTTCTCCTGCTCGACCAAAGCTGCCTGGATCTCTATAGAAGCGGCCTTCTTTTGTTCAGCCTCCTGCTGGTCGGTAACCATGCGCTTCAGCTTCTCGTTAGCCTCTGCATCTTTCGCCTCTAGCTGAGACCGCTTAATAGCTAAGCTCTTCCGCAACTCCTCGACTTGAGTGACGGTATCACGTAACTTGTCCAGCCCGACGTGTAAGTGCCGTTGTTGTTCCTCCAATTCATTTCGCTTCTCATTAAAGAGTCGCACGTAGTGATTGATACTATATCGCCATTTAGCAGAGCATTGTCGTCATAAAAATCATACACTCACAAGTCCAGATAATGCCGTGGAGTGACGTAGTTGTAACGCCCTTGACGTCTGCTGATTCTTTGGTTGATTGCATACATAGACATATGGACAAACACGAGCGCATTGACGACGGCATTTCGATGGGTCGGTGGCATTGACAACTCTCGGTAAGCAATCGGGAAGTGAGCAGGCGGGTTGTACGCTGGAAGATCGAGGTCCAGCGTGTTGGTGAATTCCATGCCAACTTGATAGAAGGCTTGATCGGACCAATCGCCGAACCAGTCCAGGACACAACGATTGAATAGCGCTGGGGACGTCGCAGCACGAGAGGCCAGTCCGTTCTGAGGAGGATTCATCGTGAAGACGACGTGGAGGTTTTTGGCAACCTGTCCAGTAAACCACCGGTACAATTCCTCATGCGAATCCAGCATCAATCCATCTCTTTGAGAGCCTTCCTTACACGCCGTCATGAGGGCCGCATGTTCGTCACCTTCGAACAGACCGGGAACCTCCGCATTGGCGAGGAGAGTATTCATACGCTCCAAGAACCCCGAATCAAGTACGTTGGACTCGTCCATGATGAAGCATATTTTCTCGCCCTTGCAGCCAGCTCGGCGAAGGACCGTCCGAAGATCCTCATCGAAATCATCACCCGTGTATTTATTGGACACTTTGATCTGGAATATGCTAAGACCGTTCATCCAGGCCACAAAGCGAGACAACGTTGTCTAGGAAAATGGTGAGCGTAGCTTCGACGCGGTGAATGATATATACGTACTTTCCCACTGCCACTTACACCGATAAGCAGGAGGTGACCCTGTATCTGCCGGAAGACACGATCGATACGTAGCACATGATCGAGGACATCGTTGAAGAGAACCAGCGGCACATCAAGCTCTTCCTCGTAGAACACCCGCAATCTCGCTTTGGTGTATTCACGAAGAACTTCGCGATCCACGGGTATGTAGTTCTTGGACGTCCAATTCGAAAATAGAATAGGGCGGGCCAAGGCTTCGTCACGGTTGATGGTGGGGAAATGCTGCATGGCCACCAAATCGATATTGTCGTCCGTCCATTGCTTCTCTTCCTCGGTTACCAACCGATCCTGGAAGAGACGTAATGCTTCATGCGCCCACACGCGTACGAGACCCTCCACGGTCAACATTTCCAGAGGCCGGATCGCTTCATAGATACCGCGCACCCAACGTGTAAGCTCACGAGGACTGTACACGTAGTGCGCTTGGACATCGGTTGTGAAGCGTTTCTGAGACGCCAAGTAGAATTCAACCATGGCATCCGTCAACGGTTCCGCATGACCGCGCAAATTAGGCACAACCTTCAGGGCAGCACGAGTGTAGGTGCCGTAAATTTGCTTGAGAGATAATTCTCCGGGATAATCCACCATAACCAAGGGTGCATGCCGCAAGAACCTGTGGCTGAGGGGCACTCGGCCAGGGTCAGTGGGAGGATTGCAAGCACCGACGAATTGGATTCTTTCGAGTTTGACCCAAGACATGTCGCTTGTTCGCCAGAAGCCGTTGCATTCGACAAGTTGACGTATGAAGGAGATGACTCTTTGAGTTCCATACTTGTCTGTTGCAGGCAAATTGATTTCGTCGCAGAAGACTACGAGCCACCGGCCGATCTGCGTAGGAGCCAACACAACGCCATTCGGTGTCTTACGATATTCGCAATACTGATCGAACGTCTTCAATATCAGCTCCGGCGTGGTAGCACTAGAGAAGTTCAGGCCAACGACCTCTAGGTCTGGTAGCTTCCTTAAAGCACTGAAGAGCGTCATAGTCTTGCCGGATCCAGGCGGGCCACAAAGGAGAAGTGGTTTATGTTCCGACAGCCAGGAGTATAGGACTTCCTCATGCCGGATGGTGTCGACGGTCGGAACGACGACATCAGAAGCTGTAATGGCATGCGATTCGATATCGATCACAGGGACCTTTGATGCCCATGCTGTCCATTCTGCATTCTGGATATGAACATCGTAGTCCAGCAGTGAACTACCAGCAGCTAAAGGAGGCAAATCAATGCCAGTGTGTTTCCGAAGGAACTCGCCCATGTCAGCTCTCAGGTCCAGTTTCGCGTCGCCTGAGAAAGCCCAAATGATGTTCACCAGCAACCGCTTAGTTACGTATTGCTCGACACGTTCTGGAGGGAGAGGGAAATCTGAGTGTTGGATATTGTATTCGATTACATTCCGGACAGTCTTATTGAGAAGCGAAAAGAGCGTATTGAGGGCTCGAGTCGCAGTGAAATCCATGATGTGTTCGATGGAGTCGGCGTAGGACAGCGCCGATTCTACGAGGTCTCCCTCAGCGAAGTAAGGTTCGAGGACAGCCGCTATCTGCTTCTGCGCGATCAAATTGGCTGAGGCTGCCGCATCCGAGGTAGCAGCATCGGTGCGCCTCACGAGAAGATCGCTCGTTTCCTCGTCGTCTGCGTCCAGCGGAACCGTCGACAACGTATCCAGGTAATGGCGGTAGACCATCGAGGGCTCCACGATGTCTTCACTAAACCAGATCATACCACATCTGCTGACAGTAGCCAGAGTGGCATAACGCAGATGCTCCACCTCGAACATTATGCGAACGTTCGGAGGAAGATTGAGGCGTTCACCGTTAGGTAGCGTCAGTAGCTTGTTGTCGTCCAACACGCTGGCGTTTCCGTTAGCACAGCTGTATAACGGGCGGCAGAAATGACTTACCTGTTCAGATTCTCTACCCATTCTGGGTCTACGTCGCCATCGAAAATGATCCAGTGCCTCTTCCCGCTCTCGCCACGAACGTCATCAACGATCTTCCTTAGGTTGTGCGTGAACAGTCCATCATTCCATTCACGAGTCGTAGGATCGAGAGTGCCGTAGAGTGCGTCCTTATCCATTGCTTTCGGGTCGATGACATACGCTACGCCTTCCACTCCGTCCAGCTGTTCCAAGGCCTTGAGCAAAACTTGCCAGGCGTTAGTCTTGCCGCTGCCTGATGGCCCAACCATCATAAGACCGTGCTGAATCTTCTGGATTTGATACAGTTGCAGAATCTTGGAAATCCAACGCTCCCCAGGAACGAGGCGGCGCTCCGCTGACACCTTCAAGATCTGTTCCTTAAGAGCACTCAAGTCCACAGGCTCGTAATCCACGCCAGGGAACACATCAGCAAGGAGGCTGTTGATAGACGCTCAGCTAGGATAGAGAAAAGTTCAACGATCCGCACGGACCTGGTCAAGAGGGGCACGTCGTCGGCCACAAGTTTGGGGACTATCGTCTCGGTGACACTCTGTATTAGTATTACTTGTTCAGACACTGCATCGGACAAGCCGACGGCCTCTCCTCCCTCTCCTTCCGCAGCACGTACGCTGAGGAGGCGCTCACGCTTCAGTATACCGGCACTAGCCAGCACTGCCTTCAGAGCCCGCAGACCAAAGTCATAATGCGGCTGGGGAGAAAGCTGTTCGTCGCAGAGATTAAAGAAAGGCACAATCTTGGATGCCAGGGACTCGGCAGTACGGAAACCTTGCGAGAATAACATGACCTGAGCAATGAGCTCTCTGTCAGGCCGAGTCATAGCCATACTACAGACAGTCAAGCATAAGAATGTTGACCCACAATCATGACAGTTAGCGATCACTTACGGCCTGAAGAGCTTCGTTAAGTTGGGAGGTAGAGCCGAACGCCCGGCATACGTGGGGTTAGTCGTGATGAAAATACCTAACGCGCCGTCAGGATCGAGTGTGTTTATGATATAGTAACTACACAGCTTACCGATATTCTTGTTGATCTTCAGACTCTTACCCACGAGCTCTATCTCTACGTTGGGATTCTTCGCTACAGCAACAAGACCTTGCTGGATACTTTGGACTTGTTGGGAAACAGCACTCAAAATGCGTTCCTCCAAACGATTGAATTCGTCAAAGCAGCCCCAGGCGCCAACTTGACACAACCCAACGAATATACGGCCCATAGCTTGGAAATCGAATGTCTCGTCGCAGCAGAAAACCAGGACAAATCGTCCCAATTGAACCCCGAGAGCCTTGACAGATTCCGTTTTCCCTAATAACATCATTGGTTAGCTTTGCTCAACAACATTGGCTGCGAAAGTACATACCTGTCCCAGCAGGACCGAATGGCGCACCACCGAGCTGATTATCCAAGGCCTGCGTCAAAGTAAGGTAGCAACGATCTGTGAGAGGAGTCTGCACCAGACGATCGGGCACACCCAAGTACTCCCATCCGTAAGGGAATGAAGCATCACCAACACGGATGGCAAGCCGATCAAGAGCATTGTCAACCGTATTGTCCAGGTAGAAGCGCATCTGATACAGCCAAGGGAAGGCTCTGTTATCCGTTATCTTCTGTTGCATTAGGTTACGGACGACATCCCTTTGGTGGACGAGCTCAGTGATAAGGTGCTCGCACTTGCGACGCGTAACCGGAGTCAACTCCGTTAGGACGACGTCAGCGAGCAGATCCAGACCTTGGAGGACAGTGGCAAGAGGACCTTCGAGGGACCCAGACGCTTCGAGAGCAGTTTCAACGGAAGCTGTCCACGCCACTTGTACGGCTAGAGTTACGAGCTGGGCAGGATACTGCTCCATCCACGTTCTGAATTGGTCCATTGGCAACTGGCCGCCGTTGCCGTAGAATGACTGCAAGTCGCCGACCGCTTCCGTCAACAGTTGAGCTAGCGTCATGCGCATTTCAGACTCGATCTTGGCCAGCCAGTCGTTGATCTTCGGGAAGTCCTTCAGCAGAATGGGTGTCTTGAACTTGATCTCCTCTCCTTCTCGGGACGCCATTCCTTGAATCTCCGTTAATTCCTCGTCAAGCATGACAGTCGAGATACCGGCGAACATCTTCTTGAGATGCTTCATGATGCGGAGGATGTCCTTGCTGTTACCGATAATCTCCAACAAGTCTTCGTCACCCACAAAGTAGAATCGAGGGAATGAAGAACGTTCACGTTCCAGGTACTCTCCCAGAGCCTTCTGAATCTTGTTCAGCAAATCAGCCAATCTCTCCAAACTCTTCTGAATGCCCGGAATATTCATCACGTCTACCACGAAGGGCGACTTGTACACCTTCTTCATGACAGCCAGAAACTCCGTATTGATATTCTGGAAACGAGCGCTCTCCACGGGCAACAGATGCTTGATGTCAGCGCTACCGGAGAATATGCCTTCAAGATATACCCATTGGCGCTGGACGTCGATCCAGACGTCGAAAAGGACGTGAATGCGATTCAGTTTCTCCTCCCACGAACTTGCCTCTTCCTCAAATACTTTGTAGTACGGTGACAACTTCATCGCAGTCAACGAATTTAGATTCTCGCTGCATTTGTTGAAGAGGTCGTCCCAGCCCCGAATGAGTCGACACTTGTTCTGGTAGTTAACCAGGTCCAGGGTATAACTGGTCCATGTCTCCTTGACTTGTCTGATATACTCCTCCAGTGCCATCTATCGAGCAGTCAATATGCAAATATAATGGCAAGGAACTATGCGCATACCTCCCCGCCGGCCTGGGCGATGACCTCCTTGATGACAGACTCGTTCCTCTTGAGGTCCATGTCATAGACATTACCCAACGTCATTCTATTCGATGATTAGCAAGCAAAGGAGTTCACCTGTACCATGTACTCACAAAGTCAAGTTCGGTGTGCTTGGCATACGCAGAGCCTTGAACAATTGCTTCCAATGCCTGTCCTTCAAAGCCTCTGACTTTAGTTCCGAGATGATCGTATTCGACTTGAGCAAGCCACGAAGTACGTCTTGCACATATTCAAAAGCGGCATATTGTCGCATTCTGGTCGGCATTTCCTTTGTCGAGGAAAGGAGCCCGTCAATCTGCTGCCTCAGCTTCCTAGGTTGGACGGTGGCCCATGACAGCTCTCTCAATTCACCGATCTGGCTCCAGATGCCCGACAAAGCTGTCCAGACGGCCTTCAAGTCCCGCAGCTCTTCGAAGACGGGCTCCAGCCGTGTATGTCTCGTAAGTTCAAGGTCCAGAGCCTCCTTGGCTTTGCAGACGAGGTCGTATTCTTCTTGAACTCGGTTCAACCGTCCCTCGAAGATGTTAATGGTATTCAGAGCAGTGTCCGCGCGCATACTGCCCTGGACAGGTCGCGTCTGCTCCCACTCTTGAATGATGTCGTTTATCTTGTTCTCAACGATCTTATCCTCGGCCGTGATCTTGAGCTGCAGGCCAGCTATAATATGAGCACCACATACAGAGTTTAATGATAGCATTCTCGTCTAATAACAAGGGGGCACTCACCGAGCTGCTCCTGTATGGAATCATTCTTCCTCTTCAAGATCTCATTGAACGCGCTCCACTCTCCGGTAAGCTGGTCGCTGTACAGCCAGTCATCGGGAAACTGGTAACGAAATCTCTCCAAGGTCTTCTCGCCACTAGCGCACAGTTCGATCATAGGTCCCCATGTCTTGGTCTTGCGCTTGAGGTCTTGCACGAATGTAATGAAGGTGACCGCCGCAGCGGTAGACGAGTTGGAGGGCGCCAGAACCTACAGCATAGCCAGTCAGTCAATAAACAGACGAGTACGGAGCAAACGACGCGCCTCCATAGTGCCGTGCAAGAGCTGGCGACTGGTAAGGAGGACGCGTCTCGATGGACTTCAGTTTTGGCAGCTCGGGGAGTGCCGATCACCCAGCTGCCTCACGCCTTTCATTATTGCTGCACCTCTGCTTACACCTGTCCTCGAGTCTGGATCCACTTCCATAGTCGTCTTCACGGATTAGACCTTCGTTCCTCGATAATTGCTAGTCCACCATGTCCGGAAGACAGCAGCGCGTCTTGGTCCAGCCCATCGTGAGTTGTACATTGAAACAGCTAGGTGCTTCATTGACGGGACGCTCGTATAGAATGTCATATTCAAAAACCTGCAGCAGGTTTGAGATGCCCCGGCAATACATCTGTCATCTCAGCTGGCTGACTTCGTTTTACAGCGGACAAAGGTTGTAATCTGGTTGTATGACAATATTGACATGCGGATTGAGGGTCGAATAATTGTGCGTGTTCCATCCCCAGTCCCTTCACGCACGAGCGTTGAATACGTCTGTCAAATTGTCAAGGCTGCTTCTCTGTCTTCGTCCTTGTCCTATGCGCTGCGTGCTCGCTCGATAGACGCTCATCTTTTGCCATCATCTTTTGCTTTACTACGTCTTACCTCATGACTGAGATGGCGATTACTGACCTAGATACATCTGCAGGGATTCGATGAGTTCATGAACATCGTGGTGGACGAGGCAGCAGAGGTCTACGTGAAGGATGCTAAGCCACGGAGGGAGCTTGGTATGCACTCTCGCATGTCTGTGCTGATCTGACGCTGAGTAGTATGTCTCAGGTCGCATCCTCCTAAAAGGTGACAACATTACACTGATACAACAGGTAGTTTGAGTTGGCTCCACTCTGTAATCTTGTAAAATGCTCCAGGCTGGGTAGTGGCACAGCCAATGTATAACGTGTCGTCCGTCCCTGGACTAGAAGCTCATTCACAGGTGTCTACTATTTGAATCACTGAGTATCACAGATTATGAATTGGAAGAAGACGTGACAAGGACAACGATTGTCGACACAGTGGGCACTCGGGCTGCAAGAAATTAGACAGTATACGCCACGCTGAAGTGAATGCAACGGACCTTCTCCCTGCCCCAACCTACAATACAGTCCCAGCAGAATAGGTGACCGCACTCCGTGGCGCAGCTAGCAGTCCGCTCCTCCAAGCATAACGTACAGTTCCTGCCGGTCCTAAGCTCCTCAGGGATAGCCGCCATATCCAATACTGTACGGTCATCCTCTTCCGCAGGTACAACGGGCTTCCCCTCAGGGTCACTCGGTCCGAGCATGGTTGAAACAGCACGATCGTCGATGAACGCCTCATTCAAAGCGTCCACAGATTGCTTGCTCTTATGTCCTGCAGTCGTTTTCGCTTCTCGACTTGCTCGGAGTGCACGTAGTGATGTAAAGAGTCGATGCATCAAGCGGACGCCGAGCAGTATCCCAAGGAGAGCATACGATGGCGGTCTCGTACGTGGGTCTTCCGGAATGGATGACAACTAAGATAAGACCTTGAGTGACTCGCCTAGTACATGCCTTCCATAACGCACCTGCCGGATACCGAGTATTCTCTTCGACAGGTCATAGTACGTCCCCCTCAGGTAGAATATCGCAAGATTGATCTCAGAAATGACCTCGATGGCTGTGGGAAGCCTTCGTACGATAGCTGTTAAGAATGAAGAATTGTCTTGCAGCGCAGAGCCGAAACGCGCCAGTAGATACCAGGGCAGGGTAGGCAGAAGGATGAGGGCCGCTCTGAGCTCTGCGGAGGGTCGTCTGTTAGTGGAAGACGAATGCAGCCATATGTCTGTGTATTCCTCCCCGAGCGTCTGGACAGCTGGCCAGTGATCAGCAGCAATTCGGACAACGGGAAGGGTCGTCCCTACCTCGACCTGTGGTTAGCCCGTAGTATAGTAGTTTCACTCCGAGCTCAATCTCTTTGTCCCACCGTGATAACAATCTGGTCCCTGTGTATCAATGAGACGGTGATTAATTGATTAATGTTATGGACTAGCGAGAAGGACTTACCAAGCCATGCCCGCAAGGTATTCTCTGTATGTTCTTTCAATGACAAGACATGGAAGAGATCGCGTTGATTGGCGCGAACTACAGAGTATCTCTGAGATATAAGACGAAACTGAGAGTTTATAGACCTACTAGTCTGAGCCTGCTGAGCGGGAGGGAAAGAGGGAAGTGACGATGACATGACACTGAAAGCGCGAAGTCCGATCGGACGTCTCGTGCGCCTTTGGGACTCTTTCCGCTACGACCACCATGGCTTACCCGCCTCAACAGCAAGGGCCGACAGTATGGCAGAAAAGTAAGCCCTATAGTCAAAGAGTGCCAGGAGGAGCCTGATAGTCGCTGTCTCGTGCAGTGAAGTAGGTTATTCTAATATTCATAATTTAGGACACATCTGAACGGATGTTCAGGATGGGTGCGATGATGGGTGCTGGGGTGGGTCTAACTATTGGCTTCATCTTCGGGTCATATAGTATTATCAGGTACGCAGGCGTTGTTTCACTTCGGAAGTGATTGCTCAAACAGGCGTAGAGGAGGAGCGGGTCCCAGAGGTTTTATTGCTACCCTCTCGCAATACATGCTAAGTAGCGCTGCTGCTTTCTCCTTCTTCTTGGCTATCGGTTCGGTACGTATCCCGGCTTCAGAATCATCCGCAGAAGTATAAGCTTACTGATGTCCAGGTAATTCGGACTGACTCTGCCTTACCCCCTCATCTCGAGGCTGCTCGCCTGCAGCTTTTATCCCCTGCCATCCGGTCAAGAGCGGAAGGTGCTGCCTTGATCAAACAAAGATGGGAGGCAGAAAAAAGACATCAACTTTAAGGCCCGCTGGTGTGCTATATCCTTTCACGAACCATCTTCCTGCCTTGAACCTCGTCGTGAGGTATGTCGGCTTGTCAGTGCCTCCCGGCGTTGCTTGTCAGACAGTCTCCGGCCCCTGCGGCGCGAGACTCGTAGACTTGTATGAACACCGAACGTTTTTGCGACAATGGTATTCAATCTCGAAATAGGAAATCATAATCGTTTCATTACTGACGGCCGAGCATCCCCATTATACGGTATTCGACCTAGTCGCCGCACAAGATGAAGCGCGGAGGGATAAAGATGCGAGACTTGTCATGGGGTAGACTCAGCTCAGATTCTTGTCCCCAGCTGGGTCCTTGGTTGGTTTCGGTTCTTTGTCCACGTTACTCAGCCCAAGATTTTTCCAGTCATCCTTCTCCATGAGACCTCTGTTCCACGACCCGACAACGTTAGAGCACCCGTCACACCATGCTTTGCAGCTAACGCACTTGTTCATTCTGCACTCTAGATATGCTTTGTTCAGGTGTCGACAAGGTGTAGAGCTATTGTTATTATTCCGGAGGCAATTCATGTACGCCGTCATGAAGTCTCTGCATTCTCCTGGGGTGTATATCAGAACCAGCATGGCTTTGTACATTCATCTATACACAGACCATAGTGGTCCAGAGGAAAGGACCCGCGGTCTGGTGGTGTGACTTGAAAGCCGGTCGATATCGACGGTGGTCGTCCGAAAGACATGGAGGATCGGACTTGTCGCCTTCGGACGAGGCCCACTGGAAGGTCCCGCGGCTTCTGCCGGACCAATCAGGGACGGTTTAGCTGTGGCTGCAGCGCGCCGTGACCTCCACAATTCGGAATTGCTATTCGGAATTCGCAAGTTGCCCCGCTCTTCTGGTTTATTTATCTAAGGAACGGCTAACGCAGGTTCTACGCTTTTTTCTTTCCCTTCTTCCTCCGACGCGATTCCTGCTCGTCTGACTTATCGCTTTCCTTGTCTTCCTCCTGCGTGGAGCCTGAGGGCCCGGCCACGCTACCTTCAAGCTCAGAGGGATCGAGTTCAGGCATCATGCCTCCCGCTGTCTTGCTCTTCAATACAATGATCTCCTTGAGCCAGCCATTCTCTCGTCGTAACTCTGCCGCCTCTCGCTCTAGCTCCTCAGCCCTGCCGGTCAAGTCTGACACCGATCTCTCCAGATTCAGCACCTTCTGTTTCTTCTTGATCCTGAAGCGTGCTGGTATGCGTTAGGACGGGGCTCTCCGTGCCGAACGCGCGCAGGGAGACTCACCAGAAGCTGCCGTATTTCTGCGTCGTTTGTCTTCTGCTATTGCTTGTCTCTCTGCCTCCGTCAAATCTCGGGTCTCTTGGGGCGACTCTGCTCGCGGAGTGCTCGATGAAGAGGAAGGCGAAATCCTTGGGTACGATGCTTCTGCACTGCTCGCACTATGCGACGACTGTCCTGGAGCGTGATGCGGATCGACAGTTGGATATGGATTACCCCATTGCCCGGACGCCCCAGGGTTCTGCAACCACGAAAGCGCGAGGATAGGATCGAAGTCGGACGGTAAGTGAGACATCTGTGGGGGCGATACTTGATGCTGGGGCGCTTGAATCGGTGGGATCTGGATCGGCGGTATCTGCCGTCCCATCTGTTGTAAATGTGGATACGTCGCCTCCAAGGTGCGCAAGGCTCTCGTAAATTCCTCGTAGGCGTCTTGTGGGTTGACCTGGCTTAACGGTGGTGGACCGAGCCCCGGCGGCATGGAGGGTAACTGCACACCCTGGTGATGCTTAGGGTCGAGTTGTCAGCAGTCGTGCAGGCGCGAGAGCTGAACTTGCATATACCGAGGACATCTGGTGAGGGACCTGTGAAGCCGCCGAGGAAGACCGAGCTCGTTGTGATTGTCCCCTCTGGGTACTCTTGTTTTTGCTGCTGCCCTCCCCCTGGTTGTTGAGTCGTTGGTCCATGGTGAAGGAAAATGTTACGCTTTCCCAGAAGTCAGATTCGAACTGTTCAGGGTCGAAAGGTCCGATGTCTTGCATTGATGACCCCTCCTGCATCCTCGGACACGGCAAAGAAGCGTTCTTCTCCTAAAGGGTGCGATTGTCGTAACTCGGATGTTAAGCGCCATGTTAGGATGATGTGGTCAAGGTTAGGATGGCGTAGATAGCAATATTCGCAATAGAGTAGACGGATGGCGCGCGTTATCGCAACGGTGGCGACACTTGTGACCGGCCAGCGTTCAGTTTTTTTCACATACTCCCGGTCTATTGCCAATTATCATCCCAGTACAGTCTGAACAGCAGACGCTCATTATTGCGGCATCCCTATTGGCCTTTTGGCAGCTGTATGGTCCACTGCAATGTCTTGATCATTGTACTACGACTAGCCATGCTTGAGCCATGCGAGCATAACCCAATTCTATTCGCAGTCACTTCCAAGCAGCGTGAAAGACGTGTCAACTGTGTGGTCTGCATTTCAATAAAGACCAATACCAGTCGCTTACCGTTCTAGAAGTTTTGCGGCCTGTACAGCAGAATTGGCGCATCACTGAAGAATACATTGCACTCTGGAGACAACTATCGACGCTGGTCTCTCGATGCGTGTCTGTTCGCTCTGATGCCCCCCCCCTCTGGCGAAAAGCATGCTTTCGGTATTGGCTCTCACTTTAGACTCTTTAGAGTCAGTGCCCTAGGCTACGTACGGTTGGAAAGTCAAGCTTGAAGTAGTCAATACTCAAGATTTCGCGGAAGACCAATGCTCGCGTCGGGGAGCCGTGTCGTCTTACCGCTGCTGTCTACGTCGCTCGCCGGCCTTCCTGGACCGTTAGGCCTTCCCCACATATGCCGTGTGTTCCCCCATCTCTTGATTTTACAGTACTTCGTAGCAGCCTTTTCTGCGGGCGCTGGACTGCCCTTCGGACGCCGGGTGCATCTAATGATGATGCACCGCCACGTGGCGTTCGCCTATACAACGATCCGGGGAAAGGTCATGCGCGCATCCGATCTAATCCGTATTGGAACGACCGGCAGTCTGTCATGGGACGCAGCGAGCCCTGCCGGACTTAAGGTCTTTTGGCATCAGATTTTGGAAAGATGTGAATAATCTCCTCATGCCTCAAGTCCACAACGGCGCAAAGGTACTCGTCACCGGTGAGTCCTGATATCTTGCCTGCTGCTCCGGCACCTGTTAACAGTCTGCCCGTGATATACCTAGGCGCGAGCGGGTTCATTGGATCATGGGTCGTACGGTACCTCCTAGAACGAGACTACAGTGTTCGAGCCGCAGTGAGGAGTGCAGAAAAGGGGGAGTACATGCGGAGGCTCTACGAGAGCTACGGTGATCAGTTTGAGTACGTCGTGGTCGCGGACTCCGGTGAGGTATGTAGGCCAGTCATGCTCTGATAACTCGGGTAGCTGAGCTGATGTTTAGCCCGGGACATTTGACAACGTCCTAGAGGATATCGATGCTGTTGAGCACCATGCGGCCCCTATCACCGACGATCCCGATGGTGACTATTCCCCGCGGTTTGGGTGGACATGAGACTGAGCTAGAACAGACTTCGTAGCCGCCGCCATCAGTGGCACAACATCCCTTCTGGAGAGCATATTGCGGAAAGGGTGAGTCCATGTCGTAATCATCTACAAATGCGTAGCATTAATAGCACGATCCTTACCAGGCGCTCAGTGAAGCGTGTAATCGTTACCTCTTCGGGCGCGGCCCTGGTCGAACCTAAGGAGCCCGGCTACGTATATACCGAGGTCGGTAAAGGTCAGAACGCCGGCCTTGCGGACGACTAATTCCATCCATCCAATTAGGCTGATTGGGGGGATTACTCCGTGAAAGAAGTCCAGTCAAAAGGAGCCAATGCTACCACGTTGCAAAAGTACAGGGCCTCGAAAGCTCTGGCGGAGAGGGCTGCGTGGGACTTCGTTGAGAAACATAAGGATCAGATCCAATGGGATGTAGTTACAGTACTCCCCACCATAGTAAGCTGTCCCGTTATCCCAACTACACGTTTGATGGGAATATTCTGGCATAGGTTTACGGCGTAAGTCTTGGGATCTCGTGGTACAACCCCCCGAACACTAACGACCACTGATTACATAGCCTATCATACATCAGGTATCCTCATGGTCACCTCCTCGTGCGATTGATCCACTAACAAAACCCTAGGTGGAGTCTCCAGAAGACATAAATTATTCAAATCAGTTGTTGTACAGTTCTATCACGCGTGAACGTTCGCCTGATGAGGTGGGAGGAAACTGGGTGGACGTCCGAGACGTCGCTGAAATCCACGTTGAATTACTGGCGAAACGAACCGCCGGCGGAGAACGATATATTGTGTCGGCCGGTGAGATCAGGAGTCTTCCAGCCAGTTACTGCACATCTGACGACTCTGTAAGGTGCTCATTCATGGCAGGAGCTGTGTAAGTCTGGTATCTGTCTGCATAGTTCAATCTTACACCGCTTCACAGATGACCTACTAAACGCCTCTGTTCCACCTATCGGAGGAATACCCCGAGGGCAGCCAGGTAACTATACTCGCGGCCGGCCACCATACTCCTTTTCCTCCGAGAAAGTGATCAAACTTCTGGGAATCAGGTTTAGAGCCTTGGGCGAGTCGGCCCGGGACGCAATTACTTCGATACGCGAGCGAGGGATGTAAAATCGGCCAACGATCCAACAAGCCCTGATGCTAGAATACTCCTGGTCGGTCACCCGGGGCCCAGCCGTCCAACGTTCCTCCCGCCTCTCATCCTTTGTAGACAGTATCCACCACTACCTACCGCGATCTTAAGACAGAATATAATATAATCCGCTTCCCGTTGTCCATGGAATGGTGTATTACTCCGCTGAAGTACGTATGCGGATGTTTATTCAGAAGGGTGTTCTGCTGTATTTTCATGGGTCCCGTAGTGCCCCGCTTCATGGCATGCATTATCTACGTATGTATACCTTTTCCATATTACCCTGCAAGATACTTCTCATCGCGATAGGAGACGTTCCGATGTTTAACAGACATTTCTCCTTACCTCCGGCTGCTTGGCGCGCTTCCTCCTCCAAGGGCTTTTTAAATTATACAACTTGGACGGCATTGCCCTATCAGCAAGCAGTCAAGGATCTCCATCAATATCCACCATGCAGTATGGTATTTTGACCTCTGGAACGGCGTTGGTGTTTTCCACACCTAGCTCTGGGATTGCACCAGCCAGGTATTCTCGCCGTTGCTAGTTCTTAGATTGAGTTCAGTCCAATATCCAGCTGAGCATTCAGTCCATCCGAAGCACCAACGACGATGTAATCAGTTGGGACTGTATAGCGGTTGTCGACGGTTGTCCCGCCGGCTGTGAGGAGAAGCGTATTCAGACCGGCAAGCAGCTCATGGAGAAGGATAAAATGAGACCAGTATATATTGACTCAGACCACTATTCTTCGATTCTCCAGCTTTCTCCAGCAGGACCTTGGCAAGGCCACAGCGAGCAGTCGAGTCACTCGAAAGGCACCGCGTTGATTAACGTTGCCAGAATGCTGTGCTGTGGGAAAAGGCCCGACGGATTGGATTCTACCACCTGCTTAGTCAGCAGCATGACGCGTCCTCGACGCGTAATTGAAGCGCGGTGCTTCAAGGCAGAACGCTCTCAGCTTTGGACATCCCCTCACTTTCACCTCCTTCGAGCTACTTATTTGCACGATGGCACGTACACCGAAGCTTACTTATGAGGGGCTTACTGAGACAATCATCCCTGCAGCTCATTCGTATTCGATCTAAAGATGGCAATTTCCGCTTCGAATTGGCACCTACCGCTGATATCTCAGAGTTGGTCGAAAAGGTTCGCTGACTCCTCGCTTGGCGAGATGATTTGCTGAGCTTATCGTCTTTTGGAATACTAGATACTGGATACCACAGTCGATGCTGATCCATCGACTTTGACGATTTCGAATCAGCCGCGAGGGAACGAGACAAATGTGTCTACGCTGAAGGGGAGAAATTTGCAGAGCTTGGGGCTAAAGTGCGCTGGTTGGCCTTAAATGACTGTGATACCGTACTAAACTATCTTCTACAGACATGGCGATCTAATCTTCGTTGGTTATCAATCACGTCCTTCTGCAAGCACCTCTGCGCCCCAAGAGCAAGCCGCCCCCACGGCCGTGATCCCCCTCGGCCCCTCCGACACCGCCAAACGTCCATGGGAAACCGTTCAAGAGGACGCCGTCGACCGCTACTGGCGCTCCAAGGACGGTATGATCCCGCGCGGGCGCGACTCGCGCTTCTGCAAGCACGGCCCAAACGCGATGTGCGACTACTGCATGCCGCTCGAGCCGTACGACGCGGGCTACCACGCGCAGCACGCGATCAAGCACCTCTCGTTCCACGCGTACGTGCGCAAGCTCACGCCGAAGCTGAGCGGCAGCGCGGCGAGCCAGCTGCCGCCGCTCACGCCCGCGTCGTACAAGGTGAAGGTGCCGTGCCCGACGGGCAGCCACCCGTCCTGGCCCGCGGCGATCTGCACGGCGTGCCAGCCGAGCGCGATCACGCTGCAGTCGCAGCCGTTTAGGATGGTGGACCATTTGGAGGTGGCTTCGCCGGAGATTATTGAGCGGTTCTTGCAGGCGTGGCGGGCGACGGGGCTGCAGCGCTTTGGGTGGCTGATTGGGCACTACGAGCCGTACGATGCGGTGCCGATGGGGATCAAGGCGGTTGTGGAGGCCATCCACGAGCCGCCACAGGAAGGAGAACTTGATGGACTGTCGCTTGGCCTGCCATGGGAGGATGAACCGCGGATCCGTGCGCTCGCAGCGTCAGCGTCCACCCCACTGCAGATCGTTGGATACATTTTCACGGACATTGATCCCACTTCAGAGGACAAGACGAAGAACGTGTACAAGCGGCACCCGAACTCGTTCTTCCTGTCTTCGCTGGAGGCGATCTTCGCCGCTACCGTGCAGCACGCAAACCCTACACCGACGAAGTCCTCGACGACGGGGTACTTCTCGTCACGGATGGTTACAGCGGTGGTGAGCGGGACGGAGGACGGCTCGATAGATATCACGGCGTACCAGGTGTCGGAGCAGGCCGTGGCGATGGTGGAGGCGGACATGATTGAGGCGAGCGTGGACCCCGGGACGATGCTCGTGAAGAAAGAGGACCGGAGCGAGGACTCGGCGAGGTACATCCCGGATGTCTTTTTCCGGTACAAGAATGAGTACGGGATTGAGGTGAAGAAGAGCGCGAAGCCATGTTTCCCGGTGGAGTACTTGTTGGTCAACGTACGTGCTGACGGTGCCTGAGTGGAAGGGGTTCGGCTGACGTCGTTTTCGTAGGTGACGCATGGTTTCCCGTCGAGTCCGTCGCCCGTCTTCCGCTCGAGCAAGTTCCATATCGAGAACAGACCTGGGCTGGAGGATCAGAATATTGAGGATGTCCTACGGGCATTGGTCAACCTCCAGGCGCCGGATATTGAGCCTGGCACCCAGCATAAGGACTATCAGCGGCGCGCAGAGCTGCTCAATTTCTTGAGTGACTGGCACTTGATTGCATTCCTTGGGACGTCTCAGTTATTCTCAGAGGTCAGTTTGTGATGTTGCTGACTTGTAAGCAAGGACTGAATTTTTTTCTTCTACAGGCTGATTTGAGAGTACTCGCAAGGACAGCGACGGCGCCGAATGCGGACGACCCGGAGGTTCTGGATAGCCTGCTTCGCACGGAGAGCTGGCACACGCTGATGACATTCGCGAGGGAGACAGCTCGTACGTGGCATTGTCCTTAGTACCTTTCCCGTCCCAGTCTAACTGCGTCACTAGCTCCCCGCCGACCAGCAACGTCGCCGCCACCGCTCATGCCGACGAATGCGATGGACGAGGATATCCCTGAAGAGGTGTTTAACCGGTTCGAGGAGGTGGACGTTGGTGGAGGTACGACCAAGTGCCCGCATTGTACGTTCGAGAACACGCACTCGACGGGGGATTGCGACATCTGTGGGCTGCCGCTGAACTGAGCTGACAGAGAATAAGGAAAGGTTGCATGTATAACAGACACTGTAAACAGAGACACTACTAGACCACGCGCAACGCTGTACTCTTGTCTGGGCACGCGAGTGAAATGACTTGTTTGTGATCGGCTACAAGTAAAGGTCAGGAAGCTGTGCACTTGCGGAGAAACGAAAACGCGCCACAACGCCCGAACTCTCTGGGGTAAGGACCCCGGATGTGCAGATATGGTGCTTGTAAAGTTGCCAGATTTGGAAGGGTCGGCACCCGATGTAGCCATGCTTCCGGGGTCCCTGCCATCAGCAAAGTGGCGTCTTCCCCAACGAACGAACTTGGGCGTCGGCGAGCCCGGAGTCGGTGGGAGGCGCATTCGCAGGCAGCGCGAGGCCATCTTGGAAGCAGTTGTCATCATGTCGGACGGTATGTTCTTCCGTTTTCTCTTTCATTCATGCTTGAAAACGGAATGTCAGAACCAAACATCATTCCTCTTCTCTCGCGCGCCCTCATCCGCATCCGCTCGACCCCGCCCAGAGTCATTGCGTCCCCGCCAACCCGTACGTCTTTCACATTTTGCTATGCACATGTCCTAACAGCCAGTGCAGAACCCCGCCGCGCCGCCGTCTCCCTCATCATCCGTGTAGTCCCCTCTCCTTCATACCCGCCACCGAATCCAGTCCCGCCACCACCCCAGTCCCTCACTGCCTTCTTCGAGCAAGAATGGGTCAACGCACCCGGCGCGCGCCCCGAAATCCTCTTCCTGCGGCGCGACCGCCCCGGCTCCGACGGGGGGGCGACGCCGCTCACGCCCGCGCCCGGCACGTCCGCTAGCGCCGCGGGCGAGGCGCACGTCGCCTTCCCCGGCGGGCGCATGGAGGAGGGCGACGAGGGCGGGCTCTACACCGCCATGCGCCAGACGTGGGCCGAGACCGCGCTTGACCTCGCCGAGCCGCACTACGTCGCCATCGGCCAGCTCGACGACCGCGAGATCACCACCAGCCTCGGCAAGCGCCTCCTCATGATCCTCTCCCCGTACGTGTTCCTCCAGGTCACACCTGCTGTGCCGGGGATCGCGCCGGTGGAGGATCCCGTGGAGGGCACGACGGTGTACTGGGTACCCCTCGCGAGTCTGCTGCCGAGCCGGGACCTGGTTGGGAAAGAGAAGAAGGGGAAGCGAAGGAGGGGGAAGCGGGAGAGTGTCGGTATGGTAGCCGCCAGCCCTGGCCCGAGGTGGAGTACGGTCAAGGTGGACGCTGCGTCCAGGCTTGCCCCGCGGAACTCGCGGATCCTGAAGGAGATGGTCCGCGGCTTGGTGGGGAGTATGCAGTTCCCCGCGATTGTGTTGGACATCCCGTCGGCCTACTCGTACGCTGACGAGAAGGGGACGCAGGCGTTGGAGGGTGGGAGGAAGGAGGAGCTGAAGCTGTGGGGCCTGTCGCTGGGCATGACTCTGGATCTACTGGCGTTCATGGTGCCTCCCTCCAGACCATCAGGTGCGTGGATCTCGCTTTTCCAAATCCTGACCATCTTGCCAATGAAGCATACTCCTGCGTAGATCAGCGTCCACCCTCACCAACGTCGCATTGGCTTCCCTTCCACTCGGACGAGGTTGCCTCCGTGGAGCTCGTTAGTAAACTTGCACCCAGTCTCACAAGTGTGGTGCCTAGGTTCGGATATCCCGATGTCAACTTCTGGATCTGGTGAGTGTGCCGCCTGGTTCCTCAGAGTCGTCCTGGTCTTGTCTTTATGATTTCACTTTGGCCATCTTGAATTGCATGTGATTCCCATGGCCTCCGATTCTCATAACAAATCACTCTTACTTTCTGTATTTGGTCATGCATGAATGCTAATGACACGCCTCAATGCAGGGTATTCGGCAAACGGTATCGGGAAGTCATCCGGGGCTGGGAAGCTAGCGTGCGTTCTGGTGGAACGAATGATCGACGGTATATCTGTCCATTGCCATTGACATCTTCGTCCCTACTAATTCCACCTCGATCTCAGGATAAACTGGCCCGGTACGGCTCTGTCGACATTCTACGCCGCCATCCGCAAGGCCCTCATAGTCGTGATCGTCGTGCGGGCGATTGCGATCCTACTGGGCGTCGCCGGGTTTGCTTGGTGGGTGTTCTGGTGATAGACGATAAACATATCGGGACGGAGCAGTATATTTTCCCTCGCGATTCGTGATCATCCGAGTATATATGCCATCTATTTATCTCGTCCGGCAGGGGCTTCAGGGTACTACTACGATATGTTGTTTGTGTAGATGAATGAGTTGATGATCGTTCACGACTCAGTACTCCGTACTCAGGAATGACGAGCATGACGCATAGATGACTTGAGTTCCAAATCCTTTTCGCGACGCTGTCGGTAAGTTTAGACGATCCGGCGGACCGTCGAGGAGCCGCAGGGCGGATTTCTGAGCTTCGCTCATTCAGTGGCTTATTCACTTGACGTTCGTATCATCTGCATAACCCACGGAATGCCATCATGGGCCGACGCCCCTGCGCACATGCCTCTCGCAGTTGGAGCCCATCAATGCAGCGTCCGTGCCACAAAGATAACACAGCCTTGGATGTCTGGCCTGCGCTTGCTAAGACTCAGAGCTGAGCATGCCTGGAACAAACGATCATAAATGCAGCGTTGCATGGCAGAGCGGCCGGCGCGGTCGGCAGCCTAGATTGAAGAGAGGCCTGATTATCGGGGAGGGGCGGGACTGGACGCTGTGCCAGAAATAGAAGGTCACCTGCCTAGATCGGCCCTCGAAGGCGTCCTCCCCCGAACGTTCACATCCGTCCGACTATATATCGGCGCCATGGCCCCCGCTGAAGATTCCTCCATACTCCTGCTCCCAGAATGCCCAACCCCGAAAAGATCACGGAGAAGGTGTTCCAGTCGCCGTCAAAGTACATACAGGGCCCTAGCGCGCTGAAGAATGCTGCGCGGTACTTATCACCCTTGGGCCAGCGGCCCCTTGTCGTAGTCGATAACATCGTCTTCGAGATTGGTATGTTTGGACATAGTATTGAGCAAACAGAATAACTGATCAAAAATGCAGCGGGGAAGACCCTGCTGTCCGCTCTGAGCACCGCAGGCATGAACCCGACGCGGGGTGCCTTCACGGGCGAAGCCTCCCTTCAGGAAATCGGCCGCCTCGCCGACATCGCCAAGTCATCGAACCCGCCCTGCGACTTCATTATCGCGCTCGGCGGCGGCAAGACGATCGACACCTCCAAGCAGATCGCGACGGACCTGCATCTCCCCGTCGCGGTCCTCCCGACGACCGCCTCGACGGACGCGCCCTGCTCCGCGCTCTCCGTGCTCTACACGCCCGAGGGCGAGTTCCACAAGTACAGCTTCTTCGAGAAGAACCCGAACATCGTGCTCGTCGACACGAGCATCGTCGTCAAGGCCCCCGCGCGCTTCCTCGCGGCCGGCATCGGCGACGCGCTCGCGACCAACGTCGAGGCGCGCGAGGTGCGCAACAGCCCCAACTTCGGCAAGGGCCTGCCCACCGCCGTGAGCGTCGCCATCTGCTCCAAGTGCGAGGAGATCTTGTTCCAGTACGGCCAGCAGGCCCTCGAGGCGAACAAGGCTCAGGCACTTACCCCAGCCTTCGAGGCCGTTGTCGAAGCCAATACGCTTCTATCCGGTCTCGGATTCGAGTCAGGCGGACTGGCTGCAGCACATGCAGTAAGTGACAACATAACAGTGACCACCCGGGGCTTGGACTAACCGCCATTCGTAGATTCATGATGGTCTGACATCCCTCCCCGAGCTCCACCACCTGATGCATGGCGAAAAGGTCAACTTCGGCACGGTGTGCCAACTCCTTTTGTCCAACACGCCAGCCGAAACCCTCGACCGCTACCTCAAGCTCATGGTCTCCGTCGGACTCCCCGTAACCTTCGAGCAGCTAGGCTTGAAGGAGGTGAGAGATGAAGACCTCAGGAAAGTAGCTAGACTCGCATGCTCGCCGGGCGAGACGATCTGGAATTTAGACGTGGTGATCAATGAAGACGTGGCATACGGCCTCCTCAAGGCCGCGGATGCCGTTGGGAGGGAGTACTTGGCCCGTACCAGCAAGGCATAGACAAAGTAGATGTTGTCATGGGTTGATGGGGGTAATGTCGATGCAAACAAACTGTAGTCTTAGAAAATGTACTTCAGCGAACCTCTGTATCCTTCACTGTATCATTTACTCTAGACGTGATTTGATCAACGATACTGTAGCGGACCCGCTCTCACGTGCGAGAACCCTTGGGGGGATTTCTCCACCTCACTCACGTTAGAAGCCTTACTTTCCCCCACCCAAGGTCGACATCTCCATCCGCTCTTGCTTTCTCTGCTCGCCCTTGCGGCCGCCCATGACGCCAACCCCCCTCAAAGCCCAGAAATTCAGGATGAGACCTACCGATGCGGCGGCTAAGCATAGCCACCCAGCGGCATGGTAGCCCTCCAGCAGGGCTCTCGGTGACACCGGATCGATGTCATGAGCATGTGCGTAGTTGTTGGACACAGACGTCGCGACAAGCGATGTCAGAGCAAGGCCAACGGCAGTCGAAATCTGACACGGGGAGAAAACGGATTTAGGTTATCCCTGAATCCAATCCAAATGTGAACAGGGAACACTTACCCTGGTGGCAGTAGAGAATAGTCCTCCGGCCAGTGCTTGTGACCTTTCGTCCATAGCGGATGTTGTGAAAATGTTTCCGACAATGAACGCCGTATCGGCGATGGCTGTTGCATGAAGGTTAGCTGACCTAAACTAGGGCGTGGACGAGGGAGACGCACGTAAGAGGGTCAGCACCAGGAAGGCGTTTTTCCAGTACGAGCCGTGGGGATCTATGACTCCGAGGAGAGCACAAGCAGCCTGTGGAGGGTGTAAGGTGGGTTCTGGGCAGGTGGAGGAAAAATAAGAAGGGGACATACGACCAGACTACCAGCACCAAAAGCATTCAGTTTCTCTCCCGAAACATACTCCACTACCAAGCCGGAGAGCGCATTTACGATCATGCCGGAAATCGCTTCTGGTATAAATGCGATGCTAGTGTGCAATGGGGTCAATTTCTGTACGTCCTGGAAGCTGGGTGGTATATCAGTAGCTAGGTAGAGGAATGGGAGCATTCGAACGTACTACAGGGTGACAAAATATTGTACCGTGTTGAACCCCCACCACATTAGGAAGATCATAGCAAACACGCCCCCGAAACGACCATTCCCCTGTTTGAAAATACTGAAGGGAAGGAGCACGGCTCTGCCCTGTGATTCCCTACGTCGTTCCCACATTGCGAAAAGGACGAGGAATATGAGGGAAAGTGAAAACAACGTCGGGATATAGGCTGTCCTCCATCTGTGCGAATGTCACTTCAGAATCACTGAACACATCGAGCCCCTCAGCCATTGCTCACCCGACTGACTGAGACTGACTGTTAAGACGGGCTTAGTAAAGGAATCGAACATAGCATAGATTCCAATGAATGCACTTACGACAGAGAGAAAATGAGGAGCACCAAGCCCAGCGAGCTAAGAACAGCTCCCATCCAGTCCATTTCTCTGTCGTATTTTACTCGGTCCTTGGGCACCGATATCCATGCCGCACCCAAAAATATTGCGCCTAGAGCGGCCTGTAAGATAAATATGTACCTCCAACCCCGGTGGAGATTACACAGGAAACCAGCTGTTCGATAGATCCCTCAATATCGAGACTTTAAGGAGCAGAAGACCCATCACTTCCGCTACTGAAATCACTCACATGCTAAGATGCCTAGGATAAAACCGACGCTCTGACCGCCAGCGAGCACGGCCATTGCCCGAGTTTTCAGAGCACCAGTGAGATTACCGCCAATGATACCGATCCCTATTCGCGTGGTGTGAGTATCTTCGGTCGCGTACCGGGCGTTCTTCCACACTGACCAGCCGATGTCATCATAGATGCCCCGACACCCAGAAGACCCACGACGGTAATCAGGGAGACAGGCTCTGATGATCGTACAGCGTAGGATAAGTAACATGCTTTACACCATCCAGTTATGTTGAACATTACCAGGGCAGAATATGGGAGGTATGGAAAGCAGAGTAAACCAGGAAGCTCCAACCATAAAAAGCGTCCGTCTTCCGTACTTGTCAGCCATCCGGCCTGTGAGTAGCAGCAGACATCCGTAACTCAAGCTGGAGAAACCGAAATCAGAGTCGTTCATGCATGAAATTCTCGTCAATTAGACAGACTTGTACGCCTGTATAGGCCAGGAAAGGGTGGCCTGCGAGAAGCTTAAGTCTGATCCGATGGATGGTACTGCAACTGTCATGGCACCGCCGAAATAAACCTGCGTCGTATCCAGCCCAGTCAGAATATGCGCGAATATATCATTGGGAGTAAGACTCACATTCAACAATGTTGAACCACTAATGGCAAGGATCATGCACCATGCTCTCCAGCCTGTCATGAACACACTGTCCGACTTATTGTTTTCGGAGTCGATAGGAAGGATGCATTCCCTGTCTCCTCCATGATCAGAAAACTGTCCAGTTGCCACGACAGCTCTCTCATGAGGCTCCAGTAAGCCTGACGATCCAGCAATGCTCATCATAGTTGGAGACGCTGCCACACGGTCAGAGAGAAAAGGTCTCGCAAGGATGCCCCTGACCGGGCGCACCATATACACATTATGTTAACACCCTTGTATCACCTCGCGGGTCCTCGACTCGTGCTCGCCAAATGGACATACTCGTCAGCGAATCCGATATCGGCCGACTGTCCTCTGCACACACACACGAGTCTCGGATCTCACCGCCAAGGTGATCTAGTCGTTTCAGTCTCCAGGTGGAAGAAACAGCCTAGAAATACGAATACGACGTATAGTTATCTAGAGGACAGATGAAACATATATCCCATACAGAAGAGGAACCCTATCCTGGGTAAGTATTGGCCAGTGGGTGCAAAGTGGGTGTGGGTTAAAATAAACAGTCGACTGCGGGAAATGCCGGGTCCACTGGCAGGCGACACGTTTGGCAATGGTCCTTCCCCATCGAGTAATCCAGCTCGAAATTCTCAAATCAGTCTGACTCTGGGCTACGAGAACGGGCAAGGGTGCTAGCGAGCGTCAGACATACTGTATAATCACGCGTCTCAACCCGTCCGATACTTCTTATTTCGCCTTTGGGCTTCCGCGGAGCTTGCAATTCACAGCTTGTCCTGAAGGGCAGGGATGACACTGGTGACATAGAAGACTTGAATGTGTATGATAAGTCATGCAATCGTCATGGGTAAATGATACCAGCAGTGGGAGAGCACAGAGAAACCAATGATCCGTGTAGCTTTGGGTTACCTAGTACCGGATGCCCTCTACGTCAGGTTCAGCCGCGTGTTGCTGTGAGAAGTGCAGGCTGGCGTCTTTCCAGCAGCGTCACAGATAATACAGATGCCAGGGTGGTTTCGAAGCGCGTCTACGCTGACATTCCGTGGGCATGGGAGGGGGACTCTTGCCTATAGCTTCAAATAACTCAAAGTTATGTACATCTGGCAAGTGGTACTATGGCAAAGTCCAAACACGGGGAGTAGTTACTTGAAGATGAGCTGTTTACGTACGTCAGGCAGGCGGCGTCTCAACAGACCCCAAAGTTCGCGATAGCAGGCAGAGCAAGCAGGTAGCATGCTGTACTCTGGAATATTCCAGTCGGTAAGACAGGTAGGAGGTGAACCTGACAGAGAATTACACGCACAGGGCATATTGCAAGAAGAAGAGTCAGCTGCCATATGTTGGATCGCCGAGTTATGCACGAAAGAGGTAAGTAGTGGCATGTGAGCCCCTGCGGAGAGCGATCAAGGCATATCAGAGTGCGAACTCGGAGGCCAGGTAAGTTAAGGAAGCACCTGACATCGGGAACCACTGTGGCTTCTTCAGTCCTCGGGCGCTGTTGTCAAACCCCGGGATTTACGAACGTAAGGCCGTCCCGTTGGGGCTGCGAGGCAATTGATTTGGAGATCACATTCATATAGAGCCATTGGTTCCTAGCTCTTAATCACGAGTGATATTGCAGCCTTGAGCCACCGTTCGCGAGGATCCGTGTCGTAAAGCGTAATATGCACCCTAATACAGAGGTCATCGCCCCAGTTGCCAGACGGATCCTGCAAGCTTCGAAAACAATTCGAGGGAGCCCAAGACGTACAGTAAGATCCGACAGCAGGGAGTACCCTCGAACTGCCCGTGTCAGATCGGCGTTAATGCGATACGATACGTTGCTCCGACGACGGATGCGGCTCCCCTTGCGTTGTCGTGAACCAGAGCAGAAGGCATTCCCAGCCAGCGCAGAGACTACACACGAAACCTTTCGTAGTCGAGAGCGACAGCTATACATATACGACCCAGACTCTCCACCGAGGTCCTTGTCCGAGATCTACGCGCGATCAGTCAGAAACCACTGGCAGGGGGAGATGGGCCAAATCAAGGGCCGCCAGGTCAAAAAGAGCGCCTCACTTATATAGCTAGTATTGTCCCGCAAGTTGGCCAGATCCCGCAGAAGAGCGGCAGGAAGTCGAGTTTCTCCGGCGACTAAGGAGAAGATAGACAGGCCAAGCCACGAGTGCAGCTTGCCAACGGCTGCGTGCTTGATATAGACGAGTTTAGCTTAGATCTGCATGGTCGGTCGCAGTAGAGCTAGGTACCGAAGCCGTATAAGCCACATGCACTACTGTGACGGAGCCCAAGCGTAGGCGCACCAGTGAGTTCCTGCAACATGTATCTTCTGCGTCAGTAGGTAATTTGAGCCAATTGGATCGGTGGAATAGACAGTTGCTCCACCACGTGTGTAGCTACCGTTATCCCGTAAACGGACCCGGCTTGTCTGAGGGATATCTCAAGTTAGCCTACGGGTGCTGATATGTTTCGCCCGGATCTGGCGATCAGTAAGTGGGTGGACATACGAATCTATAGGAAGTTAGTTAACCATGCTCCTATTGGAGGAGATAAGAATGTTAGTTCAATCACGAGCAACGGCGGGTTTCAAGACGCCAAAGGTACGGGTTTCATCGACGGTCCATAGTGTCAGGTGGAGCAGGAGTAATCGAGAGTTGAGGAATAGACACGTAAACGCTTGTCGCTGGAGTGTAGCGTTCAATACAGCTCCCACTTTCCAGTGCGCCCACGTGCACGTGCTTGTCCAATGAAGGGCCGTAGGCGTCTTGGGAGACTTCATTAAGCAGGCCCTCACCCCATTTGGGGGGATCTGCTGGTGACGAGGGTGAAGTGTAGAAGTATATCAAACTGAACAGGACAGGAGTTTTCGGCTTTCATGTAGACCGACATGAAAGAGGCGAAGCAGCCGCCCAATACGAGGAGCAAGCGCTCTTTCAAAGCGCTTCTCAGAGCATCCGATGACCAGGGGTTAAACCTCAGCGAAGCTCGGGGATCGCATATCTGCGCGGAACGAGCGAGGAGAGATCGGCTACTATTGGGCTACTATGAAGATGTTTCCATGCGAGAAGCAACGAGGCAACCTAAGCAGGATAAGACCCGGTGGGCACGGCGGCTTCCAGCGACTTCCTTTGCTTCTTGTCAATGCAAGCTCGATGGTTGGGGTAGGAGCATCAAACGTGTATTCGGGAAGCTGTCGGAGCGAAGACAAGTAGGACAAGCACCGCCCACGCGATTTTGTAGAGCGGCGGGCTCGGAACTCACGAAATCTCCAATGGGGCGATAATAGAGGGTGTGGAGCAGAGATCAGTAGGGGCACGAGTTAAGCTCCCGACTAATCGCCTTTTGTCACTGTACATTTTGTCGCCGAGCGTGCAGGGCCGTGTATAGGGCAGCACAAAAACAGTACCGGATCCGATAGGTCAAATGATATGCAGATGCCGGACAAAGACGCCGAAGCAGATAAACCTCACAAACAGCTTCATATGGCAAGCCACAAATGCCGGCAAACAGCAATCTGCCACAATCGGACATACCCGATCCGGTCTCAGGAGGTCCACCTGGGATTTGTTGTCGCTTAGCATGTCCAATCTCCTTTCACCGTAGCTACGGCTCTCGCAGTATATTTACCTGGCCCTCGTCCTGTTTCTCTCCCCAACATGCTAATACCGTGCTAACCAACACCACCACCCGAGCTCGCCAGCGAACATGCAGTCTCCGCGCCCCATCCTCAAGCGCAACGCAGTCACATACCCTCTCGATACCTCGGCTGCGACTCTAGCTTCGGGGACAAAACATCCTTCGCCTCGCTCTGCTTTAACCAGCACGCTTTCCGTACACTTCCCCCCCTCTCATGGTCTCACGAAGACCTTCGACACGCACTCTGCTGCAGCGTACGACCGCTCTCCCATTGTCGTCTCCCGCAATGCTTGTGCTTTGCCGGAGAGGGGATGTCCAGGCCGAACGTACGGGCTTAACGATGATGAAGAGATGGACGCTAGGGGGAGGACGAGGCATGCGAAGGATGATAGGAGGGCCAGGCGTTCACGTCCTCTCGCTGCGGAAGGCTACACATCGTCATCGCCGCCAGGCGTCCTTCCACCACTAATACCCGACCAATCCGAGTCCGATGACTCAGACTCTTCCTCCAGCTCTGGTCATGCACCTTTCAGAGTCTCGCCAGCAGCGTCATCCATACCCATGTCTATACCCACGAAGTCTCCCACATACGGCTTCTACTCTAGCCCTCCCGGTCTATCTTTCCTTCCTCACCCTCACCACGAGCAGCGGGAGTGCGAGCGGCCTCGTGGCCGCAGTCGCACCCGTCCCCACGGCGATGTATCAGCTAAGGAACAGAACCACTCTCGTCGGCAGCCCACCTACAAATCGTTCTCGCACGATAATGTCCTCGTAGGTGATGAAGGTTGCTTGGGAGGGTTCTGATATCGGATATCGGACTGTTGGATTGTATCGGGAGTTGAAAGCGGAAAAGTATAGCCGTTGGACATACCCGAATAACAACCTTAATTATGTGTAACATTAATTTATTGACCGGCACTCACCATAGCACAACTTGTACTTCTACCACTATCAGTCATAGCCCGTGCTCGGTCAATGTACTTTGCATAGTCTATACCCCTATTAGTTGATGACGGAATCAAATGTACTACTGCGAACTTGTAACTTGCCATGTTCTGTGACCGAATGCCTTGAGCACCGTTCCCCAGTCCAGACTGCGGTGGAATCAATCATGCCATGCTCAATCAGGAAAAGCGCTTGCCAAAGATGGAAGGACCGCTGAGAGCGGGAGAAACCGGAGAAGTACTTCGGACCTCATCACGATGAGTCACTGCGACAGTGTCTGTCAGCTTGGGTAAGTAGCTCGACCGTTGTCACAACGAACTTGAAAGAAGGTCTGTAAAAATAAGGAAGAACAATGACGCCATAGTGGCCAGAGGCCAGGAGCAGTACTGGTCCGAACGTCATTGAACTCTTCATGGCGTCGGCGATGGGGCGCATTGGCTGATATAGAATTGATCCTGCCTCGGCGCTCCGACTCTGAGCGAGCATACTTATGTATTCGTGTGGCGTCGTTGTAGGGACCCGAGTCTTGCCGCGAACCTTTCGAGTTCTTCGAGATGTTACGCCTATCAGCCTCTACTCGAGGCGGCGCCGTTAACTGCACCCGGCTTCGCAGAGCGTGTCTGAAGGCAGGGAAGCTAAGCGTAACTCCTGGAACCCGTAACTTCAGTCTTTTGCCCGGTAACAACGGCGAGCCGAAGCAGAAGCTTGTTATCCTTGGTTCCGGCTGGGGAGGATACGAGGTACTGAGGGGAGTTGATAGAAAACGATGGGGTGAGCTCGCAATAATCTCTTTCGAGTGCACACATAACTCGGTATTCACTCGAGCCAAACGTGGCTGCAGATGTCACTATCATTAGCCCAAGCACTTACTTCAACTTTACTCCCCTCCTTGCAAGTTGTGCTGTCGGAACCCTCGAATACCGATGCGCGATCGAGTCGGTATGTTTACATTACCTCGATTGGGTGAAAACTTTACTAATGTGCAACTCGTTTGGTTAGGTTCGGAGATTCACGCCTGAAGCGGTGCGGCTAGCGGGAACTCGTGAACTCGGAATTCAAAGAGTACTGATAGATTCTCTTCTAGAAAGCGTATCAAGCGTGGTGCGATCATATAGGTTCGTAGCTGCCACTGCCTCGATGAATTCACGCAGAACTGACTCCACGAGAAGACTTTCAGAATAAGACTTTGACATGTGTCCGTCGCTCTTTTATGGTTTCATTTGGCTTCTTCCTCAACGTGTGGCGTACCTGTAACAGATGCCAGCGACCCCACCTTTGTCGTTCGAGAAGGCGCCAGCGCCACCACTCGACGCAACAACAACTGCATTTCCGGGCACTGGCACGACGTTTGAGGTAAAATATGACAAGCTGGTAATTGCTGTCGGCGCCTATTCACAAAGTAGGCGCATTTATCGATGTGCCTTCGCTCATGACACGAGCATTAACGATTATGAACTTGCAGCGTTCGGTATACCGGGCGTGAAAGAACATGCGTACTTCCTGAAAGACGTCAAGGATGCAAGGGCAATCCGCACCAGATTACTAGAATGTAATTAGACCCTGAATTTTCACATAAATCGACGCAGCTGACAGGCCTAGGTCTGGAGCAGGCATCGCAGCCGTTCCTCACGGATGAACAACGGAGAAAACTACTTCACTTTTGTGTCGTCGGTACGTCCTTTGATGCCATTGTTAAATCCAATGTATAATATTTTCGAAAATATGCAGGTGGTGGCCCTACGGGCGTTGAGTTTTCGGCGGAACTGCATGATCTCCTGACCACGGACATCCGAAAGCATTACCCGGATCTCGAACCTCTATGCAGCATCACTTTGTACGACGTAGCTCCAGGTATCTTAGGAATGTTCGATAGGAATCTGATGCAGTATGCCGAAAACACGTTTAAAAGGGAAGGCATCGAGATGAGGACCAGCCATCACGTAGAAAAGGTTGAGAAGGCAAGTGATATCGCGGCCCGTAGCTTGTCCTCGGCTGACTGTCAATCGCAGAATAAATTGTTCGTTAAGGAGCAAGGGGAAGGTATGCAAGATGTCTTGCCAAGCCGTTTACTTTCTGACTCGTAGGAAGTGCCGTTCGGGTTGCTCGTATGGAGTACTGGACTAGCTCCAAATCCTCTGCTGCTCTCCATAGACTCGGTACAGAAGCACGACAGAAGTGGAAGGTATTGTGTATGCACCTTTGGGATGGCTATATGCATGTTGAGCTGTTATGGTCAGTTTACTAACAGATAATAACTGTAACGTCCTGCTCAAGAAGGACGGGGGCAAGGGGACGGAGGATGCTACCGACCCGGATGTGTACGCCATTGGTGACGCAGCTATAATCAAGGGCTATAGTCTCCCGGCCACAGCCCAAGGTGATTACCTTATTCCTGCGTCGTGAGTCAGGATTGTGGACTCATTATTCCCAGTGGCGAACCAAAAGGCAAAGTATATTGCCAAGAAGTTGAATAGATTAGTCCGAAATAAGGATGGAACGGAACCGTTCGAATTCAATAATATGGGAAGCCTCGCATATATAGGCAACTGGTGCGCATATCGTGTCACGCCGGAACGCGTTTCACTGACGATGTTGATATTTCAGGAAAGCACTATATGACAGATCGAAGGCTCAGACTGGACCGAAGACGGTGAAGACGGGCACCTTGGCTTGGCTCCTTTGGCGTTCCGCATATTTCACTAAGACCCTCAGTGTCCGCAATAAGTGAGTCTGATTCGTTTGACCTCCCAGATCTTCCATGGCTGATACAATCATGATTTGTAGAGTACTAGTGCCGACGTATTGGTGGGTACATCCATTTCTGGGTACTCATAGCAGTATTGATGAGCCCTTGTCAATAGGTTCCTTAATTGTGAGTTCTTGTCAAGTTTCAGTGCTCATCGACAAGTCCTCTGAGCCCTAATTTTGCAGGGCTCTTGGGACGGGACTTGTCCAGGTTTTAGAGAATCAACGGCATACGCTATATTCACAATCTAGGTATTCATAGTCGCCGTGGTAATGTGGGTATTCAAACTTCAGAGTGACCAGGGTGCCATATAACCAGAGACCACCTTGCTCTTGCGCAGACTGAGAGCTTTTACAAGGCTCTCGGACGATTGTTAGTACACATGCGCACGTTCCTTACACAATATCGCATGCATACTTGTGGAGCATTAAGAAGGAAGAGATGATGGTCCATAGCCAACGCCTAAGAAGGCGCTGTAGGCCGCGGAGACCGGACAACCATGCTCAGACCAATCTCTCGAACCAAACTTCAGCGGTCTCCTGAACACTACCTCCTAGCCTTTCTCGTTCAGTCGATTCACCCACAAGACCAGTCAGAGCGAAACCCATGATTTTTCCTTCATCGATGACAAACTGCGCTTGGCCTTGCCCTTCACCAGTTTCAGTTGTTTCGAAGGGAGTAGAGTCGGGACCATAGCCTTTCGGAAAGAGAGCAGTGAACACTAACTCGAATTCATTTCCTTGGTGGTGGATGAACCGCAGGTGCGTAGACCATATTCGAGGCCAATACGCGTACAACTCCGGTCTGGACGGTCCGTTCGTCACGGAGTCAACGGCGGCGAAATCCTCCAGGACCTCCGAGCAATAATGAGATGTACTTGAAGGGTCGCATAAGGTGAATGCACCATAGCCTGGATTGCTGTACGTCCCGGAGTAATTAGCAAGGTGAATGGGCTCCTCCACGATGCCTTCGCGTTGCGGTGGTGGAGTTACACGATTGTTGGTATGAACTTGCAGCCGCGCGCCGGGCCTATTAACAAAGTCAGTTGAAGGTGTACAAATCGCCACTTGCTGCGCTGTAATACTCACGACTCGGTGGGAGACCCTGTGTCTGAAATGTTAAGGAAACTGTCCATGACTTTGAAGCTCAAGTCGGTATTCACGGAGGCCTTCTCGTCGACGTTCACAAGAAAGACCATGCCCAGTCCATCGGAAGGCATGAAGACTGTACGGGTTGAGAATCCCGGGATGGCACCCCCGTGCTGGAGGAACTAAACTACGCGTGAGCACAGGGAGCACATCGCAAGCGGAAAGACAAACTTCATGGCCCCTATAGGACTGCCTCCACCAACCCATCCCGTAGCCTGCGATGGATAAATCTGCAAGGGGACCTTTGCCATCCGTGATGACATGGGCTGTCGTTACTTCTTCGAAAGCAGACCGAGGTATAATAGTCTCGTTCGTCTTAGGATGAACCCCTTGATTCAGTAGAACAGCAAGCCATTTCACCTGTAACGAGGCATGAACGCTGGGGCTCCCTTGGCATACGGAGATAAGTGTCGACTGACCATATCTTCGGCACTTGACGTGATCCCTCCTGCACCCGATGACAACTCGATAGTGTCTTCGCTGAACCAAAAAGGTATTCTCCGGCCCTTGTGCGTCCAAGTATGAGTCAACTTTCCAGAGGCGATGGCCTCCTTCGGCGAGAACGTAGTAGAAGTCATGTTTAATGGCTTGAAGATGCGTTCTTTGACAAAGTCCATATACGGCACAGCGTACTTCGAGACAATGTATGCCGCTGTCATATACATCTACCAGTCGTGAGACTACTTCAGTCCAGGTGCTGGATGCACGTATGATAGTGGAGACAAGACCTGATTATTGTAATGCCAGTGTTCCCGTAGCTCGAACGCTGGACGCAGGTGCTTCATACGCAATACGACGTCCTCCGGTGAATCTGATGGTCCATAGGAATAATCATGTCTTCCCCAGTCCCATGAGGTCCGTATCAGAGTCTAACGTAGGAATATACCTTGGAAGTCCCGAGACGTGAGAGAGTATATCGCGAATGTTAGCCTTCTCGCTCGCCCAGCTGTCCATGACTTCCCATTCTCCCGGGAGAATATCCTTTACCTTGGTATTCCAATCGAACTCCTTCAATCCGGGCGGTAAAGGGGTGGTGTTCCGACCAGAAGCGAAGTCATCCATTAACATTCCTATGGAGACTGCAGTAAAGGCCTTGGAACACGATGCTAAGTTAAAAAGGGTCTAACAGGACTTGTGTCAGTCATATTAACTTCTCCAGCTGAGGCTGACTGACATCCGAGGTCATTGCAACCCCGTCATCCATCTTGATCCCCCAGGTCTTAAACTCCGTTTCGCCGCTGGACAGTACGAGACCCAGAGACAACCCAGATACATTCTGGGCTTTCAGAATATCGTTGATAGCAGAGTAAAGCTCCGGCGCGACGATTTCTTTGTGGAAGAGACCAGTGAAATCAGTAACAATAGTCAGAGGGTGCTGGTTTCCGGCTTTCACTCCTACCAGACCGAGGCCTACCAGAAGCGCGGCGGCGATCATGTCGCTCTGTTCAAGTTAGCCTCTCGGGCTCGGAATGTAAAGCAGAGCAGCTATCGCTGCAGCGCGCCATGTTCACAGAGATAAGACCGTCCATACGTAATGGCTACCAAGTATACCGTGGCATCGATATCACTGCCACAATTATCCTCCAACTATTCGCATGCATACATATGTAGCACTGTAATGTGGCTGTCCTCGATATCGATGTGACACAAACGTGACATTATGGTATTACAACGAAACTTGACTAAGATACAGTAGTAAAACCATAGAAAAAAGTACAAATGCGACGACTGTCCATCCGGAGTGTTCTATCGAAGTTCCTATACAACAATCGGAGACGATCCGCAATGCTACAAGCTTCAAGGCGACGCGAAGGACACGAACAAGACCGTACGAGTATGTGAGACATCTGAGACACGAAAGAAGCTATTACTAGCGATGGAAAGTCTGCTGGTAGTACGCAGGAGGGACGACCGGCTGGGCCTGAGCTGCCTGCGCTTGAGCTTGTGCCTGCTGCATGGCATACAAATTTGCCTGAGCCTGCGCTTGAGCTTGTTGGGCGTACGCTGCTTGTTGCTGTTGCTGGGCTTGCTGCTGTTGTTGTTGCTGCTGCTGCTGCTGTTGATACTGCTGTTGTTGATGCGCATGCGGGTTGGGAAAGTTGTACGCTGGCGGCGCCATAGCTCCAGCAACGGTAGGCAGGTAAGATACGTTGTTCGAAGACCCCGTAAAATAGGAGTGTGAGAGGGCCTCGGCAGCCGTGATCCGTTTGCTGGGGTCGAATTGGAGAAGTCGCTCTAGTAGGTCAATCGCTACGGGACAATGAGAACATGTCTGAGAACATTACTAGCTATATCCTCTCACCTTGAGGAGAAGCTTTAGGCAGAACCTGCTGGAAAGGGATCTTCGGGTACCGAGGATATTGTTTCAGCTGGATCTCGGGCTGACATCCAGATTAGACTAGGGCCGACAGATTATTATTTGGCTACTTACAGATTCTGCAGCTATTTTCCGGAGTGTACGATCGTCCGGAGTACCGATGATCCTCATGATGTGTAAAAGCTGATCCTGGTTGTCTCTACCTCGGAACAGAGGGACACCCGATATCATTTCGGCGAAGATGCAGCCGCAAGACCAGATATCGATCGATGTGCTATAGGTACGCGAGCCAAGCAGGACGTCTGGGGCTCGATACCACAGGGTGACCACCTATTAACCCGAGAGATGTTTCACTGAGCTCCAGTCCTACAAGCTACGATCGGAACACACCTCGTTGGAGAAAGTGTTCACAGGGACGCCAAATGCCCGAGCAAGACCGAAGTCGCCCAGCTTCAACTCGCCCTTCCGATTGATGAGCAGATTCTGGGGCTTAAGATCCCGGTGAAGGACTCGATTTTCGTGGCAGAATGCGATGCCCTTGAGCAACTGGTACATAAAGCTCCGGACTGTCATCGGATCGAGAGCGCCCCGGTCCCCATGGGTGTCCATGTACCGCTTCAAATCTTGTTCGCAATATTCGAAGATGAGCACAAGCTTCGTCTCAGTGTGGATGACGTCATACAGGCGGACGATGTTGACATGTTTGAGCTCCTTCATGAGGGAAATCTCTCTGATCGCAGTGGATGGGGTACCTTCCTCTGCATCGAGATGAATCTCCTTGAGAGCGACAATTTCATTCGTTGTCCGGGAGCGACCCTACACGATGCCATTGACTCAGTTGGACATACTCGGAACAAGCACGAAGACAAACCTTGTAGACTGTGGCATAGGTACCCTCCCCTGCACATATCGTCAGAATCGCCGTAAGACGCGTAGAGTAGCGAACTTGCCTAGCTTCTCCAACTACAACTGCGCATCAGAACGGCTCAAGATCATCTGTCTCATCACGGCGCACCTGCACATAGTTCATTTTCAGACCAGTAGAATATGATACAATATTCAGTGGGTATCTGTCCTCAGCGAAAGGGCTCCCTGGAGAGGGAAAGGTTACGGAGGAAAGGCCAAGTTCGAGTTCGAGATCCACAGCCGCAATGATTAGATCGAGGTCGTGCGAACATGTGTCTCAGTGCATACCAAGAAAGGCAATTCTTCGAAACTTTTCGACCTCCTGCACTTTGCATCCTTTATCTGTTTCGCGCGGATTATTCTGTAAAAATCTGGGCTACGCTGAGGCCTTGGTTGACGACGAGTGAAATCCTCCATGTCTTCCCTACCGACTAAATCCAAAAAGAATCGCGTCAAACCGCCCAAATCTCGACCTGCAGGCACCTCCGCCATCTCGCATCCTGTGGTCGAAGATGCATCGAACTTGAATGCTTTATCACGTTTCTCGCCTCGGGGGGACTTGTTCGCCTTGGTATCGCTTTCTGTCGATAAGCATCGGTTGCGCGTCTATAACACATCTACTGGCAATGCAGCGGCTGAAAGCATTATAGACTCGGCTAGAGTCACAGCGCTATGTTGGTGCGCACATATTCAAAGCGGCCCAGAAGGCGAAGCGGAGGCACTCCCTCCTAACAAAAAACGGCGGAAGAAACGATCCAGTCAGATCGGGTCGGCTGCTAGTGATGGTTCCGGTTCGCAGGGAGAGCAGATAGTTGCGCTGGGTCTCGCAGACGGCACACTTCAATTCTTTTCACCGAAGCATGCCAGGGTTATTTGGACGTTATCGCACCCGACCTGCTCTAGCCCCATCTTAGATATCTCCATTAATGAAGATGATGGGTCAATATGGACTTCCAGTGCGGACGGGAATATTCGCCGATGGGACGCTCAGCAGAAAACCATGACAGCCAGCTACAAGTATAATGATCGAACACCGTACCCCTGCTTGGCGATCAGACCTGGCGTCCCCGAAGACAATCACGCCCATGTTCTTGCTGCAAACTACGGTATCCATCTTCTACTTGTTCCTACTTCCGACGACGACATCACCACGGAGAGCAGTGGGCTTGACGAAGTTGCGTCCTTTACTGGACACGCATCTCCTGTTACTTGCCTTCTCTGGGACTCGAAGCAACGCTTCGTGTCGATGGCTGAAAGGGATAGACATGTCTATGTCTGGGACACCCTGGATGAACCACCGGAAGATGAAAATATATCCTCCACTGGCAAGCCTGCCGCTTCGATACCTCTGGATTCCGACGCTCGAGTTATTGCACTGTCCGCTTCGCCTACCAGAATCGATGCGGCGCCACAGAACCTTCTCACTCTTTCGGCTTCGGGGAAGATATCATTATTCTCCATCCCACCTGAGATCACATCACTCCGTTCCAATAGCAAGCATAAGGTTCCGACGCTAGAGCCGCTTTCAAACATCTCGATATCTTCAAAACGGAGTGATGCTCACGCGGACACCATTAACGCCTCGTTCATCCCATCCGAAGAGGGCAGAATACGTGTGGTAAGACTCGTTGGTGGAGTGCGGCCTATTTTCAGTGTTGTCGTGAGTGTTTTTGATTGAAGAAGCGCGGCTCAATCATGACCTCCGCTAGGATTACCTTGATGAATCGGGTAACTTCAAACAATCTATATCCATCGTCAGTGATGACGCTGTTCTGGAGTCAGCTGCGCATGCCTCCACAAATGTAAGTTTATTTGGTCTATGACAAGTGATGCACATCTTAATTTGTGTACAGGGGGTCGTCAACAAGCGTTATAACGAGCGATCTTCGATCGCGGTCGCATCAGGCGTTGACTTGGGTCAGGATGCGTCCATGGACGATCTACCCGTACGGGAACTGGACGGCGACCTCGATGTTAATGTTGCAGAGCTTAGCCTGGGGGAGCGATTGACTGCGTTGTCTGGCGCAGATGACGCGGCAGCTCCTGGCAGTGCTTCTGACAGTGAGAACCCCGCCGCTGGACCAGAATCGCGATCAAGGACGGGGAAAAGGGACGACCCCTTCCATATTGTACCTGCCAATTCGCTGACGCGGACCCTGATTCAAGCTCTACATTCCTCTGACTCGCCCTTGCTGGAGACGTGTTTAGCGCATTCAGACAATGTGCTGATACGAAATACAGTGCAGAGGTTGCCTCCGCAGCTAGCTGTACCACTGCTGAATGCGTGTGTCGAGCGCCTCAGCAGGGGTCCGCGAGCAAACAACATGAAAGGCGGAGGTGGAGGAGCTAGTGCGCAGAGGGGAATGGCGCTTATTACCTGGGTCAAGTCCGTTCTGACTATCCATAGCGGACACTTGATGACAGTGAGTCCCTAGCCACATTTCCGTGGCTCGAAATACCGATCAGTCCATAGATGCCGGATCTCGTAGCGCGCCTCTCTGGATTACATACGACTGTCGCTAGCAGGCTGTCGCTACACGAAAGTCTGCTCTTGTTAAACGGACGACTCGACATGGTACTTTCTCAAGTCGAGATGCGTTCATCGGCGGCACCTGCACCTGTAGCCGCTCGTAAGAGAAGTCAAGGTGCTAACAAGGAAAAGGCGGTAAAACGGTATGTTGAGGGCGAAAGCGACGAGGCGGATGATCAAATGGATGTCGAAGTGGAGAGCGGTGATGATGCTGGTAGTATAGAAGACGTGGAGCTGGGAGGAGAGAGCGAGGATGAAGAGGATGACGACGAAGATGAAGGTCAAGCAGACAGCGAGAGCGATGAAGAGGGCGGTCCTACATCAAACGGGTTTATTGACGATGAAGCCGAGGAAGACTTCGAGGAGGACGAGGAGGACGATTACAGCGAATAATGATGACTTGTGCAGCCGCGAAGAGACGCGCAATCGCAGTTACCTTGCGGCTGTTGTGTTTCGACGGGTAGACCGACGAGGCGCCGTGTCATCCTTGGGCGGGAACTGGAAAAGCATGATATGGAAAATATCTCCGGTTCAAGTCCAATAGTATATTACCTTGCGTTTATTGCCGGCGGTCGTAACGACCGTTGGTTCGTCCGATAGAGGCGTCAGATCGCTTTCTTCCGGTTCGTCAGCCTTTGTCTGGGTATCAGCTTCTGTCATGAATATGCTTGAGGCGAGGATACCTCTTGCAGATCTCCGACAGTCCCGGAGGAGTTGAGCTTCTGGAGCTCTGCAATGTATGCTGAGGTACGCCCCCCAACCTTAATCCACTTGATCGTTGCAGGTTCTCCAGTAGGCTGAAGTAGTTATCAGTCATGCGGGAACGACTCGTTTTCGTGGCCTCACTAGTTTCAGTGTGTGCGTCTCTTTCTTGCCCTTGCCCTGAAATTTCTGTAAGGCACAAGACATCGCAGCAGAGAGAATTACTTGCCCACCGATGCTTGAACAACCAGTCAGAAGGAAATTTTGAGTCGTCCGCATGAGCAGCTACAGCTCTCACGCAGACAGTTCGTATCTGTGCGTGCAATGCAAGAAGCTGCTCTGGCGTGAGGGTGTCGCACCGTTGCTCCGGGTGTATCCTTGCATGGTACAACACCTCATCTTAAACACACAATCAGCGTCGGTTATCTTGAACAATGTCACGACACGCGTGTACCTGCGACCCAATTCCCTACGCCGGCGCTGAATGTCTGGTCCAGAAGCAATGCTTTGATGGTACACCTCCGCTTAGTGACTAGAGGTGTGAGCGAGTCTAGTGAAGGCATCGATAACACTGGATCGAATCCCAGGGTCGAGATGGGTGGTTCTGTTAATGGTGAAGTACGGAGACGGATTCGACCAAGGCGCCTGGGATCCAAGAACGCTAGCTCAACTCCAGTTTCCGAATCGTCGCCGAGATGCATGATAAACTAGATCTGTCAATATGTTGACTCGTCGCTTACGTGCACCTCACCTTCATAAACTTCGGAGGCCACTGCGTAGATGTCTTCTTCTTGCCCTCTTTATATAGGATCGGCGGTAGCCCTTTAACCTGTTAAAACGCATGCCCTTCTGTCAGAGTTCGTACATATTTAAGTCATCTATATCCTTACTTGAATCATACCCGTCATGCCTAAGTGTAACACGGGCATCCGACCTTTACCATCCAGCTCCATGTAGAAAAATTTCCCTAAATGTTCAATGAAACTGAGGTAGTAAGGTTATTGCTGACGTCGACGCGTACCATATCTGCCTACATTCTTCACCTTCCGGCCGGTAACTTCATTTGCCTGCTCATGAGCCAAACCCGAATTTTAGCCACAGCTCTAATTTCCCAAGCACTTGTAGCGCACAAATTCTTCGTGTGTTATCCCTGTGAAGACTATAGCGTCCTCTTGGGTGTCCACGGACCGTATCGTCTTCCCTAATGTGGTGTTCCTGACTAGCCTGGCAGTCTCTTCCACTTCTGCGTATCCGGAGTCAATGAGGATATACGGGATTTTTCAGGTCAAATTGAACTATCACCAGGCAGTTCAGGCATTACGGTGTGTATGAACGTGCAACCAATTACAACTTGAGTATGTTCGTGTTTGATTGTGAACGTCTCCCGAATTGATCCTATTGGTTCAAGTTGGAGGATGTCGGCGACTGATCTCTCCTAGGATCTAGCATGGGTACGGTAAGCCCGATACGTGACTCCACCATGACTCGGAGCCGCCGGCTCCTTGGGATTACCCATTTCATAATTACGAGCAGGCATCGGCGCAGAATGGTGCCACAACGCCAGCGGCTCTAGCTATAGCTTACAAGCCGACGACAGCAATCTCATGGTCATACCGTTATGACATTCAGGATTCGCCGAGTCCCGTCCCAGCCCACCAAGGCTAACAGGCCTAAAGGCCTGTCCTGGAGGTCGTCAATATGGTTTGCAACCCTAGGTATGCCGCTCAACGTGGAATCGTTACAATCAATTAGCTGACTTTTGGTGGATGTTCCTCTATATCTAGTCGTAGGCTTTGGTGAGTGGATGGTACTCAAGCACATAGGCATCTCGTGACGCAGGTACACCAGGAGTGTGCACGGATTTGATCACATACTCGGTCGTTATCCCTGTTCTTCCATTCAGGCTAGAGCAACTTGGGTATACCGGTGTGTCAGCCCTAGTCGGCTACATTCTCTTTGCATATGTCAGTATGACAAGCTCTCTCCTTTGTCGCCGATAGATGCTAAAACCCTTGAATCAGTCCGGGGGGCTCGTGATTTGTACGTATGTTCACATCTGTCTATCCTCACCCTTCCCGACATTCCAACCAGCATCGCCTCCCATTGCTTGGTTGTGTGAGAGATATAATACGAGACAGCTACCCTTCGTGGTGGGGATGTTATTCCTCATGGGGTCACAGGTCCTTTTAATGGAAGCTCCGGCGTACTGGGTGATGTGTCTTGCTCGTATCATTCAAGGTACGAGCATGCCCTAACTCTCATTCATGCACCTGATGCATGTTTTCCAGGCGTGAGCTCGTCAGTGGTATGGGTCGCGGGCCTCGCTTTGTTGTGAGTGAATCCCTCGAATATTGTAAACGAAGCTCAGCCCAGGTTCAGGTGCGAGACGGTCCCTGAAGCCCATGTAGGCCGTAAGTCTTTCCGCGTTATTTGGTAACCGTACCCACAGTTGTGATCTGCACAGGTCAGCTCGGATTGGCTATGACTGGCCTTTCACTTGGGTAGGAGCTCAGTCGAATCAAGATTCATGAATTTACCGAGTTTCTTCTTTTCTTAGAGTCCTTGTCGGCCCACCTGTTGGAGGTGCTCTCTATCATACATTCGGGTACAGAGGCCCTTTCATTTTCGGTATCATCGTTAGTGTTATAGACCTAATTGGTCGGCTCCTTATTATCGAACGAAAGGATGCTCTACTCTGGGGTATAGACCCGGCGAGCTTACCGGAGCCGGATCAAGAACAGAACGCGCAACCTGATAATACGGACGTCCGAGAACCACAGGAAACCAAGGAAAATATCACAGGTCATATGGGAGGACCACAGGACGTCCAAACAACGCCGGCTACCTCAGATGTGCAACGGATGGACAGGCCTATAGAATACAAAGGAGATCCAGTGGATGCCCCGGCGTTGGCAGCGAAAAACCTCAGTGAGGCGGTAGCCCCGATTAATCCTGCCGAGGCGCACGAAGCCGGGAAAAAGTACATCAATGCAGTCGCTGTGCTTGTGCGGCTGTCGAAGTCCCCCCGTGCACTCTCTGCCTTTTTTGTTACGATTGCTTATGGGTAAGTACAGATCGGTCAATGGAGGGCTCCTGATTTGAACACCATTATAGGATAGTTTATGCTAGTCAAGAACCTACCATCCCGCTTCATATGCAGGCCCAGTATGGATATGATTCTGCGAGAGTTGGACTGGTGTTCATTGCGTCCGTGGTGCCCAACTTGATTTGTGAGTATCTCGTAGCGCTGCTTGAGTAGGTGTTCGTTCAACCTTGTGTTTAGCCTCTCCTCTGGCCGGCTGGCTGGCGGATACCAGAGGCGCAGAATGGGTGGTGACCATCATGCTTTTGGCCTCTATCCCTTGGTGGTTAATACTCGCGATCAACGGGCCAGTCGCGCTGTTCATCGCCTCGTTCGCACTAGAGAGTATAGATTCATTGTTTCGCTAGTATATATGACTTATGTGGCTGATTGTACCTAGGTCTATTCGCATCTGGTGCCTTGTCCCCCATCACGGCGGAATTGGCATCTGTGGCACGGACTTTCGACGACATCGGCTGTAAGTCTTGGGCCGGGGAGGATGCAGCATGGTGCTTACAGTTCGAATCTTATAGATGCGCATGTCTACGGCGCTTTTAATATTGCATATGGAATAGGATCTGCGAGTGCGTCTCTTATTAACTTGCTGTGTCAGGAATTAATGTCAATGGCTTTGTATCGGCAGTTGGACCGCTCATTGGGGGCCAGGTACGTCAGAAATCGAGAGCGAAACGGAGCGTCTTCATGATGTTTGCCCTTAGATATATGATCACACGAAGCGCGGATGGCTAGCTGTGTGTGCGCTCGATGCGGGCTTAATATTTCTTTCGGGAATATTATCCTTCTACTACACTGGAGAGACAAGCCTGCTCAAGAGGACAGTGTCACTGCTCAGGACGAGAAACCGACCGACCAGAGCACCATAACAGTCCACCAAGCTCTGCATAGACATAATACTCAATGAACGAATGAACGAAAGGAAGTAGTACAACTCGGGCGTTGCGCCCAAATAAATGATGATTTGCCCAGTACTATGTTCTGCACGTGCCACTGACAAGGGTTGTGCACAGCCACCTCAGGCATTGGTGGCGCCGCCGCGGCGTCCAACCTCGACCAACGCTACAATGCACCCAGCTTCTTCCGTGTGTTCTTGCTTGAGGCTTTAACCTATTGCAATCCTGTGTCTTTAACTACGTATGTTTGCAAAGGCTTTGTCCTCATATTGAATGAAACTACGGGATTATCGTCTCGACTGATATTACATCCGCGTCTGAATACAGCACTCCGGCTTGAATATTACTGCATGGGAAGACCTCTGTTCGGCGCAGACACCTCAGGTTAGACATTCATTTATGGCATAGTGCTCGCCGGGACTAACGATCTCTGTCTCAAGGTCCGTCTCACGACAGTTCTTGCCACTGTGGTTTCTGTATACCGAATACACCCGACCTCCCCCGTCATCCAACTGTCATGTCCCGTCCTGTCACGCCTTCCTCCACTGGCCCTACCCACGATTTGGACGTCTACGCGCAAACAAGAGACAGTTTACGTCTTGCGTCTACAGCTTTGGATGCTGCATATATTCGACTTCGCGAGTTACGAATTGCTATCCGCGGACTATCTGCATCCTCTTCCTCGGATAATATGAACCCAGGCCACTCGGCTATCGTCCTTTCCGGCGAGGAGACAGCTGCCGAGAACAGGCCTTCCCGTTCACCACAAGCTTATGCAATGGAAGCTCAACCCGCAGGAGACCCGCATGCTCCCTTACCTCAGGGATCCTTTCCGGGCTCTGTGGGTGCCACACCATCATCTAGCGCATCTGCCCCTCCAGTATTTCTCAGACCTAATCCTGCGCATGCCGCTTCTCAGGACTCTCCCTTTACTGCTCCGTCAGATGAAGGTAATAATGGCGCAGGCCAGGGCAGGTTACGGCAGCTTAGGACTCGACGATCACTTCTTGAAGATCATCTGCGACTTAGACGAGAAGATAATCTGACTTCCATTGGACGACGTGCCGCAGCTCGTGCTGCAAGCGAAGCAGCTTCTGCTGCAGCCCCGGGAGCAGAAACTCAATCATTGTACGATAGGTCCATACAGATCGCTAGTGAACTCGAGCAGACCATCGATCGGTATCTTGCCAATCGCAGGTCTTTATCGAACGCCCTTGCAAATGCACAAAGGACGGTGATGAATGGAGGAGTCTCATCTCGAGTTGAAGAAAGCATTAGGACGGAGAGGAATCCACCTGAGAGTGGAAGTCAGCCAAGTGCAGGAGATCGGCCCGCCTCGTCCAGGGCCCGTGCCATGGGTCCCATCAGTAGACGTGTCAGTTCAGGTACTCCAAGATTCAATTTAGGCCTTAGAGCCTTCGACGTATTCCAGCGTCATCTCCCAGATCGTTGAGTCCTTTCTGACCTCCTACGTTACCCTTTACTGACAGACAACAGCGCCGGAGAATGTTCCAACTTCAGGTAGTGTCCCATCGCCGCGACTCGCTAGATGGTTCCGGGACGAAGTGGAATCGTCGAGGGACGGAAACGATGCTGCGAGTTGGGTCTTCCCGGGAGATGGTCCCTTCGATCGTATTCGACAGCAAATAAGCCAGGACAGAGGGGCGGCTTCGGCAGGAACAGATGAAAACGTCGAGCAAGATCGAACAGCCACGTCTCGTAGGCCCTTCGGACAGAGTCGAAGGCGCGGCTGGGGTGAGGCTATTTGAGTTCGATCTGTGTTACCAGGTGAAATCTAAGGAATTCGATGTTACAGCACGCCTCGATCCTGACGGCAACGAAATATCAACTGACGAAGAGGAAGAAATGGAACGAAGCAGGATGGCGGTAAGGCTTCAGTCATACTTCGCATGGAGAACTCGCCAATCATTGACCAAATCCCCTCAGAATACCTTGGTTCCAACCACACGAAATCCCATATCGCATGCGACCGACGGCGAAGGACGTTCCGCTCGCGTCCGTCTCCATTCCCACAGACGTTTGTACCACCCTACGTCTGCCGATATATTTGTCTTGCTCACCTCCGTCGAATCTGATCTTTATAGCGTTCCGAGCAGACATCTCCCCCTGGGACGGCAGCATCAATCGTACTGTTCCTACCCTAACGCCTCTAGGTTGTACTTCAGAAGGTCATGCGGCTGAAACTCTCGGCTCGTCCAAGCCCTACCATATCGATCCTTTGCCTATGCCGGTCGAGCATATGGCGTGCGACCCTGTTTCGACCACCACTAACCGTGCAAAGGAAGGACGGATGGTTGGACATAAGTCTTTCCCGTCAAGTGGCATTGGGAGGTAGATACGGCCCATCTTCTTCGAGTCGGGTTTTGTCCTCTTTGCCACCCTGCTCGACTTGCACTACGAGCTGTCGTCGCTTCGGTGGATTGACCTATCGCACACCACTAATATACTAAAGGAAGGAAAGATACCCTGGTATGTTTATGGTGGAAGAGTCTTGTATACCGCGCAAAGTCGAGTTTTCTCTAGACCTCGTGACTGGATAAAGCGACGGTGCAAGAGATGTCTATAATCTCTGAAATGAAATTACGGTCCTTTGACCATGCCTATTGAGCACTCCGTTGAGAATTGCAGGTTTTATTCTCTGCAACCAAGTTGAATGCGATTGCCGAATCAACGACCACGAAGCTAAGATAATGATAAACAGGAATGCGCAACATGCGAGATAAACGAAGCTAAATCAACGTGCGGTGGACTGATACGAATAATACTGCTGGTAGGACGGCGCCGTTCCTGATGGCTGCGGGGTTGCAGGTGCAGTAGGTGTACCCTGACTTCCACTAGTCCGTAAATGCGAAGGCAAAGTAGGCGCACTGTACGCAGAAGCAGTCGGTGTCCAAGTTGATGGTTGGGCCTGGTAGGGCTTCGCTGATACAGTGTTTGCTACTGCCCGCTGGGCTTGTGGCGTCTGATTCGCACCGTAATAGCCAGCGTAGCCAGTGCCAGCTGTCGCTGTAGGTTGCGATGGTGTGCCCGACTGCTGTGCAGGAGGCTGGTAATTGTACCATCCTGCATATGGGTACCCAGCTTGTTGTCCTCCTTGGTATTGGCCGTAATATGCAGATCCGTTGGCTGGCGGCTGATTACCACTATAAGACGGAGGATAGTACGCCGGCGTCTGGCCAGGAGTGTATCTGTACTGTCCGCCGCCATAGCCGGGATAGTATGGGTACGACGGGGTGGCAGTCGTCCCTGCAGCAACGGTCTTACTTGCAGCGGGCGTCGTAGGCACTGCAGTTCCCGAAGCTGGAGGTACGGAGACGCCAGACTTGATCTGTAAGGTCATATCGTCCCGGACTGCCGCGGGACGTGTAGGCTGCAGTGTGCCATACCAGCCTTGGGAAGGACCAACGGGCAGTGTCCGATGGAGCTTTCGTAGGACAGCGTCGGAGGGCACGAGGGGCACGTCGGAGGCATTTGACGACCGAGGACGGAGAGACGCCAGGACTGTAAGAGTGTCCATGATTGCTTGTGCTGAGACGGTGAAGTCAGTAACTCCGAAGCTAGCACGTAAGATGAGAGCACACTCACCCGTCTCCCACTCTTCTGAGCCGACTTCAACTTGAGCAAAAGCACCATCTTCTCGCCCTAGCCGTTCTTTCTGTAGCTTCTCCAGATTCTGCAGTGCGCGAGAATTCCGATCCAGAAGCTCTTGCACGGCTTGCTCTAGCTCCAGCGTATCCAGCAGGGACTTCACCCCCTCGACATCACTTGGTGACAGGAGGTCCTTCAATGCCGCCTCGATATTGTCTATTCGAGCCCCATCCATCCTTTCTCCTCCCTCGACTTCCACAACCTCTTCCTCTTGCTCGACATCAGCCGTACGTACGTCACTGTCGGTATGCTCGAGCCCCACATGGGTCATCTTAGCCTGAGTTTCCTGCATCTTCAGCTGTAGAGTCCTCTGCCTCGCTCTCAGCCTCCTCTTTACTTCTCGATTCCACAACAGTTCACCCAGCGTGTCTCTGCCCACTTCGGTCCCATCTTGGTCGAAGGTCGGAGCATAGCTGGCGTACGGGCCATAATCCAGGAAACTGCCAGCGCTGACGTATCTGGGGCCTGGTAGCACTTGTTTAGGTCCCGGTGGTTTCCGAGGAAATAGGGTACCGATAGTAGGATGCCGTAAGGATAGATCTGTGCCAGCAGGTGCGGATATTGATGGCGTGGGGAGAACAGCAACGAGCTCAGCATGAGCGGTGGGTAGATCCTTTAGCTCTTTGCCATCCGGCGGTGCGGCGAAATGGGAGTCCAGAGACGTCCACCAGTCCCCGGTCGGCAGGCGCTGCAATAATGCATATTTCCGCCTCCGAGATGGGAACTTCGGGCGAGTGGCTATGGTAGAGGACTTCACGCTTCTGGACACCTCACCAACTTGGCCTTCGGTACCTTCTTCCGAGTCCTGCGGGAGGATGGTCTCGATATCTAAAGGTATTGAGACGGAGTTGAAAGAGGCTTGATTGAGGAGAGCGAGAGCTAGATTGCAGAATCGCAGCTGTTGGGCGGCAGGTGTCGAAGGACGAGACCGGGCATGGGATGATATCGGAAAGAGGTGCTGAATTGCAGTCTTGCACCTGTGTTTAGACGTATGAAGACTACGCTGAGGAAGAGCAAGCTTACTCGTAGAACACGGAGAGGATGATTTGGAGACTCCTTCAACAGGGCTCGTAAAGAATATGACAAATGCGACGATGAGGTCGAGGCTTCTGTGGGGTCAGCTGGTAAAGGGAATACTCGATCGAGCAGGCCTTGCGTATCCACCCTTCATACGTCCATAATCAACGAGAGCCTTGTGGTACAGCTTGTGAGATACTCACATTTCAAGGATGTCCAGGATCTTTACTGCATCATCAGGATGCAGTGGAACGTCCCCCGTCAAAGGCAACTCCTTGCTCTCCTTCTCGGCTGGGACTTCACGCGGCGGGGACTCCTCCTCCTCCTCTTCCTCAAGTGCATTCTCAGTCTTGGGTTGTTTGGCAGCAGGTTGCCCATCGGCCTGACCGTTCACGTTTGAAGAGCGTTTCCGTTTTTTGCCACCCTGTTTCGATCGGGTATTGGTGGCACTGGTGGTGGCTGTGGATGCAGGCAATTCTGATACAGCCTCTGCTTGCGCGGAAGACCTCGTAGCGCGGGCCATCCTACAGATAAAAGCAGGCCTGAAAGCGTCGAGATGCGACCGAAAGAGCAGGGAAGGTTAGGGCCAGACGCGGTTGTGGCAAATTGAGCGAATTGGGAGCACGCGTAGCGGTTACGAAACGCGTTCAGTGGACGCGTCGATACTTTGCGAAACGGATCCGTGACCAGTTGTGGTTGCGCTGCCTCTGCTTGCTCCCAAACACCTCACTAGTTGATTTCAACTCCGCCTTAAATTCTGTAGTCTTCAAGTAAGCCCTTTCCAGCACAGACTACAAGAATTCAATCTCCGATAAGTGCCTCGTCTTGCTGAGTCGCTTATTTCACGCTTGCTTCCAGGCCATGCCCTTCAAATTACCCCCAGCTACTAAACCCGTGTTACGGGCCCAGCTGTCGTCCCGACCTGCCAACGGGCATACAGCCTTCATTCCGCAGGTCCGGAAACTGGTCTTCGAGTACTCTGAAAAATGGCCCTCGTCCAGTAGGACACGCACGTATTTGAACAACCACCTGGAGGAACTCGCTCGAACGAACCCCCATGTGGAAGTTGTCGTACAACAGAAGAACCACAGAGAACCTATTGTTCGTGGCTTCTACTGTACGTGCTTTTGCCCTCTTTTCTATTATCCTCTCAGTCTGCTGTGTAGTGAACGGTCGGGACAAAGTGATTTCGCTCAAAGAGTTTGAAGTCACGCAGATACAACAGAAGGTCCAGTTGCTGCTTGACTCATCAGGAGCTAAGATCAAGCCCCTGAAGAGGCGGATTATTGAGAGTTCAACGGAATCAGCGAGAGGCATCTGGAGCGGGCTGCATGTCCCCGAACTATACAAGATATAATGGGTCGGAAGTCTCGGTTTTTCCAGGAATGAGTCCCGTTGCCTAGGGTATTAAGGTGAGTAGGTTCTTTGCTACAAGAGGGCAGGTCATATATTCATACCTACAGTATAATCACTTAAACCTAGGACGTGCAACATCACTCCATGAATATAATTCATCACAAAGTTACTGACAGGAGGAAGATGAGCGGCATATCCGCGTCCACTTTGTATAGAGCGCTTGCCAGTTCCTGGGGTCCGACGGGGAATTGTATGATTCTCCACTTCCCGACATTACGTTTACACATTCTTGAGCGCTTTGGAACGTCCTGCGACTTATTCCTGGCCGTGCGCTGTAGTTGGAACGTCGAGTGAGGGCCATTCCATATCCCTGCGGTGTGGTGGTTTCCTTCGACGTTCCAATTATATCCGCTGCGCCAGACTCAGAGGTATCTCACATTCGTGAGTGCGGCTACGGTCGATCTGCCCTTCCACCGGTCCGGCAGGCTTGTACTTGCTGTCGCAAAAGGCCTACCATAGTCAACCGTTTTGTAGGAGATCATCGGCCCTCCTCTAGATTGGACTGAACCAGTCATACCTCAGACAGTGTGGAGATCCGTCATGAAACTGCGATTCGCCTATCATAAGGTCTAAGCGAAGAGGTGGGACCAGGTGCCTATGCTATAACTAGCATTACTCGATGAAGGTGAAGTAGAATAGGTCTCCATTCTGCGTGCAGTATGGTCCACCCGCTGCATCTGACAAAGATAGCTTGATTCAGATATCACCCGGAACGTTGGCCCGGTCAACTTTCATTGCACCGACCTCAAAGTATTTGTCAGGCCGTCTGGCTATGGTGCCTTGATATCTCTCGTACTTGATACCACGAATCCTACGCAGTTACTTAGCGATGTACGTATGATTGAGCCCTACCGGTTCATCCGGAAAGGCGAGCAGCGATGCGCCGGTGCAACATTTGCCTCCGGAGGAAAGCAGATGGTGTAAAGTGACACGAGGCGAGAGCATGTTTCCGCGCAATGACTCATGGTATACCTGCTCGTGCCTACCTACATACACGTGTTGGTACATATGTTATTAGGGTGTGGGATGACCTTTCTCGCCGGTGTTGGTCGACCAACTTCCGCCCCCCATGTTAGACGTCGTCGTAAGTGGCTTCGCCCCTCCCTTCTCCCGGATCCCAAGGTTGATCCAGTTTATGATGGATGACAGGATGTTGAGCCGTACGTCTCGAGCAGCAGCAGCCGCGGATCGCGTGACGACCAGAATCTGAGAGAATGGCTGGCGTCAGACGCGGTAGGGGCGGTGAGTGTGCCCGATATGTCGACGTGCCGTATGTACTGACACTAGCATGTTATATGACCAGTACCTTAGAGGCGCTTCTCCAAGTACGCTTATTGACGAGGTAAGCCCGGTAGCTCAGAAATCACCGAAACAGATATTTATTGCAGCGGTGTAGGATGCCATATCCGTGGATGACCTGAATGACATCGACGACCTCATGTTCTCCCCACAATCTACCTTGGTGAGTTCTACAGATCTTCCGATTTCGATGCGGAGGTTGATTTAAAGGGTCGCACACCAGACACCCACTTACCCCGACACGCACCATAGAACTGATTCAGAATCATCTGCCTTATCATCTTCCTCAGATGCTGACATGTCGGAAGACTTGTCTTTCCAATACGCGACGTACCCTTCCATACGATACGAACGAAGTCAGCTAAGCCCCCATGATGAGAAAGAGGAAGACGAAGAGCGGTCGCTCTGGTTGAAATTCGTCAAACCTGCATTGTCAAAGGAGTCGAAGGACCCCAAGAACGTCACGCTTTTCGGGCACATGCATCGCGTGCAGCTCCCGACAAGACGGAGACGAAGGAGTTCGTCGACGTCCTCTACTTCCACCGCTTTCACGAAGACTTCTGCCGGCCCGAAATCAATACTCGCACGCACCCCATCCAATGCCACCAGCACCTTGACGAACTCTCCCAAATGCAGGTCCCCACCCTCCATCAAGTCCGCCAAATCAGTCAAGTTCGTGGACGAACCTACATATTGTACAGAGCCGTGTCGACCAGCTCCTTTGCCCATGTCTCCTCCTCCTACACGCATAGCCGCAGACCGTCCTGGAATGGTCAAGAGACTCAGGCGCTCGCTCAGCAAGACTGAGCTTGTAGCGCCAGAGCGACCAGTGATATCTGGGCCATTCCCGCTATGGGAGGCGCCGCTGTTAGCGGATCGAGCCAGTTGCAGGAGTAGCCGGGGGAGCATCCGGTCGACACGGTCCAGCAGCAGGCTACGTACACTGTGGGCTAGGGTAGCGGCTGCAGTCCGGTAGGCTGTGACCTATAGGTACGTTTCTGTTGTCTGGCCAGAACAGACAATGCTTATAAGAAATGCTGTCGTAGGCTTATCCGAGTCTTCTCATGTGACAACTTCCCTCGTGCGCCAGCTTTCACTCCTACTTCACGTCGACGAGAACACGCAAGCGTTGCGTCCTGGAGTCGTGGCTTCGTTGAACGGATGCCGCGGTGCACCACCTGTGTTCCTCGTCGTAATCGGACTTCAGATGACATAGACATTTCCGTGTCTCAATGACCCCATGGCACGTCAAGTAGCACACTGCATGCCGGCCGTGTATCTGAATCTGAAGCTTTGAATAGCGCAGCCTCATCGTAGTAGTATTAGGTAGTTGTGCTTAAACGAGCGCTGAGCTGCTCGTGGAATCGCGTACGCTGTTCCGTCCCAAGATTGGCTATGGGTTCGGCCACTTCGGTCCGGAGGGTATGCTCTAGCCAGAGTTCATGTACTATCATTGGGGGGGTTCTGTAAAAGTTAGATTTTTTACAGAACTCCGAAATCTCGAGAAGTATGCTACAGGGAGCTTAGTGGGTTGTTACGTATATGCATTGTATACCATACAGATGGTCTGTGAAGTCAGAATTGCCTCAAGTTGGCCCCTTGTCGTATGGGAGGTTGAACACCGTCCAAAATGCCCACTGTAACAGGTCTGATGGCCACTTGATGGGTAGATCTGCCAGCCTACACGGCCCCGGCATATATCGGCTTGCCTAGAGGAGGTGTTTCTTGTATGTGTAAACCTCCTGCGCCCACCCGATAATAGCTGCAGGCTTGTGAAGTGCTCGTATGGTAGATTTTACAGAACTCCAAGGGCCCAAGGGCGTGACAGATGCGTGACAGACGCGCGCGGATCGGATAGTGTTACCCGCGCGTGAC